GGTAATACGCATCAATCTATCCTGCTATTCTGCTGATGTAGGACAGGTGTTTATTCAAGTTCTGTGTGCTGGGTTGTCTCCGCATCCCAACATTCTGACAGTTCCCCCTCGTCATGTTGTGTTGGTCAGAGCTTGTGTTTATGTATTTTCTTTGATCTCTCTCCTTCTCTTGTTCATGGAACCATCAGAGTTAAAGGAACCATCAGAGTTGTAGCTCCACCTCCAACAGTTTTCTGTTGTTCCTGGACTTTTCTAGATTGCCCCTTGGGAAATGTTGTCACTTCTGGCTGTTCTGAACAAACGTGTCATCCTTTATCATGTTTCATAGACCACTTTCAAAAACAATGAAAAATGGCAGCCAGGGTCTTCATCTAACATGTCCCAAAAGAAGAGTCATCATCAGGTGGATTAACTATAGACTTGAGATGCCTTCTGCAGCTGAGGGGTGTTGAGGCTACAGTGTATATGTTTTCTCTCTATTTAACCTGACAGCCATGTTTACTAAAGTGGGAATGTAAAATGTATTCAAAAGCAGTTGCAAATTTAAAGAAACATTATAGGAGTTAAAAGGTTGTTTTACTTACCTTTTCTCCGTCGTCGTGTAGGCCTTGCAGTTGCGGGCCAAGTCTCCATGACTGAGATCATTAATCTTTGGAGGCCACTAGGTGTGCACGACAAAATCTCTATTGGGAGTGTTCAGTGTCTTCATGCAGAGAGCCACTATGTAGCATTGAACTAGGAAGCACCTGTAGTGGCCTTCTGAGTTACTGCCATTAGAAGTGTTACTAGGCAGAAATGTTCTCTGAAAGGGTAGTGTTTACAGTGCTTAGCCTGCAGGAACATACTATACACACCAGAACTACTTCATTAAGCTGTAGTGTTTCTGGTGACTATAGTGTCCCTTTATGATCAAATTTGCCAAAATGGAAAGTCTCTAAGTCAGCCACGCTTTATGTTCAGCAACTCTGGCCTTATATCTGAAATTAATTTTAAATTAATTTTGAATTCTTACTTTAGTGAAAAACTCTGTAAGTGTTAATTTCAGTTAAAATATCTCAGGGCTATTCACTATTTTGTAAATTCTCAGGCATTGACCAGAAAATTTAATTTTTTTTTTTTTTTTGCAAAAACATATTAACTAGAGAAAGACCCAGGAGGGTTGATTACTTATTAAATATACAATTGAAAATTTCCTAAGGAGTACTCCATTCACTATTTACTGATCTATATATATATATAAAAAAAGAAACCAAGAGGGCTGCACTCACCTGAACATACATTATAGGGTGCTGCTGGGGCCAAAATATACAAAATACAGAATCCAGCGCACTCGCTTATTCACTAAACAATGATTTCAAATCTTAGAGAGTGTAATAGTTTTATTTTAAAACACCTCACCAAGGCAAAAAATAATGGCGGTTTAGTTACATTATATGATCATATATTGCATAAGCCTGCATCAAAACGTCAATGTACCCCATTCTTTGCAGGTCCTATATATATATATATATATGTGGTGGAACTACCGGCGGTGCAGCTGGTGCAGCTACACCTTGGCCCGCCAGCTTAGTGGGCCCATTGGGTGGCCCCTGCACTTACAAGTCACTTCCTTCCAGCTTACCAATGAGCCGTGCAGAGGGGAGAACCAGAGAGGAGGGAGATGGCGAGTCAAGACCAGGGAAAATGGAGAGCAGACTCCCATTACACATGGCCAGATGCCACTGGATTCCAGGGAATCCACTCTCCTGCAATAAAATCAGGGCCGGACTGATCCACCGGGATACTGGGAAATTTTCCGGTGGGCTGCGGCTGACAGCCCAAATCATGAGGCTAATTTCATTTAAATGATTTTCCCCTTGGTGTGTGCTAGGCCCTGTCAGTCTGAGGGGAGTAAAGAGGGAGGAGCAAGGGATGGTGTGGCGGCAATTAGGCTGCTGGATGGAGACCTGTCAATCTCTCTGCACTATTTACCTTAATTCTGGCTGCAAGCTCTGCCTCCGCACGCAAGCCCCATCTCCTGCATGCAAGCTCCGCCCCTACGCACATTGTGGACCCTGCTGGAAAGAAGAGACACAAAATGGCAACTTACCTACCAGTGCCAGGTAAGCTTCAGCCATGGCTGTGTGTGTGTGCCTGCTAGTAAGTAAACTTTTGTGTGTGTGTGTTGCTGCTAGTGAGTGAGTGTGTGTGGCTGCTAGTGAGTGAGCTTGTGTGTGTGTGCCTTCTAGTGAGTGAGCGTGTGTGTGTGCGTGCCTGCTAGTGAGTGAGCTTGAGTGAGTGTGACTGCTAGTGAGTGAGCTTGTATGTGTGTGTCAGTGAGCTTGTCTGTAGTGAGCATGTGTGTTTCAGTGGGCTTGTCTGTTGGAAGCATGTGTTTCAGTGAGCTTGTCTGTGGTGAGAAGATGTGTGACAGTGAGCTTGTCTGTAGTGAGCATGTATGTGTTAGCTTGTCTGTAGTGAGCATGTGTGTGTCAGTGTACTTGTCTGTAGTGAGCATGTGGGTTTTAGTGATCATGTGTGTGTGACAGTGAGCTTATCTGTAGTAAGCTTGTGGTGTCAGAGTTTGTCTGTACTAAATTAGTTTGTGTACCAATAAACTTGTCTGTGTGTGTCAGTGAGCCTATTTGTGTGCATCAGTGAGCTTGTGTCAATGAGTTTGTCTGTGTCTGCATGTGGATATGCTTACTGTATAATTAAATATTTTACTCTGAAATGACCAATATTTTGAATTAGAAAAATAAATATACCAATAATATGTAAGGCTATGTCTTGCCATCCCAGATGATTGAGTAATATTTAAGCACACACTATATATATATATATATAACATTTGAGCCTTATTTGAGCCATGTCATATTTTGGGGCATTTTAGCAGTTCACAAACACATATTCAAATTACTTCATAATTAGAAACCGTTCACAATTTTCAGACTTATTACAGAGCCATTTTTTCAATTATTTCTATGCACGTTTTTTTTAGTTTTTTTTTTTTTTTTTACATGCACATTGCATAAAAAACTTGCTACTGTACTAAAAACAAAACTAAATTGTACTCAACAACATTTTCTGAGTACAAAATTACCCTCTGTTTACAATTTTGCCAAGCTGCTGGATAGCTCTTTTGTCATACCCAGAGGATAGTTACCCTAGTCTTTCATCAACATGCAGAGCCAAAGCATATATATCACTTGTGGGGGAAGATTTGGAGCTAGACAGAGACAATGGACCCCTGTATAGACTGAGAGACTTAGCTAGCTTACAATAATGCAATCTGACTGCTACATAGACTTCATTTCGTCCAGCACCATCTGTTGGTGGAAGGCTACCTTGTTGCAGTTATGTACATTACCCAGATGTTCAAGTAAAACACTTTGCATACCACCGTTAATGCAGGCTGAAAACTCTAGTGTTTTTTGGTTTTTTTGTCCATGTTCATATGATCTCGTTTCTTCTGACAGTGTTGTATTTTATTTTGTAATGTAGTTACATTATACTTTGGAGTTGTTTTTTATTTTATTTTTTTACTTTTCTCACCATGAGTTTAATGCAGCATTGTGAAAGGCTAGTTAAAGTTTCAGATTTAAAAATGTTAAACTGTTATCTATGTCTGAGTCCTTAAGGAATGTTACCGGCAGAGTTACAGAATTTGTTTTCTGTAAGCAGGTGTTTAATGAGTCAGAAGGAGCCTGATGTGGTATTTTAGAATGTATCAACATAGCGCTATCACTGTGGTACAAGTAACCAAATGTGTTTTTTAATAAGCTGTTGTCAGAAGCAGCCAGTGAGGACAATATCTGGCTGAAAGAAGAAGCTTGCGGGATTGCTGTGGTGCCACTAGATGACAGATGACATGGAGGGTTAAATGGCAGGACAGGTCTGATCCTGTGTTGGGAACCAGTCACCGCCTATTCATGTTACAAAGGGTCAAAGTAACAGTTTGCCCACTGCAGTTTTCAAAAACATAGAAAATGCGAGATGTAAATCTGAATTGCTCAATTTACAAAAGTAGAAACTTCAATGTATCTTACGTGGTATTTGAGTCTTATTTTCCACAAGCTAATGTGACTGCTGGCAGGAGCAGAGGGAATTCCGTATAGTAAAGTGTGCTCACTGTGTGTGACATGGTATATTTCTCTCTCAGCTTCAAAAACATATTGTGAGAGGCTGTAATGCTGATTTAAAGCCTGATCACACTTACAGGGTTACTTACTAAAGTGAAAATTGTTCGAATTCAAGTGAATTTAAACTTTAAAGCCAAAATAACTGAATTGGAAAAATTCTCCAAGTCATTTATGCTTCCAGCTTGCTTACTGTGGTTTTAAAATTTAAATTCACTTTGAATTCCAAAAATTATTTTACTAAAGAACATTGACAGTGATGGGCAACAGGGAAACCCAATCATGGGGTCTTTCAGACCCCATGGGTCTCCCTGTCTTTGAGGGAATCCCTGGTGATGTCAGTCATGTCCGTTTAAAGGGTAGTATATGTAGCACTCACTTAGAGTCCTGCACAAACCTCATTGGTTGGTGTGGGAACTCTAGATTTGGTTCCATCTGACATGACACAGGGGAGTCAGATGTACAGAAAGATACCAGAATCTTCCCAGTATTAGCAGCAAGAAGCTACTGGTGAATATCTTCATGGCAGAATTATTACATCACCCTTACATTCCTTTGAAAACAAATATGTTTAATTTTTAATTCAAAGAAATAAAGCTCCAGCACTTGGTAATTTCAGGTTCAAAGTGTGTTTTATTCAGACATTCCAAATGACAGGTAACGTTTCAACACGACATGTGTCATTATCAAGCATTGACTTGATGAATGATGAGATGAGAAACATGTAAATTCTCCTCTTCCGCATATGCTTTCCCTATGCTAATTGTCAGGTGCAAAATGACAGAGCGTAGAACAATGATTGACAGGGAGCTAAGATGGCGGTGGCCAGTTGCAGGATAAAGAGGTGTTCACACCTCACAAAGGACATATTTGTGATTTACAGTGATAAGCTAATATATTAAAAAGCTTGGGAAGTGACAGTTCCTTTTATGTAATTATTGAGTGATTCTAAATGAACTGCACTGATTAATCTATTTTACCAGTACAGAACCAGGATTATTCTCTAAACCAGGGGTTGGTGGTAGCGGCGGGCAGTGCTGGCCAGCGCTGAGAGGAAATGATTTTAGAGCACTCCCACCCAACAGTCTAAAAGTAGAAACCGCGTGGGACCAGAGGAGTGTGCCACAGCAGTACTGTGCCTTCTCAGCCTAGTTCCCACAAACATCTTCACCAACACAAATATTTAAAACAGCCCACAACCACACACACAGATTTACAGACAGCGCCCATACCTAAAACCTCACAAGAAGCACCTCCACGCAACATGAAAAAATCGACCTCACACACAATATATACAGCCCACAATACATGCATAAACAAACACACACAATATATACAACCCACAATACATGCATAAACACACACACACAATATATATACACAACCCACAATACATGCATAAACACACACACACACACACACTATATACAACCCACAATACATGCATTAACACACACACAATATATACAGCCCATAATACATGCATAAACACACACACACAATATATACAACCCACAATACATGCATAAACACACACACTATATACAGCCCACAATACATGCATACACACACACACTATATATATATATATATATATATATATATATATATATATATATATATACACACACACACAGCCCACAATATATGCATAAACACACAATATATACAACCCACAATACATGCATAAACACACACACACACACAATATATATACAGCACACAATACATGCATAAACACACACACACTATATACAGCCCACAATAAATGCGTAAACACGCGCACACTATATACAGCCCACAATACATGCATAAACACACACGCAATATATACAGCCCACAATACATGCATAAACATACACACACTATATACAGCCCACAATACATGCATAAACACACACACAATATATACAGCCCACAATACATACATAAACAAACACACACACTATATACAGCCCACAATACATGCATAAGCACACACACACACACAATTTATACAGCCCACAATACATGCATAAACACACACACACACAATATATACAGCCCACAATACATGCATAAACACACATACAATATACAGCCCATAATACATGCATAAACACACACACATACACACAATATATGCAACCCACAATACATGCATAAACACACACACACACACACAATATATATACAACCCACAATACATGCATAAACAAACACACACAGTATATATATATATATACACACACAGCCCACAATACATGCATAAACACACACACACTATATACAGCCCAAAATACATGCATAAACACACACACACACACACTATATACAGCCCACAATACATGCATAAACACATGCACACTATATGCAGCCCACAATACATGCATAAACAAACACACACTATATACAGCCCACAATACATGCATAAACACACACGCAATATATACAGCCCACAATACATGCATAAACAAACACACACACTATATACAGCCCACAATACATGCATAAACACACACACACACACAATTTATACAGCCCACAATACATACATAAACACACACACACTATATACAGCCCACAATACATGCATAAACACACACACACACAATATATATATAGCCCACAATACATGCATAAACACACACACAATATATACAGCCCACAATACATGCATAAACACACACACACACTATATACAGCCCACAATACATGCATAAACACACACGCACTATATACAGCCCACAATACATGCATAAACACACATGCACTATATACAGCCCACAATACATGCATAAACACACACACACACACTATATACAGCCCACAATATATGCATGCATAAACACACAATACATGCATAAACACACACGCAATATATACAGCCCACAATACATGCATAAACACACACACACAATATATACAGCCCACAATACATGCATAAACACACACACACAAAATATATACAGCCCACAATACATGCATAAACACACACACTATATGCATAAACACACACTACCACATACTGCTCACGCACATATAAAACCCACACACAAGCAGAATGCACACGCGTGACATTAACAATAATAAGGCTGTCACTCTAACAGATTTCAGACTTGTAGATGGCGTTTTTGACTAAAATTTGTAGATTCTGATTTCGGTCTGATACAATTCAGAGTTTAGCGAACAAATCCCTACAAATTTTTTTTTTTTCAGTTTGGCTAATCTGAATTCCCAATTCACCCTTTAATGAATAACCCAGTGCATATGAATGCTGCATACTGCAGGGGTAGCACTTTTCCCTTGTTGCCCATGGAAACATGGTGGCTCTGGCTGCTCTCATGTAAACACACACACACACAGTGCATGGAGCCCTGTCTGGGCTCCCGGGGGATTCTGGGAAGCCCCACGTGTGCGGTGCTTTAACTTCCCTCGCTCTGGCTGGGCTCGGATTCAGCTGCGAACTCCCATCGCCTGATGACGTAAAACATTCAAAAATAACTCCTTCGTCCAGGGCTGGCACTTTCGCCACGGTCCCTTAAGTCAGCCGTCCCAACGGTCGGTTTTTTCATGTTTTGTCGCTGAGGCTGGTGCGCGTGGCAGCGCCGGCGTCGCTTTGCACACGCTCCCTTAAACTCCCCTTTTCCTATCCCTCTCCCTCTCTCTCTCTCTCACAGAGGAGCTCCAACTAGTTCTCTTCTATTGTTCCCTGCCGCGCGCGCGTTGCGGACCTCGAAAGAAAAAAAAAAAAAGGGACGGCTCGCGCGGTCCGTCGGGCGCGCGCACGGCACACTCTACTTCAGGCTCCCTTCTTGCGCGCGTGCACGCCGCCTGCCCAGACTCTCTCTCTCTGTCCCCGGAGTGTAAAGCGCGCGGGCTGGCGGGATCGCTCGGGCGCGCGCGCGCTCGGCTGTAGCTGCTGGTAGTTAGAAGGCCTCGCTTGCAGTACCCGCGGCCGGCGCTCAGGGGTCGCTGTTCTGCGCTCTCTGCCCTCCTCTCACCAGCACCAGGAGCAGCAGCGGCCGCCGCGCAGGGCCTGGGAATCTTTTTGTCTGTGAGGCGGAGTGAGGAGCGGGGATTCCGCGGCCGCCGCAGCCAGCAGCCCCCCGCGCGGGTACCGGACTGAGGGGGCATCGGGGGGGGGGGAAGGGAGGGAAACCCCCCGGAGCAGGGCCCGCCGCGGCCGCCATCACGGGCACCGTCACCCACGGACACCGCACGGAGCCGCCGCCGGCACAAGGCACTCCACACAAAGGGGAGACGAGGAGCCCGGGCCGGCAGCAGCATGCTCCCTGACACGGGACCGGGACACTGACACCGAGCCGCACCGAGACCCCCGCCACCGGACAGGCCGCACCGAGACCACCACCGCCGGCACCGAGACCACCACCGAGGCTCACACCGCGGCCAACCGGACCCCCGGCACCTCCTGTGCGCTCCATGAGCGGGCGGCCGGCCCTCCTGTAAGGAGCCCGAGCACTAACCGGTTATCTGAGGACACCCTCCCCCTCCCTCCCCCCTCATCCTAACCCCGGACCATGGCTAACCCCACCGCCAAAACCGAGCCCGAGCACCGGAGGAAGGGGCTGGCTTTCCTGGACGAGCTGCGGCAGTTCCATGAGAGCAGAGGGTGAGCTTCCTCGGGACTGGGGGGAGGGAGGGAGCGGGTCCGAACCGGGTCATTGTACAGACAGGGGGACCGAACCGGGTCATTATACAGACTGGGGCTCCGAACCGGGTCATTATACAGACTGGGGGACCGAACCGGGTCATTATACAGACTGGGGGACCGAACCGGGTCATTGTACAGACAGGGGGACCGAACCGGGTCATTGTACAGACTGGGGGACCGAACCGGGTCATTATAGAGACAGGGGGACCGAACCGGGTCATTGTACAGACAGGGGGACCGAACCGGGTCATTATAGAGACTGGGGGACCGAACCGGGTCATTGTACAGACACACCAGCCTGCTGATCCCATTAACCTCTCCCAGTTATCAGCTATCCCAATAACACAAAATAACACAAATACTACATTAATTGGGGACACACTTTCCTTTAATTATATATATAGAATATATTATAGCCTATACATACTGTATGCATAATGTGATTGTATAAATATTTGGATACACATGCTGTACTGGAGCAGAATCATAACACATTGTGCTCTCAGGTTCATGTGGATCTTATTTACAAATATTTAAATAGTTAGAGACAGAGAGGGGGGGGGATCTTAGTTCCCAACCTGGGAAGTTGATGATGTTTTTGTGGTAGTACTTGTTACATGAGGCAGAAAGAAGATGCTTTGCCTGCATCACTTGAAAGTTATTTGTTTATACTCTTAGCACTGCCTCTCAGTTGGATACTAAGTTTTGCCGGGTGAATTGGGTTTCCAGGCATTGTGGGAAGGTCTGGTCATTTATTTTTAATCCAATGCCTTGTGTAGTTTTTGGGTTACCCATATTTACAATAAGTACCACACACACATCACAGGCTATATATTTTGCTCCTGTGCTGGGAGGCTGTTGCATACTGAAAAATATATAAACAGTTATTGTCAAAGGCAAAATGATACTGATGTGTAAATTTGTTATAATTTAGTACAGAACCAATATAATATCCAGGTCTAATATTGTATTTGTTGTGGTCAGTTGTTTTAAAGCGCAACACTTAGGTCACTTTTTTCTGATTACCTAATTGAAAAGGTCCTGTGATCATCTGATATATGTATGTTTATATTGGCATAGGAGATGCCTTTTATTTAAATACATTTCTTGCTGGTCCAGGGTGGACCAGAGGATGCATTTTTAAATAAAAATGTCTGTTATGCCTGATAAATATTCAAGACCATTAGACAGGCCCACGTGTTTTAGTTTGGCTTTTTGATATCTCCCTGCACAGTTTGGTTATGTTTTTATTTTTTCATGTTCTTGTATGATATGGATGTGAGGTACAGTTTGGACAGTGCACTGTGGAATAATTCTTCCAGATTCTAAATAACCCCACACTTCCTCAATTCTGGAAAATGTGAGAAGTATCTTGATGGATATTGAGTCAGATGATATTGGTCAATTTCAGCATCTACCCACGGCCTGAAGGGGCTTTAGTGTCCTGAAAAGTTGCATTACTATTTATCTTTCCTAATTTAGCATTAACAGGTGTTATTGGTGCCTTGTAGTAAGGTAGAGGGAAGTTAAGATAGGTGCAGTAGTTATAGAGCTATAATAGCGTTTACCATATATTGGATTATACCAGAATAGGTGATCACTGCCCATAGAATTTACAGTCTGGGAAGTGGAGGCGAACACGGGCAACACGTCGTTAGGCGACTTTTGGTTTTCGGACGCTGGACGTCCTCATGCTGTGTGTCACCCAAAACCCTATAAGAAAGCATTGTATAATGCCTTCCTATGGGGGGAACTACTAATGCGAGAGCAACCATTGGTGCGCATGGGCATGAGATCTCCACCGCCAATGTCAAGAGCAGAGGCGGAACCGCAGCCAGCGCCAAATGACATCAGAGCTGGACTCGAGTAAGTGACAGAAGAGGTTTTTAACCTCAGACCAATGTCTTAGAGGACACTATAGGGAGTTATGGTGCCAAGAAAACAACTTTGTTTTCCTGGCATCTTAGTTTCCCTTTAATGGTAACTTCTGTAGATGAACCACTTGAAAATATTCAACAGATTGTGAACATTTGAAAGGCTTATCCAAAAATGTTGCATCAAGAGGAAGGATAAGACTTCTGATCTAGATGCAGTAGTGTTGGATATATGTGCAGGTAAAAAGAGAGCAGTGAAAGAAAAGCTATTCTTTTTTGTAAGTAAATAAATCCACAATAGTATTTTAGTATTGTTGGAAAAGTGCTCTTCTAGAGGAAAAATACATGTCTGAGCTAATCAAGTTCATGGTGGGCATACAAATCTGGTTTTGGTGGTGATTCACAGCATTCCAGATGGTTATCTATTCATTGATTTACAATAACTTTGAAGGAGGTCACAAGATACAGTTTTGTTTTATGTTGTAGCATCCCGGTACTCAACTGGGTACCTCAAGGGATGCTGGTTGCACCTTACAGCCTCCCAACTCGTAGAATGTTTTTCTACACCAGCCTCACTATAGAGAGGGAGTTTGTAGTATGCACCTCCGGTGTCCGCGGATTCATGTCACCTCTCTTGCGGTCCTAGCTCAGAGTGCTGCCACTGTGTTACTATGGCCATGCTCTGACTCCTTAACTGAACGCTGGGATGGAAAGGTGCTGACTGTGATCTGCACCAATTGAGAGACTATAGCCCCTATTAAGGGTTTAAATGGAAACTACCTCACTGAAACACTAGGCATGACTGACCTCAGCCACGGATTTATATTTTTTTGCGGGAAATAAATGTCAGCTTCACTGATTGATCCACTAGGAAGAGAAGGTAGAGGTAAGGTAGGCAACACATTTTTATTCTTATATAAAGAACGTGCAAAGTCCCCCCCACACAAATACACACAGCCTTTCCTCTGACATAATCCACACACAAAGTATACACCGGACACAGCCTTTTCACTCACATAGCACAGGATGAAAACAGGGGAAATAAACAAAAGTTTGATAATAGAGACAAGTGCAATGTGAGTCAGAAAGACACTGTAAGAAAGAAGAGTCACAGACAAAGAGAGAAACTAGCAAGGTGAAAAGAGTTAAGAGATTTAGGACATAGGCAAATATGATTTCTGACTAGAATGGCAAAAATATTTGCTCTGGCCCTCACACGGGATTTTTTTTTATCAGACATACAGTAAGACATACTGTTGTAGCATATGGTAATAAATTATACTTTTCCTAGTTGTCAAGGCCGTAAAGCCATTTAGTTTAAAATATTTTTTAGGTTTTTGTTTCTGGCAAATTATTCTCTCTGCAATGCGAGCTGCTGTTTCCTGAGTAATCTACAGACTGCAGTTAGCCTGTCTGTTAGGAATACTATCAGCAGCCTGATGAGCACTGTTTTGGGGAAGGATAGTGACACTTTGCAAAAGTACCAGATAGAAACTATAATACCTGTAAAAGGCTACCTGTAAACTAACTTTACAGAATAAAGTGTAATAATACATGCCACAACATAACAAAAGTTAGTTTTTTTAAAGATGGTTTATTCATTTTTAAATGTACTCTGTCATACACTACATTTGCGAGTTACATTTGAATCTGAAAAAAAATGTCCCTTATACATTTTATTCGCAGATATACATTTAGATTATATCTGGTTTACTCCAACAGGGATATTACTAAAGTGAGAATTGCCAGGAATTCAAAGTGAATTTCAAATTTAAAGTGTTACTCCAACCACCATGACTACTTCTGCTATTTGACGTGGTCATGATAGTAAGAGTCTAGATGTGTAGTGTTTCAACTCGGTACATGTGGGTTAGGCAGCCCAAAACGCTGTCAATTCTGTGCATAAATTACATCTGTGGTCAATCGGATCAGATTGCTCAGTATTGCTTCAGACCTCTGGAAGAGAGGAAAACGTTCGAAAGCTTGTCTTTGAAGTATTATGTTAGTCCAATAAAAAACGTTATTGCATACTGCAATACTCTGGTATTTTGGCATTTTTAATTTATTATATCATTAATAAAGCTATGCATCTTATGCCATAAGTGCTTTACAATGCATAGATGATGCAAGTAAACATTACAAATTTAAAGGAACACTTTCTCTTAATGAAGCTGTTACGGTGCCTGGAGGTTCTTAGTGCCATCTTACATCAATGGGTTATACAGTTTAAACAACTGTTTAACCCCAATGTTGTGTAGATGGTGCCCATCTGCTCTGCCCTCTATCTTCTGGCAAAGTACTCGGATTTATTAAGGAAGTGCCAAACTGAACATCAGCGATAGGATGAAAGCATCCGCGGATACTCCCAGGTTATCACTAGCTTACTGTTGATAAAAATTATTTTAAAAAAATGTATCAGCCATAAGACTTGCCCCCTGGAGGGGTAATATCATAGGTGGTAGTTTACTTGCTTATTTGCTTAGCACACCACTCACTTGTGTGGTCTGCAGCTTGGGAGTTTTTTGTACAGAGTCAGTTTAAAAAAAAGACTGAAAAATAGATCTATAGTTGGGTGATAAACTTCATATCAAACAAACTGCTATTCAGGAAGGGATAAAAAAGCCCCACAGACAAAGAGAGACTCCCGATTGATGGATCCTCTTCATGTACAGGGGAGGCTCTGCCAGCTGCTGCACTTGAATTTAACTTTTTTTTAACACCCTTATAAATTGCCTTCAAAGCCATAGAGTTACTTTCTGCATATTGTATTTCTTTAAATTGGCGTTTTATGAAACTAACTCTAGCTTGCTGTTGTGTTTATAGTGCTCCCCTACTTCAATGTCAGACTCTTTAGTAATAATTTCACATATGCCAGGTCTCTTACCAACACATGGAGAATTCCCCTTGATATGAATAAACACTTGGCATTATCATTGTCAATTTCATTGAGCTTGGACAGCATTGATTGAGTGAGAGGGATGAGGCTAGTTCATTCAGTGCTGTCAGCCAGTTGCTGTTGTGGCAGCATTACTTTGATCTGATCAGTGTGGCTAAGTAGGTTGAAGACTCCATGCACCAGGACCCTGGTTTACATCAAGTGTAATGCCACTGCAGTGTCCATTCAAGTATACTGGACAAAAGTTCTGCTCAGACAATATTGTCTCTATTCCCTAATAATCCTAATATTACCCATTGTACAGGGCTATATAAATAATAAAATAATTACCCACGTTCAGAAACATTTGTACATACTGCTTAAAGGAACACTGTATGCAACAATTTCAACTAATGGAATTGATTATAACCCCTGCAGTCTCCTGGCACTGTCCCTCCATTGAGTATTAAACAACTTTTAAGCAGTTTCATTAAAAAGGGGCCCTGGCTTCCCAAACCCCTGCCTCTACTGGAGGTGTGGCTAGGGCAGAGATTGCATACCTTGAATGAGAACTGTGATAGGCTGAAAGTGGTCAGCTGACATTCTCAGCCATGTTCATTGCTGCTCAGGCTGATGATTTCTGAGGGACCTTTCATATAACATTAAAAATGGTTTAACACACAGTAGTGACTTTAATCAGAAGAAGCAGCTACAGTGTCCATTTAAGGAATTGTGGTAGGCTAAATTATTTTAACCCAGCTTGTTTAAACACTAAGTGGCTTTCTTGTAGTTGGTTATAGTGGTATACTTGTTAACCTGTAAAGAGCTGGGGCACAGACTAAGTAAAAAATCCTCCAATATAGCACTGTTTCTGTATAAATGAAAGTTGATTTTAATGTCCATGCTTAAAGGACCACTATAGTGCCAGGAAAACATACTATAGGCTCTGGAAAGGGGAAAAACTTACCTTTTTCCAGCGCTGGGCGGGGAGCTCTCTGCCTCCGATCCTCCTCCGTTCCTCCCCGTCGGCTGAATGCGCACGCGCGGCAAAAGCTGCGCGCGCATTTAGGCGGTCGCATAGGAAAGCATTATCAATGCTTTCCTATGGACGCTTGCGTGCTCTCACTGTGATTTTCAGTGAGAATCACGCAAGCGCCTCTAGCGGCTGTCAATGAGACAGCCACTAGAGGATTTGGGGGAAGGCTTAACCCATTCATAAACATAGCAGTTTCTCTGAAAACTGCTATGTTTATAAAAAAAAAAAAAAATGGGTTAACCCTAGCTGGACCTGGCACCCAGACCACTTCATTAAGCTGAAGTTGTGTGGGTGCCTAGAGTGGTCCTTTAACATTTTTTTTAGCCATCTTCCAGGCTCAGTAATGCCAGTTTTAGCATCTCTACACCAAGCTGGTTCAATGTGTTACTGTGCATCACATTGACTCAGATTATTTTAAACTCTTGGTAAACTTTAAATGTTGGTCATTTATGTAAGAAATTATTTGCTTTTATCATATTTACTAGTGCATTACAATTTGCAATATGTAGGCCTTAAACTGCCAATATGAAGAAAACCAAAACATTCTTTAGCTTCTGGTAATTATTGCAAAAAGTTCATCACACTTCTTACTTTAGTAGAGAGATCCTAATATTTACAAATCAGCATCAGTCTCTCTAGATATTTAGTTTTCTATCACATTAATGTGTTGGTTTTTTTTTTAATAATAAAATGAGTTGAGTTGGTAATCAAATAGCAAAATGCTACAAGAAAAATATATGGGGTTTAATCCTTAAACCTGCAACTATTAAATTTTAGCTCAAACATACTTTTATTGGAATAATTCATCATGTTTCTTTATTACCTGTTGGTCCATAATGGTCTACCTTGTGGTAAATAAATCTTGCATCTCCATCTCTGCCACTTGGATATTTTAAACTACATTTTATACTTAGGGATGCATGGAGAGATTTATTTAGTAAGCAATGAGTGACCTGACAGACAACAATGTTGGCAACCTGGAGTTTTATCCTCATTCATAGAGGCAATGTGCTCAATTTAATATAGTTTAACTAAATGACATGCTGTATTCCCTATACATGTAAATGTGTAGCAGCCTCTCTGTTATGGTGGGATTGAGTGTGACCCCAATAGGCCCTCTCGCCCTCTGTTATTGTTGGGTCCCCCAGCAGGCCCTCTGTTATTGTTGGGTCTCCCAGCAGGCCCTCTCGCCCTCTGTTATTGTAGGGTTCCTCTACCTCTCTCACCCTCTGTTATTGTTGGGTCTCCCAGCAGGCCCTCTCACCCTCTGTTATTGTAGGATCCCCCAGCAAGCCCTCTCACCCTGTGTTATTGTAGGGTTCCTCTACACCGCTCACCCTCTCTTATTGTAGGGTCCCCCAGCAGGCCATCTCGCCCTCTGATATTGTAGGGTACCTCAGCAGGCCATCTCGCCCTCTGTTATTGTAGGGTCCCTCAGCAGGCCATCTCGCCCTCTGATATTGTAGGGTCCCTCAGCAGGCCATCTCGCCCTCTGATATTGTAGGGTCCCCCAGCAGGCCATCTCGCCCTCTGTTATTGTAGGGTCCCCCAGCAGGCCATCTCGCCCTCTGTTATTGTAGGGTCCCCCAGCAGGCCATCTCGCCCTCTGTTATTGTAGGGTCCACCAGCAGGCCCTTTCGCCCTCTGTTATTGTAGGGTCCCCCAGCAGGCCCCTTCGCCCTCTGTTATTGTTGGGTCCCCCAGCAGGCCCTCTCGCCCTCTGTTATTGTTGGGACTCCCAGCAGGCCCTCTCGCCCTCTGTTATTGTTGGGACTCCCAGCAGGCCCTCTCGCCCTCTTTTATTGTTGGGACTCCCAGCAGGCCCTCTCGCCCTCTTTTATTGTTGTCTCTCTCAGCAGGCTCTCTCGCCCTCTGTTATTGTAGGGTTCCTCTACCTCTCTCACCCTCTGTTATTGTTGGGTCTCCCAGCAGGCCATCTCGCCCTCTGTTATTGTATGGTCCCCCCAGCAAGCCCTATCACCCTGTGTTATTGTAGGGTTCCTCTACACCTCTCACCCTCTCTTATTGTTGGGTCTCCCAGCAGGCCCCCTCGCCCTTTGTTATTGTTGGGTCTCCCAGCAGGCCCCCTCGCCTTCTGTTATTGTAGGGTCCCCCAGCAAGCCCTATCACCCTGTGTTATTGTAGGGTCCCCCAGCAGGCTCTCTCTCCCTCTGTTATTGTAGGGCCCCCCAGCAAGCCCTCTGTTATGGTAGGGTTCCTCTAGGTCTCCCAGCAGGCCATCTCGCCCTCTATTATTGTTGGGTCTCACCCTCTGTTTTTGTAGGGCCCCCCAGCAAGCCCTCTCACCCTGTGTTATTGTAGGGTTCATCTACCTCTCTCACCCTCTGTTATTGTTGGGTCCCCTGCAGGTCCCGGTTCAAGAAGATCCCTGCAGTTGGCGGCAGCGAGTTGGACTTGCACTCTCTTTACACGAGAGTCACCACTTTGGGAGGATTTGCTAAGGTGAGATGGTGTGTTTATATATCATAAAACCAGTTAGTAAGCCTCATGTTCGATGGAAATGACCTTTTACCATTTCAATGCTGTTTTGCCTTAATGTCAGTGTTAACTGTGTTGGTAAATACTGCTGTAAGTGCACTGGGTTATTATTTACATACAGTCTGTCTGATATCATTTATACTGTATTTGTGTTCTCTGATATGTATACTGTATAGGTGGTGTGTGTATATGTATGTCTATATAAACTGTATTTGTGCTCTGTTTGATATCATGTAAACTGTATTTGTGTTCTCTGATATATCATGCATACTGTAGTTGTGTTCTCTGATATATCATGCATACTGTATTTGTGGTCTCTGATAACATGTATACTGTATTTGTGCTGTCTCTGCCATCGATGGCCCTTACTGTAGATCTGTAGCCTGTTTCCCAGTTTAAGATACTCCATGCTTTCCAGGCCTAAACACGACCCGTGGGAAGGCCCCTGGCTGTTTGGGGGGGTCCCTGTCTGGCCGCTAGTTGGTGGGGGGTGGATTGCTACTGCTGTATAAGGTGTAATGGCTTATGTGGATGGGGGTGAGAATGTGTGATCGGTAGGGTGGGGGAATACACGATGCCCCCCTTCCCCGGGATCATGGGCCGTTCTAAATCCTTGCCTCCGTGTACTGGCCGCCCGGCAATAGCAGATGCTTTACGAACACTGAGCACTTTCCCTGCAAGTCAAAATTAGCGGGCCATGTCTGCACATGGGGATCAGCCCCAAATGCACGGAGACCAGCTAACCCCCTGCCCCCTCTTTCCCTGGGATCGCTGACAGAGTAGGGAATAACAAATCGGCCCAGACGGTGTATCAAAAGCCATCATGGGTCGGAAAGGTGGGTAGAGAATAGAGGAAGATGTTAAAACCCGCCGGTGATTATTGTTACAATGTTACACGGGCGGGAGTGCGCTCCCCGTGCTGCCCCCTCCCCCCGGCGCTTCCCTCCCTCCCTCTCACTCTCAGTGCTAGGGAGAGATATGCTGTGAGCTCTCACTGTACTGAGCTGGGACTGAGAGACAGCGCTCTACACGGCATTATGAACATACACATCGAGCTTTCTATTCACTCAAGTTGAGATATGCTTTTCCCCCACTAATTCTGTATGCAAAGCTGTTTGTTTCCTACCTGATATAATTGCAATCTTTCAGACTGGACCTTTCAAAACTGTTTTTTTCCTCTAACTCTGTCATATTATTATTGTTCTATATCCTTTACTGTTAGGTGATGTGATTAAGTAAATAATACATGTGTGTGAACTGCAGTTTTTATTTATTTTGTGTGGTTGCAAGGTGTCGGAAAAGAATCAGTGGGGTGAAATAGTGGAAGAATTTCATTTCCCAAGAGGATGCGCAAATGCTGCCTTTGCTTTAAAACAGTATTACCTACGGTAAGTGCAACTATTTTGTTCTTTGCTAAACCGTGACAATTTGTGCTTCATTTTTGTTGGTCATCTGCTTCATGTTAGATATCATGCCTTGCAGCGTTCTGTTTATGCCTTTAGGCCATTGGACAATGTAGTTTGTTTTAATTCTGGTAACATGTTTATCTCTATGGAGTTAATGGAGTTTTGATGTATATTAAGGTTTGCTATTTTAAATATATTTTTTTTCTTCTATTCTGGATTTTTGTCTTTCGTTACATTTGCTTATCTTATGACACAAGGTATGTGCAAAAAAATAATAAACTACAAAATAATCTGTGTACACACACATGTACACACACTTTAGTTACAAATTGGTGAAATTAAAAAAAATAAAAAATAAAAATGTAATATAATAACGCAAAAACCCCAGTGTTTGTAGAATTGTATAATTTGTTATGCATGTCTTTATATTAACTATCTCCTTGCCATTTTGATGTTACGGTTATTAATGCTTGTGAAACACAATTCACCCAAGACCGTTGCCAAGTACCGGTATGTGTTTTGCCTGTTATGATTTCTTGTGTGCGCATCTATTTAGAAACCATGAATAGCATTTATAATTAAACATCATTAGTGAAGTATGATCTTCCTGCCTACTTTGCTTATTTGTTTGCACTGAGTTTGTCATACACACTATTTTGTTAAAGCCTGTATTACTGGCTAGGGAGGTTCGATAATTTCTCAAATATACCTGTCATTGGCTGTCGTGGATTGACTTAATTTGAAATTATAGTTTAATAAACCACATGACCAGGATGCTTCTGAATACTCTCATGTTACTCACCACTGTAAAGGAAGGGAGCATTTAATACATATTTTATTTACACACAGTATGTTTTACAAGGAAAAAAAGTAGTTTTGGTTGTCTTATGTAACAGTTTGGGAATTTAGTGCACTGTAAAGGCAAGACAGACGTTGGTAACTTGGCATTTTTTCTTTGCAATATAGTTATGTTAATCAGGGATTACTTTGAGGAAGGGAAGAAAATTAATGGAATCAACTGCTTAGCATTCCTCAACTTTGTCACTCCATAAATCATTTTTGTCCCTTTTCATACTGAAATTTTGTAAAGTTTTATTCTGGTGATCAACGTTTGCAAGCTCACTTTATTGGATTATCTTCATTCCTCTTCATAGTCCTTTTAAAGCGACGCTGTCATGGCCGAATCCTGTGTTTTTTGTTTTTTTTTTGTTTGTTTTTATAACCACCATCCAGGCTCCACTACATCTAATTGGCCCCCTAGTCAACCCCAAATGCCCCTAAGCCTCCCATATAGGCTATTTTTTTAATCTTTATTTTCTGCCTGGACCTAGGTCCTGGGCGCTGCCATCTTTGTGTGTGCAGATGAAGTTCCTGTGGGACACGTCATCCGCCCCCACTGGATATTGCTGTGAAATTCCTGCACATGCCCAGTTAAACACTTGGGCATTCAAATGGGAATTTAATCTATTCATTTGTCAGAAAGACGAATAAATGAGTAGAAATTTAAAACGACTGAACGAAGACCTTGTCGTTCGTTTGGTTTATTACAAGAAGGGAGCTACTTAGCCACTTCTTAAGCCCCTCATGTCCTCCTTCACTCTGTTGGGGTCAATATGAACTCCATAATAGCATAAGGGAGATTAAAATCTTCTGAAGGCCCCTACTCTCTACATGCCCCTACTTGCTGTGAGTAGGAGCGTGTCTACTAAACAGTGAGCACCCGTGACCCGTTTAGTTGCATAGCCCCAACTCGCGGGGCATGGGTGGGGACTCTGGGTACACACACCATGTCCCCCCCACTATTTAATATATGCCCCAGCAGATTATCATTTTTTGGAGAGCAACAGGCACTGTTTATTAGACATGCCCCTACTTGCGATATAGTGAGTAGGGGCAGATTATTTACTAATACTAAGTAATCTTTACTTGGTATTGGTAAAAATGGCTGAAAGGCCAATCTTGGTCTTTCAGTCTTTTGGTAGATTGCTCCCTGATACCGTGGGAATTAGGGAGCAATCTACTTAGCAGCTGCAAGATGCAACCACGATCGGATCAGAATTCATTCGAATGAAATGTCGAACCGGACATAAGTCCCGAATTTCATCTCCGTATGAATGGACCAACTGCTCTCATTCTAATAGGGTGAAATTCGGTAGTTTTGCCAGCCCAATTGACAGTTGGGCTTTGACTGTCGGTGGCATCTGCAATCAGACCTGTTCAATTTGCATTTTAATTAAGAACTGCTTTTTTTTTTTTTTTTTTTTTTAGCAATTTACACTATGAGCAATACATCTGTATTCCTTACTAATTTCTATAAACATAAGGTAATCCATGCCTACTGGATATGTAACTGGCATTTTCCTATATTTATTTCCTTTAAAATGAGAATCAATTTGCAGGTCACATGTTTGCAAGTTAGTAAATCTAATGCCTGGAAGGTGGAGGTAAAACTTTAGTTGATTTTCTCTGCTGGCATATAAATTATGTATTAGAAGTTTGCCATTAATAAACATTTGTAGCACCTGTTAAATTACAGTGTAAAATCAGGTTTACAAATAGACAATACACACATAAAACATGACATATAATAGTAATGTATTTTTTCATGAGAACATAAATAACTCCTATTATTTATCAAGACCATATAGAGTAGTAATGTTTTATCCTTGGCACTGTATAGAGTTATAGGACACATAACTTAAAATTAGCAAGTACGATGGTTGTCGTTCATACTATAGGATGAAAGGTATTAATCCAGCTTTGGAGGGATAAAGGCAAATTCGTTCTTTAGCATAACGCTTAGCATGTTGCATAGTAATACCATATTTCATTATTGTAAAGGGAAAATTGTTAAAGGGCCCGGTCATTTCTGAGCTGTTGAGTAATCTTCAGTGAAGGCTGTAAAATAAATACAGAACCGATTACAAATGATATCGCTTTCTGAGAGTGAAGCCAAACCCACCAAGAGGTGAATTTAGAAATGCAGTAAGGGTTCTATGTGTTTGACTCTTGGATACACATATAGACTAACAAAAGGGATCAATATAATTTCTTAGAACTTTTATTTTTTTGTCTCTAGAAATTAAAGAAAGTTGATTTTTCTGATTTAATATTATTTGTATCATCATTAGAAATGAGTGCAAAATATTGGTACAGACGTGGGATTTGGCTTTGACTGATCACTTTGACTGTTTGATACAGGCTCCTACATTCGGCTGTAGTTATTGTTCTTAGTGTCCACACTATTTGGTTTGACTTATTGATTTATATGCTTGGTGTTAAATAATTTGGTTTATAGACATTTGTTGAAGTTAGGTAGATATATTTAGGAACCAGTGTATATATACACGTAGAAAATAAAGGGATACAGCTGTATAACTTAAAATCAAGACATTAAATGTGCAATACAGTAAAACATGGACTTTATAAGCCTTTACCTGACCTGCGTAGCTCAGCCTGTGCAGTGCCCTCGCTGGGTGAAGGTGGATTGGTTTTTATTTTATAAGTTTGGGAATTCTGGATTTTGATTTGGCCTTTTTTTGTGGCTGAAAAAAGGTTTTAGAAGAAAGACGACTTCTAATGGTAAGTATGACTTTATTTAATTTTTTCAGGTATTTAGGTTTTCAGGGTGAGGGGAGTAGGTAGGCTTTTATTTGAGGGGGTGACTAGGGGCTTGGGGCCCCCTAGTCACCTGGTCGAGGGGGACATTTAACATTTACCCCCCCCCCCATTGTCACTTTAAGGGTCCCCACCTGGCCGCTCATAGGTGGGGGTCGGAGAGGGTGGACAAAAGGCCCCTGTATTGTATTTTCTCCACCTGACGCGCATGGGTGTATGTTGGGGTGGTGGACATTGGGTGTCGTCATCCCCCTCACACTCCACCTATTGTAACTTGAGGCCCCCACCCACGCTCATGCGGTGTAGGGGGGAATGGGACAGTAGACCACTGTTGTAACTTAAGGCCCCCACCCCCACAGTAGGCCCTCCCCCTTATTGTATTTTAGGGTCCCCTCCCGCCAATTTAGGTCTTTCAGCCTCTTAGTAGATGGCTCCCTAATACCGTGGGAATTAGGGAACTATCTACTCGCAGCACGAATAGGATTGGAATTTTATTAATTCGAACAAAAGTCCCGAATTGCATCCTAACCCGAATGGACAAACTCATTTTATTAGGATGAAATTCGGTAGTTTCGCTGGTGTTCGAACTAGGGATCGACCGATTATCGGTTTGCCCGATATTCGGTATTTTCGACAATATCGGTATCTGCCTATAGAGATACCGATATTGCCGATAATGCAGACCAGGACTGCCGGGCCTATGACAAGCCTGTAGGGCCTACAACAAGCTCTTACTTACCTTCCCAGCAGCTCCCTTCAGCTCCCCCATTCTAAATCTTGCGATTCCTGCGGCCGTCAGAGCGTTGCCATCAGGTACCCCTCCCTGGGCAAGTAAGAAGCATTGAGGGGGGACTAAAAACATTTAATATTTTTTTTTTTTTAAATTTAAAATAAAAATGCTCCTCCCCCACATTTACACACATTACATACCTACACAAACACACACTACACAAACACATTGCATTTACTATACACACTACGCAAACACATTGCATTTACTATGCACACTACACAAACACGTTGCATTTACTATGCACACTACACAAACACGTTGCATTTACTATGCACACTACACAAACAAGTTGCATTTACTATGCACACTACGCAAACATGTTGCATTTACTATGCACACTACGCAAACAAGTTGCATTTACTATGCACACTACGCAAACGCGTTGCATTTACTATGCACACTAAGCACACGCGTTGCATTTACTATGCACACTAAGCACACGCGTTGCATTTACTATGCACACTAAGCACACGCGTTGCATTTACTATGCACACTAAGCACACGCGTTGCATTTACTATGCACACTAAGCACACGCGTTGCATTTACTATGCACACTAAGCACACGCGTTGCATTTACTATGCACACTAAGCACACGCGTTGCATTTACTATGCACACTAAGCACACGCGTTGCATTTACTATGCACACTAAGCACACGCGTTGCATTTACTATGCACACTACGCACACGCGTTGCATTTACTATGCACACTAAGCACACGCGTTGCATTTACTATGCACACTAAGCACACGCGTTGCATTTACTATGCACACTAAGCACACGCGTTGCATTTACTATGCACACTAAGCACACGCGTTGCATTTACTATGCACACTAAGCACACGCGTTGCATTTACTATGCACACTAAGCACACGCGTTGCATTTACTATGCACACTAAGCACACGCGTTGCATTTACTATGCACACTAAGCACACGCGTTGCATTTACTATGCACACTAATCACACGCGTTGCATTTACTATGCACACTACGCACACGCGTTGCATTTACTATGCACACTAAGCACACGCGTTGCATTTACTATGCACACTAAGCACACGCGTTGCATTTACTATGCACACTAAGCACACGCGTTGCATTTACTATGCACACTAAGCACACGCGTTGCATTTACTATGCACACTAAGCACACGCGTTGCATTTACTATGCACACTAAGCACACGCGTTGCATTTACTATGCACACTACGCACACACGTTGCATTTACTATGCACACTACGCACACGCGGCGCATTTACTATGCACACTACGCACACGCGGCGCATTTACTATGCACACTACGCACACGCGTTGCATTTACTACGCACACGCGGCGCATTTACTACGCACACGCGGCACACGCGTTGCATTCAATAACCAAATACTTTCACTGCATCATTACTTACACACATTCTTGAAAACATAAAAAATTCTGACTGGCATGTATATTTTGTGCATTTACCTTAATAAAAAAAAGTGCAAAAACAAATAAACATGTTCAGTTAACAGTAGATTTGTGTAGAAATAGTTTATTTTTTCAAAATGGTAAATGTACATAATATCGGTAAGTTATCGGCTGTCGGCCTGAAAGTTCACAGATTATCGCTATCTGCTCTAAAAAAAAAAATCAATATCGGTCGATCCCTAGTTTTGACACTGAATCTGTAACTGCATGAACTCTTAGGTCACATTGTTGGTTTGCTGTGGTATTTCTAAGGCTATTAATGTAATGAAAAAGGTGTAACTGCACCCCCTAGAGACTGCTTTGGAAATATATCTGTGTGTATTATACGCACAATTTAAAGGTAAAAACAAGGCACATCTTGCCTCACAATCCATCGACTTAAATTACAGTGTAGTTTGTTTTATTTTAATTATAGTTTAATATATTTGTCAATTTATTGATGTATTTATTTGAAATCTCTTGCCTCATGTAATTTTTCTGCCAAAGTATAAATCAAGGTTTCTGGTTCTCAGGTACATGGTGACTTCCAAGTACTGCAGCCTTAATGCAAATGACAATCTTACCAATGTATCTGACTCGGAGCTTGTTTCCTTACCTTGTCTGTAAATATATGCCACAAGCTGTTATTTACACCAAGTTTCCAGCCTTGTCACTGCTTAGCAGTCTACTGCTAGTATCGTCTGCTGCAACTGGTAGCAATCAATTCATAGCGATTACCTCTGTGAAAAAAGTGCACAGAACAGTGAATTCCTTACAACTGGGACAAACATAACCCTTTCAATGCAGAAGCTGAGCGCAATGCAATGTGTTGCTGTAATACTGAAAGGCAAAGAAAAAAAAATTCAAATATATATACATTAATTTTTTTGTTGAGATTTTTCAAAATATTTTATTTGTTGATGTAATTATCACAAATGTTATTTATTCTAACTTTGTGGCAATTTTTTTTTTTTTTTTTAAAGTATAATGCAAGATGCTATTTATTCCCCCCACTTTGACTAGGGGGGGGGGGGAGGAAATTCTAGCAGAATGCTTGGTTGTATAGGGAGAGGTATTAGCAGTAGAAAGAGGGAAGTGCTCATGCCATTGTACAGAACACTGGTGAGACCTCACTTGGAGTATTGTACACAGTACTGGAGACCGTATCTTCAGAAGGATATTGATACCTTAGAGAGGGTTCAGAGAAGGGCTACTAAACTGGTTCATGGATTGCGGGATAAAACTTACCAGGAAAGGTTAAAGGATCTTAACATGTATAGCTTGGAGGAAAGACGAGACAGGGGGGATATGATAGAAACATTTAAATATATAAAGGGAATTAACACAGTAAAGGAGGAGACTATATTTAAAAGAAAAAAAACTACCACAACAAGAGGACATAGTCTTAAATTAGAGGGACAAAGGTTTAAAAATATCAGGAAATATTACTTTACTGAGAGGGTAGTGGACGCATGGGATAGCCTTCCAGCTGAAGTGGTAGAGGTTAAAACAGTGAAGCATGTGTGGGATAGGCATAAGGCTATCCTAACTATAAGATAAGGCCAGGGACTAATGAATGTATTTAGAAAATTGTCAGACTGGGCTGAATGGTTCTTATCTGCTGTCACATTCTATGTTTCTATAAATTACTTACCTGGAGTGCAGCACTGGTTGAACCTCTTTTTGCTAGTTTCCACACTGCTGGTTTACTTTAATCCTTCCCACATCGTGGTCCATTGAAATGATTCTTCTATAGAGCCATTTGATTGGACTGTTCTCACAGTCTTTTTTTTTTTTTTTTTCTATTGTAGAAAACGTTCTTTTTGAAGTGTTTGCACTTACGATCACATAGAGCTAGGAATTATATTTTTGAAGCAAGTGTAGTATACAATAACATTCTTTGGCACCAGCACATGGCACAAATTGCAATTCGGCTTTAAAATAAAAAAAATCAAAGAAACTAATTTTTCTTAAATCCTGTAATTCCTTATTTGGGATGCTTTGTTCTCTGTTCCTAAATTCCTGTACAAATGCTAGAATAAATCATTGTACTTTGGTAATTTTTTTTTTCCATTGTATTTTTCAACGTCTTAAAATGCCAAGTCTCGTAGAACTACTAAGGTTGAAAACAGCTTGTGGTAACAAATGCGTATGCCAAACTGTAACTAGATGTTTACACACCGTGTTTTGGGATCACAATAAACAGTGCTCTAGGTCTACATGCTACTTGTTCTCCAGCTCCAAAGTTTATCAATCCTTAATGTCTGTGGTTTAAAGAAAAACTATAACTTTATAAATCTAGTTATCCCCTCCCTCCCCGCCCCCCCAATAAATAAAAAATGTTAAATTCGCCTTTTTATCCATCTCCAATAGTCTCTCCTGGGCATCTGCTTCTCCTGTTCTTAGACCATCCTCATGGAGAAGCACTGTTACCCTACTTCTCAAGCACGGTAACAGCTGTGCTTAGCAAATTGTATGCTTCTCGTAGAGCCTTTAGTGATGCTACACCTGAAGGCTTTCAATAATTGAGACATTTCACATGGAAGGGACTACAGTGGCTGTGTGATGTGACAGTCACTAGAGACATTCTTAATGACAGATGTAAATAGTGCCATTTCTCAAAAATAGAAATGCTTGCCTTGTCAGAGTGCGGGTCTTTTCATCAAAACCTGTACATTTAAAGGGCACTTGTCATCATACCTTAAACAACTTATGCTTGTTAGATTGAGCATAAGATTTTATCTATACATTGTGCTAGCAGTTTTGCTTGCAAATGTATGATTAGGAGAGAAACCTATTTTAAAATAGTTTTTTCTCCTAGCTGTTAGTCAACGCTTTGGTGTGCTGAGGTATTGAGTAACAAGGGAGAGCAGAAAAAGCTCTCAAAGGAGTTTCCCTCTGCTCTCCACCCAGAGCAACCACAGCATATGTACTGTGGTTACTATGGAAAGGAGTATAGAAACTGTGTCGTTACTCTGTTACAATGCCAGCACGCTTGCAACGAAGCCAGCGTGCCAACATCACTGACAAGATTTGTCCTGCTTGGGTATGCATCCCAAGCAGGGCAAATCAAAGAAGAATAGAGGCAGAGCAGAGGCCGTCCAGGAGGTGGGTGTTACAAGCAGTGTAACACCCACAAATTGGCCCCGGAACGGAGGAAAATTTTGTAAACCTTATATATTTTACATTGAATACACCATGTATCTTTGTGATATATGGTGTATCAAATATATGGAAGCCATTTTGAGGCGTCCTTTTTCCATTACAGATTTATTTTAAGATGTAGTGGTTTTAGTGCTTAGTGTCCCTTTATAGATTTTAAAACCGAGCCGCACGCGCATTCAGTCAGGTCATAGGAAAGCATTCTCAATGCTTTCCTATGGACGCTGGCGTCTTCTCTCAATGAAACGGCCACTAGAGGCTGGATTAACCCTATTGTTACCCCTAGATGGACCTGGCACCCAGACCACTTCATTGAGCTGAAGTGGTTTGAGTGCCTATAGTGGTCCTTTAAGGGCTGGATAACGGCTCACCTAGTGAAGTTGTACAATTTGGATATTTTGGCCTGTATTGTGCATTTCCCTGATGATTGATTAGCAATTCCAGGTCTTAGTAAATGTCATTTTAGATGTTCCAAAAATAGCTTAATAGTCCTTTATAAGGCAGAACTGCAGTGTGAGCTTGGCATTAGCAGAATACAAGGTAGATACTGAAAGTCCACTGTAGTGGATTATTGCAGAATTATTGAAACATAACTGACAAGTAGATCATAAACACTCCACAGATGAAGCGATACAGATGTGAACATTTATCAGAACGAGAGGAAAACACTTGTATAAACTCAGGAAGTTTGCCACAAGATGCAGATCAGTACCAGGTTAGAACATGCTAAAAACTACAACAAAAACTTAACTGCAGCAAAATCTTGTGGCAAATTAACAAAGATTATCCTGTACAAGGAGGGACAGAAAGTGGAATTTGTGAAGTAACAACTGCATGAGATTCATAACATCACTTACTTGTTATGTCCAGTGGAAATCTTATAGGTAATGGAATAATGACAGCAGTTACAGAATGAATTCCTGAAATGTACAGAAACATCTTAGCTCCGATACCAAAGAACTGAAATCTTATTGGAAAGCATTCAAAACACAGTAATAATCCCGACCATAAAGTGACACAGCATAACAGAAATGTAATGCTCTTGACCGGCTGGTTGAGCATGCTTTTCAATCACATGGTGAAGACTTAAGACAGTGAAAAACACACCTAGGAATCAAACAGGACTAAATTGGTGTAAAATTGGTCTGTCAGAACATAGCTAGTGGAAATGCTCAGCCTCCAGTGATTTCAGGCTTTCAAACAAAATTGCAACCCGATACTAAAAATGGTGACTTTGTTCTAGATATTTGTCACTTCATTTACTTTAAAGAAATGCTCCAAATGCCTTGACCAGTACAAACAGTCTCAGCCAATGAGCTAAAATCATAAACTATATAGTTGTCTTGTCAGTTACAAAAGAGTATAAATATTACTATGCATCTGGAATAAAAATAATCCTTTAAAATCTATTCAGGACAATAGTATTCCCAGATCTATTGCCATGCATGTATTTGTAGATATTTAATGCTAAATGTATCTTTATTATTTGTGACATGGCCCATGTAAGGTGCAAAATGTGCGTTTTATCGAATTTGCCAAAAATGATCTAACGCAAATGTTTGTATTCCCTCTGTATGATTAACTGGGAGTCTGGTCCAGTGTTGGATCCTAAGGGGTATGGGTTTCCCTTATTATGTAGTTTTTTTCCCTGCAGTGTGTGAATTTTACATTCTGCAGGGAAACACTTTTGCATGTCTATGTGAAAATGTAACAAAGACCTAGGAATAAAACATAGTGCATCTGACAACCTTTGGTAGGAAGTTGCATGTACCTCGCCAGCATCTTTTGTTTATCCTTCAAACATACTACTCTGAAATCCAAGTGAGTCAAAAGTGCTTGAAATTGCTGTGCTGCCAGTAACTGTTGAGTACTTCATAGTTATTTTTATATTTATCTGTAGATTAATACACTTTGCTGGCCATCCTCAAAAGCAGAATGCATGTGAAAAGAAAAAAATATATGGAGTAAAACTTCTGTTTATGCATGGCAGGGATAATTTGCATCACATACCTATATATAATAGTTGGATATGGTGGGGCTACACCTTATTTAATCTTTAGTGGAATATAATGGAACATGTCAATGATTTCATGCAAAAGTAGAGAAGCTGCAGTACTCAAGAAAAGCATGAGGGTCACTAGTTGTATATCTTTGTTCTGTGGTAAAGCATTGAAAAGTGCAGTAACGTCATCAGTCTTCTCTGGTAAAGCTCTCTGGAATTATATCGCTCATACCTACCTGCCCACTAGCTGGGTGATCGTCCTCTATGCTGGTGCAGCATGTCTTTGTAGGGGTTGCGGGCCCTTCTTCTTTTTAATGAGTGGCATTCTACTCTGTCAGTGCCAGGTGCCACCACACGATCTATCCTTTAATGCCTCACATGTGGAAGATAAAATATTCATTGACTTCAATTATGGAATTGAGATATGTAACACTCCAACTCTTTCAAATGGCACGGAAAGTTAAAATTGCATTAGTTTTAAGATTGTTGGCTTCAGTATTCCAATCATTCAAGTGAACGTCATTCTTCATTATTTTTGACTAGCTATAGCCTGATCTGTCAAGTACAGTCAATCAAAAGTCTAATTTTTAAAGCATTCCAGTTTTTGTAGCTCTCCTGATTTGCCCTGATATTGGTAGGGCCTGTATGAGAGTATGATTTAAAACTTTGCAAGTGTCTTTTAAATTAAATATAGTCAATGCTCAAAGGAATGTGTTCTTAAATAATTGTCTGTTAGAGATTCTTAAAAAAACAAACAAAAAAAATAACAAAAAAACACTGTCCTTGGTGTTGTGGAAGTAATGTTGGAAAATCCATACAAAAATTCAGGCCTTCAAATGCTGTACATGGAACAGACTTGATTTGAAATGATCTATTGCAAGGGCAAAGATTAATCTGATTGGGTTTATTTTTATTTTTTTTATGTTCTTGGTTCATCATTAAAACGCCTGTCAATACGTTGTGGTAATAAGTATAAATGTTTGCAGACACTAGTCTAAATAGCCCAAAATAGTATATTATAAAACATCCTTAGAGAAAGGTGAGCTCCAGGAAAAAAATAAATCTCTAACATTCCTATAATTATGGCTGTTTTGAACGAATGACGTCACTGTTTCCAAATGTAAATGATTGAAAGCAAATGAAGGTTGATCTCTTGTTGCTCTGACTGCTGATGAAACATATTTGTGCTTGGAAAACACCTACACACTTACTCAATTGCTCCATGGTTGTGTTTGTTGCCTTCTACATATAAACTTATATTTTTAGATTAAATTGTGAGAGGCAGAAAGTAATACCTTTAACCAATTTCAACCAAATGAACAGCTTCTTCCTTTAGTAACAGGGAAGGAATGCAACCTCTCATCCTGCATATTTTTTTTATAGGTTTTTTTGTCTTTAATTTTGCAATGATTAGATGTTTAGTATCCATATTTTCTCTGGCTGTTATCTCAGTGGAATTTTAAAGAACTACAAAATATGAACAGTTGCTACCACCTAACATAAATGTAATATTTTATATTTGAAAAGAAATGTGTCTATTTGTGAGCACAGCAGCAGTAATTATCACTTCTGCTAATCATTCACAGCTAGCAGGCTAAATAAGCCTATTTTACTGTGAGCACATCCCATATATCGGAATGACCTCATTAATTTTTAGTTTGTAGTTCTAATTCAGGATCTTGGTTGTTTATCCATTAAATAATGTGACTTACACTGGATTCTTTACTAATGACCGCATACCTTGTTTACCCCTATTAATTAGTTTGAAAGTGGCTCAGTGCATTGGATATAAAATTTATATTAAAGGGGAAGAGGCTGAAAGTGGCACCCTAAGCTCCATAGCCACAATATCATTTTATAGTGGTGAGGGTGTCAACAAATTATGTTGCTAATGCAAAAGTAACTGTTTTGTGTTGGGTATGGTGGGCAGCAGGTCTTGGGAGACTGTTGGTTTCTGTCCAACCACAAAAATGGAGCATACTGGCACCATAACCACTACAGCATGCTGCTGTGGTAATGGTGCTTAAAGTATCTATTTAATATGTAAGGTAGTTTGATTTGATTAGACTGTTCTCACCGGTTCAGAGATCATACATACCAGGGATCGACCGATAACATTTTTCCAGAGCAAATGCCTATACCTATTATCGGTCGCCTTTCAGGCTGATTGTCTGATGCCAATATTCGGTACATTTAAAGTTTTGAAAAAGTCACATAATTTTAATACAAATCTGGCATTAACTGAACGTGCTGACTGCAGTCACACTGAAAAAAATTCTAGGTAGCCAGTACATGCTGGGATCACTGAGATCCAAGCAGGTAAAGTAATCACACTATCAATCTGTTAGCTAGCCCAGTACATTACAGTCGATTATTCACGGTCTCACCTAGCTGCCTTCAGCTGAGCTCTCCATGTGTGGTCTCACAGAAAGGGGTGAAGATAGTGTTACAGATAGACTGATTATCTGTAAAATGCTGTATATCGGTGGAACTGACAATCGGTCAATCTGTAATATATGCGGTCTGAAGCATGGAGGGAATCAAGTGGAGGATGGACAGAGGGAGGAAGGGCTCGGAGGTGGGAAAATATGGCCTTATGAACAAAGGTAAGCATTGGAGACTGGGACAGGTCACACAATGCAGGGAGGGAGGGGAGATAAAGGCTTCAACTAGGTGTGCTCCCAGCACTACATGTAAGGGTAGAAGCTCACTACATCTCTTGCATGCGTGTAATGTGCACTCACTGCAGAGTATTTTTTTCATAGAATTAACATTATGTAGTCTAGAACTGTGTTCCGAGCTGCCTGTCACATGTGTTAGGGGTTCAATTAGCCCTCGGCACAAAAGTGCAAAAATATCTGTATGGTGCAGTGTTTCAAGCCGAAATATTGCACATATATTCCTTCCTCCATGGCAACTTCGAAAAGCAAAGATGGTTATGGACAATACAGTAACCCTTTAATGTAATCATAGTAAGAGAACTTAGCTGTTACCAGGTATAATTATCCAAACCAACCAATTTGACCTTAAAAGTAACTCAACTAACTCAATAATATTTTTTAGGATTTAATTCCAAACATCTTGAACTGTATATCCAAGAGGTAAATATTACAAAATTAATTAAATGTTATGTAAAGGTGTTGGAAGAACATTGCAATAGTGCTTTAGGGAACTGGTTTATGCTGACAGGAAATGTATGTTGGATGTGGGTTAATATAGCCATACGTACACAAATATTATTTAGGTACCAACAGGTAATAACCCATGCTTATTTTTATTGTACAGGCCAAAACCCAACAGTCTGAGTAATAGACCAATACAGAGTTTTGCAACTCCATGATGTAAAATAATTCTAGCAACAATGTATACTACAAACTACGTAAATAAGATTATTTATATTTTGACACACCATAAACCTGCTCACATGACCGTAATCCCTAATCTTCATATTCCATAAATGAGCATGTGAGACACCTGTTTGTGAGATAATTCTTAATAAAATTTGTCCCCTCTATGTCCATATATATATATATATATATATATGGACACACACACACACACACACACACACACACACACACACACACATCCATAAAAATTGGGACATCGAAACAATTCTAATCTTTGGCTCTATACACGACCACAATGAATTTGAAATGCACAAGATGTGCTTTAACTGCAGACTTTCAGCTTTAAATTGAGGGTATTTACATCCAAATCAGGTGAACGGTGTAGGAATTACAACAGTTTGTATATGTGCCTCCCACTTTTCAAAGGACCAAAAATAATGGGACAATTGGCTGCTCAGCTGTTCCATGGCCAGGTGTGTTATTTCCTCATTATCCCATTTACAAGGAGCAGACAAAAGGTCCAGAGTTAATTTCAAGTGTGCTATTTGCATTTGGAATCTGTTGCTGTCATCTCTCAATATGAGATCCAAAGAGCTGTCACTATCAGTGAAGCAAGCCATCATTAGGCTGAAAAAACAAAACAAACCCATCAGAGAGATAGCAAAAACATTAGGTGTGGCCAAATCAACTGTTTGGAACATCCTTAAAAAGAACGTACCGGTGAGCTCAGCAACACCAAAAGACCCGGAAGCACACGGAAAACAACTGTGGTGGATGACCAAAGAACTTTCCCTGGTGAAGAAAACACTCTTCACAACAGTTGGCCAGATCAAGAACACTCTCCAGGAGGTAGGTGTATGTGTGTCAAAGTCAACAATCAAGAGAAGACTTCACCAGAGTGAATACAGAGGGTTCACCACAAGATGTAAACCATTGGTGAGCCTCAAAAACAGGAAGGCCAGATTAGAGTTTGCCAAACAACATCTAAAAAAGCCTTCACAGTTCTGGAACAACATCCTATGGACATATGAGACCAAGATCAACTTGTACCAGAGTGATGAGAAGAGTATGGAGAAGGAAAGGAACTGCTCATGATCCAAAGCATACCACCTAATCACTGAAGCATGGTGGTGGTAGTGTCATGGCGTGGGCATGTATGGCTGCCAATGGAACTGGTTATCTTGTATATATTGATGATGTGACTGCTGACAAAAGCAGCAAGATGAATTCTGAAGGGTTTCGGGCAATATTATCTGCTCATATTCAGTCAAATGCTTCAGAACTCATTGGACGGCGCTTCACAGTGCAGATGGACAGTGACCCGAAGCATACTGCAAAAGCAACCAAAGAGTTTTTTAAGGGAAAGAAGTGGAATGTTATGCAATGGCCAAGTCAATCACCTGACCTGAATCCGATTGAGCATGCATTTCACTTGATGAACACAAAACAAGGGAAAATGCCCCAAGAACAAGCAGGAACTGAAGACAGTTGCAGTAGAGACCTGGCAGAGCATCACCAGGGATGAAACCCAGTGTCTGGTGATGTCTATGCGTTCCAGACTTCAGGCTGTAATTGACTGCAAAGGATTTCCAACCATGTATTAAAAAGTGATAGTTTGATTTATGTCTGTTAATCTGTCCCATTACTTTTGGTCCCTTAAAAAGTGGGAGGCACATATACAAACTGTTGTAATTCCTACACCGTTCACCTGATTTGGATGTAAATACCCTCAAATTAAAGCTGAAAGTCTGCAGTTAAAGCACATCTTGTTCATTTCAAATCCATTGTATTGGTGTATAGAGCCAAAAAAGATTAGAATTGTGTCAATGTCCCAATATTTATGGACCTGACTGTGTGTATATGTGTGTGTATATATATCATTTTATACAAACCTTTCTTTTCAAGTATATATGGCATAATCAGATTTTTACAGACTGTCTGTAACCCACGACCATGTATTTGCCTGCAACAACAACAAAAAATGCCTGCGTGGCAATCTCTGTGGGGGAATTTATAATAAATGTATTTCTGAAGCAGTGACTGCAGCCATACAATTCCTGCAAACTTAGAGACTTAATTCCTACAGGCAGATTTGTTTTGATGTTATAATTTACATTCAAAGCAACATTTTCACATAAGATTTTCTGCATATCATTTTATTTCTCTTGCGTCAGGGCATTAAATGAAAGTAATATAATGAAAAAAAAAATATATATATATCTATATATATATAGATATATATATATATATATATATATATATATATATATATATATATATATATATATATATATATATATATATATATATATAGAGAGAGAGAGAGAGAAAAATTGGCTCAGATACTTTTTAGCAGAATAATCTGAAGCAAGGAGATTAAACTTTTTATAATTGGCCATCAAATTGCCCGCTGACTGTCTTTCAGAGGCTTTTTACAAAGTCAGCAAAAGATACACACTGACCTAATGTTTACAATTCATATCTAAGTGCATTTATACCTGATGTGTAAGTTTACAATGATCTGTTACAAACGCAAGGCCAAAACACTGAAGGATCCATATGTAACATCTACAAATTCCAAAATGCAGTTTTATATTAAATAGACAAAATAATTCAAGACGGACAGCCCATACAAATGTTTAAAATAAAGTAAGGTTCACCCTAAGAAAAAATGGCAGCAATGTGCTCCAATGTGCAATGCAGGTAACATGTAGTTTTAATTCAAACAGATAAACTTTATTGATTGGGTCATTGGAGGAGGCGCAAAATAGACTAGAAGGTGATGGCTATTTGATTGGGTGGGGAGTGTGTAAGAGTGCACCACCAAGCAGGTTTTTCTGTATCCTTGTTCTGTTTCATGAAAATATTTTGGTCTCTTGAAAATCCATCATACAGTTTGGAATTTTAAGTATGAACAGAAACTTCCACCGGTTTTCTCTTCTGTTTAAACTGGCAATTCTCTCACACAGAGTTACATGTAGAATAGATAAGCATTTGGCAACCATGGTAAAGGACTGACCTCAGAACATAATATTCTCTGTATAGTATCTGTCTCAAAAGAACTAATGTTTATGATAAATTTTATAAATGCACTCATCACATTAACACAGCAGTCCAAGCTGATGAGTAGGCATGGGGTTGTCACACAATGTTAAAGGACCACTATAGTGCCAGGAAAACATTTTTTTGCCTGGCCCTATAGTGCCCCGAGGGTGTCCCCACCCTTAGGGCCCCCCTCCCGCCGGGCTCTAGGGGGTGGAAGGGGTTAAATTTACCTCTTTCTCCAGCGCCGGGCAGGGGATTCTCCTCCTCCATTCCCCCTCCTTCTCGTCGTCATCGGCTGAATGCGCATGCGCGGCACAGGCCGCGCGCATTCAGCCAGTCCATAGGAAAGCATTCTCAGTGCTTTCCTATGGACGCTGGCGTCTTCTCACTGTGAAAATCACAGTGGAAAGCGCCACTAGAGGCTGGATTAACCCTATTATAAACATACAGTATATACTCGAGTATAAGTCTAGTTTTTCAGCACATTTTTTGTGCTTAAAAACCCCCACTCGACTTATACTCGAGTCACTGTCTGTATTATGGCAACTTAGAGAGCCGCGGCCGTCAGAGCCATGGCAACGATCCCGCGGCAACCAGACCGCGAGACTTACAGTGGAGCTGACCGGAACGGAGGAGAAGGGAGCTGACAGGAGCTGCAGGAAAGGTAAGTAAATGCTTCCTGCCGGCCCCCCCACGTCACAGCCCATGCCACTGGACCACCAGGGATTAAGATAGCCCCCCTCCCTGACCAGTTAACAAGCAGGGAGGGGGGATAAAAAATAAATTAAAATAATAAAAAAATAACATTAAAATAAAATAAAAAATTAAATAGAAATGCCCTCCCCCCACCCAGTTCACACACACTACACAAACACACACTCTGCATTATATACACACTCTGCATTATATACACAGTGTGTGTATATAATGCAGAGTGAGTGTTTGTATGAGTGTGTGTGTGTATATAATGCAGTGTGTGTGTTTGTATGTGTGTGTGTGTATATAATGCAGAGTGTGTGTTTGTATGAGTGTGTGTGTATAATGCAGAGTGTGTGTTTGTATGAGTGTGTGTGTGTGTGTATATATAATACAGAGTGTGTGTTTGTATAAGTGTGTGTGTTTAATGCAGAGTGTGTGTTTGTATGAGTGTGTTTGTATATAATTATAAAAATCACAGAATTTCATAGCCCAAAGTTTTACCCTCGACTTATCCACGAGGCATAGCATATTTCACAATTGTTGGTCACAAAACTGCACTCGACTTATACATGAGATCGACTTATACACGAGTATATACGGTAGCAGTTTCTCTACATACATACATACATACATATTGAAGTTGCAAGTTGTGTAATGCTAAAAACTTGTTGTTTTCTAACATGTTCTAAACGTTTAAAAATAGATTTGGATTCAAATTATTGCTCAGTATTTTTGTGCAATGATGAAACCTAAAACACTGAGGAAAAAAAAAAGTATGTTCATGCATGTAATAATTACATATTGCTTACACAGGCATGCATTTCTGTGTGTAGCCCCGTGCTATTAAAACGTCATAGTTCGTTCCAAAAGCGATAAAACATTGTTTTACACATTCTTGGTTTGCAATATGCTTTATTTGAATCCTTATTTATTTTGATACCTCTTGATTTATGCTCATAGTTATAAATTAGGAGAGCAATGGCTAATTTTTAGATAATGTATGCTCTGAACATAGCAGTGAAGTGTATTTTAATATGGTTTAAATCATATTCTCACATTTCTGTTTCCAACTCTTTGTACTGTTTGTTTTACACATTTAAAATGTCATGTTTATGTATGCAATCCTCCACATCCCCATTAAATTCATCTGTATGCTAATTACAGCGTAGTAAGAAGCATGAGACTAGGGTGGTACAGCTCCATGGTAGAAACCACAGACTGCTAACCTTGGTGCCATAGATGTCTGTGAAATACATTTCTTCCAATACTCAGCCTCTCTTTAGTTCACAAATATGTATAATGCCAAGGTCAGTTAGCAGAAGTATAGACACCTGCTGCTGCAATTAATGTTCTAGACACTGGAAGGGAACACAGTCACATTGGAATAATTTACTGCACAGTAGCAATTTAAGCGTGAGAAATGGTAATGAAAAACATGTTACCTTTTCTTTCTTCCCTCCCCCCACCTCTTTTCGAAGTGGACAATTGGCCTCTTACAGTTTCACAAGGATGTTTTACTAGATTTACCCTGGAACGATCATATACCTAAACTATTTAACAGAATTGCTCTTGATGTCCCCAAGAATCTTCATTCTGGAAGACTGTACTTGTATTCATGAAGTATTCCCCTGCACCCCAAAAAGTTGCGTTTTAACTGCGATCTAATTTTATTTTGATACATTTTATAACCTTTCTTGTTGTAATTGGTAATCTGTGAATGTTCTGAAGTGCCATTTGTGTGGAAATTGGATTTCCACAATAAACACAATTTTCCTAACACAACATCCTTGTGTCTTCACAACAAATGTCCTAAATTACATGTAAAAGAGAGAGAACCTATGTGCAGAAAGTTGGGGGACTAATAGTCCATCTCATTTATACATAAAGATTTATAATTTATCCCAATATGCTTTTTCTCTTTTGCTTCAAGTGTCTTTTTTTTATTTTTTTATTCTGTAGGCACCAGATATTGCATGGAAATGTTAAATTAAACCGTCATTGACTCGTTTTCACCACATTTATGTTTAACTGGCTTACTGAACAATGGTGTTTTGCATTTCCAAAGAATCAGCTGTTTTGCTTCTTCAGTGATATTGAACTGCTGTGATTGTGGATGTAACATTATAATATGCCAGAGACTTAGTGTCTCTGCTAGAACACAGATTAGCCTATGAAGTCATTGTAAAGAAATAGTGAAATGTTTCAGAGCTGGGAGATTTAGTCATTCTTTAAAAGTAAGATTTTAACATTCCAGTGTTGGACATTTTCTCAAGTGAACGGAGGAATTTCCGGTAGGAAGTCACCAGGTATTATTATTCATCATATCAAGGGACATGCATCACTTTGAGATAGCTGTCTCATTCAAATGCTTTTTTTGAATGAGACAGTTGTTCACTCTACAGGTTGAAAACACTAATGGTGTCCTATCCCTAGGAATGCTGAAAAAGTGCATAGGGCATGCCTGACAGATTTACACATGGGCAGTTGGAAGATCTATCACCTGACGGGGAGAGAAAAAAAAAAAGTGATGCATGCCCCTTTAAATAATCTGCTTTACTTATTGATTTTTAGCAATTATTTGATTACAGAAAAGTGTTATTGGTAACCTACTACTTTACTTCAAGAATATATGTACTAAATAAGGGAACACATGATGTGAAATTCATATGATATCAGTTTTAAAGGACCACTATAGTGCCAGGAAAACATACTCCCCCTCCCGCTGGGCTCTAGGGTAAGGAAGAGGTTTAACACATACCTTTTCTCCACCGCCGGGCTCCCTCGGCGGTGGGGACTCTTCGCCTCCTTTCCCCGTCATTGGCTGCGTGTGCATTCAGCCAGTCTCATAGGAAAGCATTGAAAATCACAGTGAGAAGCGCCTCTAGCGGCTGTCAATGAGACAGCCACTAGAGGCTGGATTTCTCTGAAACTGCTATGTTTACAGCAGGCAGGGTTAATCCTAGATGGACCTGGCACTCAGACCACTTCATTAAGCTGAAGTGGTCTGGGTGCCTATAGTGGTCCTTTAAGTTTCATCTATAAGCAACATTCTTTATTCACTTGCTCCATCTTAGAATTTAGATTATCTAATTTATATTAGAAAAATAATAAAAAGTTTAGTTTATATTTAAAGGAACACTCCAGACCCCCAAAGCTGGAGTGACGTGTCCTCTTTTTTTAATTTTTGCAAAAAGTGCAGATTTCAATAGAAATGGACTCTTATTTAAATTATCCTAGTTACACACCCCCTTGGTTTTCAATCATACAACCAGTAATGTTACTTCTTGGTTTATTTAGCTCAGTGGAGCTAAATTCAAATGGCTGCAATTGCTCCAAGCTCCTGCCTGACAAACACTTCTCATTGAGCAGCATTGGGAAGTCTGTGGACAGCCACTGAAAGTCTAGGTGGGGTTTAAAGAGATCTGTAGGCTTTGCAATCTGTTTTTAGATTTACCCCCAATTAAAAAATGCTTTTTTGGGGGGGTTGGAGGGGGGGGAGGGGAGAGAATAACTGCTAAACAGTAATTTGTATTTATTTTGTATTTGGACAGTGAAAAGTCCATTTAAAACAGACATAATCAATATTAACTCCAGATCTGAAACTCCATAACCGTTCTTTGCATATTGTTGCATATAAAGATATGCGAGCATTCACTGTTTTATTTCTGCTACTCAACCCAAACCACGCAGCTCATATGGCTGAACACCATTTGTTTTCAAATCTTATAGGGATGTATTTATTGTACAGTGAAATTGCAAATTTACAGTAACCTATCTGACTTGAAAAAATACTAATTGGGCTCACTATTGTAAAACCTTAAAAAGGACCTGTTACTACTTTCAAAATTCTATAAAGGTTGCTGCAGTAGGTCATGCTTGTGCCCCTTGTCTGCCTGCTTACTACAGATATTAAAGAAACACTATAGGTTGAGGAACACAAACTTATTCTTGACCCTATAGTGTTAAAAACACACTTTGGGCCCACTAAATATAGTAAAATCTCACCTTTATTCCAGTCTGCCGGTGCAGGCCCTGCACCTGATCTGGCTCCTCGACTCACATAATCAAAGTGATGATCTCCCATAGAAAAGCATTGGGTCTCGGCCAAGGATGTGGGCAGAGGAGGCAGAGCTAAACATTGAATCAATGTATCTCTATGAGGAAAGTTCAGTGTCTGCATGCAGAGGGTGGATACGTTGAATGTGTGCAGCACTGCACCAGGAAGCACCTCTAGTAGCCATCTTAGGAGTGGCCACTGGAGGTGTCCCTAGGTCTCTCTGAAAAGACAGTGTTTACTGCAAAATGTCTTTAGGGTCAGGCTATACTCACCAAAACTACATTAAGTTGTAGTTGTTCTGGTGACTATAGTGTCCCTCTGATGCAAATTAAGACTGCAGAGCCTTAAAGGGACTCTATAGTCACTAAAACAACTTTAGCTTAATGAAGCAGTTTTGGTGTATAGAACACGACTCTGCAGTCTCACTGCTAAATTGCCTATTATGAGTTAAATCACTTTGTTTTTGCAGCTCTAGCCACACCTACTTGCCTGTAACACAACTTTCCTAAACACTTCTAGGAAAGAGAGATCTAGTGTTAAAACATTCTAGATTAAACAGAATGTGCAATAAAGGAAGTTTAATCTCCTACTCTGTGATTAAAATTCGATTTACAGAGCAGGAGATAAAAACGTCTAGAGCAAGTTAACCTCTGATCAAAATGAAACCATGTGTGATATCATGCAATCACAACCAGAAATGTTATGGCAGGGAGAACATTGTCAGAGAACACCACAATGACCAGCTTGTGAATGAATGCCACACTACCTAACCATTTTCAGTGCCAAAACAATATTAATACATTGTACAAAGCAGTGGCCCTTAAATGGTTAACATTCTAAATGGCTTACCTAGCAAAATTATGATTAAAGGAACACTATAGGGTCAGGAACACAAACTTGCATTCCTGACCCTATAGTGTTAAAACCACCATGTAGTTGGCTTGCCCCCTTAGAAAGGTTTAAAACTTGCCTTATTTTCAGCTCTCCACGGGTCTGCATGCTCTGACCCAGCCCCCGATTCGCCTCACTGACTAACATCAGAACTGATGATTTCAGCCATTAAATTGGCTGATATCGTCAAGGTCTCGTGGCCAAATTCTTTTCAATCCATGCATCTCTATTGAAGTTTAGTGTCTCCATGTAGAGCGTGGAGATGCTGAACATCATTGAGGCGCACTGCCCCAGGAAGCACCTCCAGTGGCTATCTGAGGAGTGGACACTGGAGGTGTCACTAGGATTTAATTTACACACTGCCTTTTCGTTGAAAAAACAGTGTTTACAACAAAAAGCCTGCAGGGACTGACTGTACTCACCAGAACTAAATTAAACTGTAGTTGTTCTGGTGACTATAGTGTCCCTTTAAATTAACATTTATGAACGAGCGGCTTGTATTTTCTAGTTACTTTGTACATCCTTGTCTCTGCTTTATGTCCTGTTACCTATGCTCAGCAGCTGCTAGTTTGTTGTACTCTAGTAGTATATCACACATTTCCTTAATTCTACCTACTTTTAAAATGAGAATGAATAGTAATATTAATATAACATTACACTTTTCAAAAATCACATTAAAATTTTATTTTTATTTTCTGTTGCTTTTGTCATTTTCGCTAGTGGTTTGTTCCCCTTGCTGGGCTCAACTGATATGTTCCAGCAGCTGTTGGCTGGCAAGTCCCAGCACAGTATGAGTGAACACAGGATTTCCTGCAGACTAACGGTATCTTCTATAGTTAAACTTCAGTCAAGAATAACAGTGCAATGGCAGTGTGGTGATATAGATACTATATTACCCTGTAGAACAGAATATTTTGTAATATTTAACAGAGAATTCTGCAGTACATTAATGTTTTAGTGACAAGTCTGCCCCATTGAAAGTGAAACCAGGTTGGTGTTTTTTTTGTTTGTTTTTTGGGTTTTTTATGCAGGCTGTGTCTGTTCCAGCCACAGGAGGTGTGGCTAGAGCTGCATAAACAGATGCAAAGTGATTTAACTCCTAAATGGCAGTGAACTGAGCAGTGAAACATCAGAAGCATTAGTTATACACTAAAACTGCTTCATTAAGCTAAACTGGTTTGGTGACTATAGTGTTCTTTTAAGTCATTTGCCTCTACTTTTTTTTTTCTTTTTTTTTTTCTTCAATCTTATCTCGGACTATCCAGTTTGGCAGTTTATGTTAAACTCTGTAGCCCTATCCTTTTTTCCTTTAAAGGGACACTATAGTCACCAGAACAACAACAGCTTAATGTAGTTGTTCTAGTGAGTATAGTCCGTCGCTGCAGGCTTTTTGCAGTAGACAGTGTCTTTTCAGAAAAAATGCAGTCTTTACATTACAGCCTATTGACACCTCCAGTGGCCACTCCTCAGATGGCTTCTAGAGATGCTTCCTAGGGCACCACCCTCTGCATGGAGACACTGAACTTTCCTCATAGAGATGCATTAAATCAATTAATTCTATGAGGAGATGCATTGGTCCAATGCATCTCTATGAGGAGATGCTGATTGGCCAGGGTGATATTTAACTCTGCGTCCGTCCTACCCCCTCACCTCCTTTGCTGATATAATCAGAATTGATCATCTCTGCCATTCCAGTGCTTTCTAATAGGAATCATCACTTCTGATGTCAGCCAAGGTGGCAGATCAGGTGCAGAGCCAGCACCAGCAAACTGGAATAGAGATAAGAATTGACTAAATTTAGGGGGCAGGCATTCTAGATGGTGGTTTTAACACTATAGGGTCAGGAATACATGTTTGTGTTCCTGGCCCTATAGTGTTCCTTTAATGTATCTGAATTGAGGTTGTAAATAAAAGGGTGTTTCACAGAATGTTTGTATACTTGAATTTTAGCTCTAAGACACATTAGGCAGTTTATACTGTTAGTGTGTGGATTACATTGCAATTGGGAAATCTTTGGAAACTCTGTATCAAGTGATGGTGATTGTATCAGATGGAGTAGTCATGGACAAGGCACTAATTACATTGCCTCACTGCCTAGGTAGAAGGGATGCTGAATTCTTGTGTGGGACGTTTTGTCAGGGGGCAAAATGATCAAGACAACCCTGTACTGACAATTTCTTAATATGTTGGCAATGCCTTTGCGTTAAGTTATTATTTCTGTAGTATACCGAACAGTATTTTTTGTTTTAAAATGGGAAATAATGAATAATTTTTAGATTCATTTTAATTTCTAGATTTAGTTTTTTTTGGGGGGGGGAGGTGGGAAGGGGGGTTCTAATGTACCTACACCTATTTGTGGTTTTCTATATCACGGCTTAAATAGATACTGTAATCACTGTAACCATTTCATTTCTGTGAATTTGTTATAGTGTCTGCAGTCCCCTGGCACTTTCCCCCTATTCAGTGATCAACCTTTTTGAGCAGTTTAACACTAACTTAGGGTCCCTGGTCACCTATAACAGCTACCTAGAAGTATGACTGAGGCAGAGATTGCACATTTCCTTATAGTTATACCATTCATACCAGCTCTGGGCACTCTGATAGGCTGAAAGCTAATACTCTCAGGAAATCCCGGCTGCTCATTATTCTTAATTAGTCCCCGCAGCACAGAGCTGAGGGACTGCTGGGGACTGTCAAAACATTAAAAAAATGTTTTTAGTGCTGAAAGAAAGGATGGGACCTGCGGACTCCAAACACTATAACCAGTTCAATGAGGTGAAGCACATACACAGTGTTAGTTGATACACATATTTTAGTTAACTTTCTTTAGAAATATTTCTTAAGATTATTGGGCAAGGACAGCTCCCCCCCCCCTATTAATTTTGACATATATGTAGATGGTACCACAATATATACATGAAGAAACATGAAGAAACACTTACATACCATACACACACTAAAGACTTGTATTTAAGCTATTGTTTATTCAAATGCATCAGTGGTTAAAATGTTTAAATGTTTTGAGAAAGTTTGTGTACGTTTTTATTTTTAGAAAATATTAGTGAAAGGGTTTTAAAAAAAAACAAACAAACAAAAAAAAAAAAAAAAAACTCAGTTCTCCTATGATGTACCCTAAAAGGTTTTAAGTAAATGTAATATACACCTTTTTTTTTTTTTTATTTTCATCGTGCGTGTAATAACATTTGGCGTGCAGGGCCACAACAGCAGCTGCATGCTTTTTCATAACATTTTAACATTGTAAGTCATGGCAGGCTAAACAGTGCACTTTTTTTTTTTTTTTTGGGAAAAAAGAATAACACTTGCAATTATCGTGCTTAAGAACAATGATTAATCAGTTTGGAGGTGTTCAGCTTGTTAAATTTACAGTTAGTTTGGTCTCAGGTAAAAATTAGGTTAAGTACATGGCAAAGCTGTACGGTGAGGGTCTAACATGAGTGCGTATGCATTTCTCTTGTCCCCTTCTATTCTTCCTCCTATTGTGTTTTCTGATATGCATATATGTATGTCTATATTCTCCCTACGATAGAAAGTTATGGACTAGTACTAAGGTCTTACGCGTTAAACGTTAGCAGGTAAGTTGTTAGAAGCGTATTAGCCAGCATATTCAGCCGCTGACACCGCCAGAGTAGGCAATTTTAGAAACCCCAGGGAGATCAATAGAGGTTTTACTGATTTAGTTGAGTTATCGTGATATCAAGGGCTAGTGGTAGCTCGTGTTCCGGGTGGCTAAGTTTACAATCCTATCCGTGTTGCTCAATAGGAGCAATGCTGAGTAAACAAAACTAAAACCATAAACGCAAAAACATTACACACACAAACCGAAAGAGAGCTTTGTCCCCCGTGCTGTAGCAATTAGCCTAATGTGTTCGAAGTGTGTGGGCCTTTGGTGCTAAGTATCTTCTAGAGGCGTCTGTGTGCTTCTGCGTGCCAGAGGCCGTTTAGAGGCAGTAGTATTATGTCTGTGTCCCCTTATTACAATTCGTGTGGAGTGTGGTACTAACGTAGAGCGATGGTAAGTGTTTATGTGGCTATTGTTAGAGTAAAGATAAAAAAAAAAAATAGAAAATAATAACATTAATAAAAAGTAAGATAAGCTAAGCGTTCAGTTATAACAATAAGGTCGTGATTCGGCCAATCTGTGAGAAAATAGAAAAATAGTGTCCCGGTGAAGGGCCTGTCGGGCTCAAGTCATGGCTGCCGCGTAAGCCTCAGTGGCTCTCTGCCCGGGCTTGAATTCTGTGGAGTGTACCGGGTCAAGGCCTCGAGAGATTGCAGGTAGCGCTCTTCCGAGGGAGTCCAGAGGGAGATCCAAGTCTCTCAGTGCCCCTGTGGCTTCTTGCATGTCATGTATGACATACGTTGTTTCACCTTTGGTGACGTGTAGTGTGTTGGTTGGGCCCCATCGGTACCGGAGCTGGTGTGTGCGTAGTAGGGTGGTTAATGGTCTTAGCGTTCTCCTCCATGCCAGCGTTCCTCCCGAGAGGTCGGTATAGAAGGAAAGCTCCATCTTCTCAAAGAGGTAGGTAGGTCGGCCTCTGGCAGCCGCTTGTACCGCCGTTTTGTCTGTGCGGCTGAGTAACTGAAGAATCAGGTCTCCAGGAGCTGAAGTTGATGCTTTGCTCGATTTCAGTATGCGGAATATACCAGTTATTTGGGTCGCTTTGGCCGCTTTGGGGTTTAGAAGTGCAGCTATCAGCCGCCTGGTGAAGTGTGGTAGCTCAGCATCCGAGATGTTTTCTGCCACTCCCCAAACTTTTAGGTTGTTTTGGCGCCGTCTATCTTCCTGGGCGTCGAGCTTTCGTTCCGTGAGGAGGTTTTGTCGCTGAAGTTCTGAAACCGCCTGTTGCAGCTCCTTGAGATGGGTTGCCTGTGAGTCGGAGCGGTTTTCTATCACACCCAATCTGCTAGATAGGCCGCGTAAGTCGTCTCGGATTGCAGCCACCTCTGCCGAGATTTTTTGATGGTGGTCTTCCGTGAGCCTGCCGATTGCATCCATTGTTACTGGTGTGGATGCCGCCGTGGGCGGTGGAGGGCCTCCGCAGTTCTGCCACATTCTCCCCTTCTGCTTCGTCCGATGTTCCATCCTCAAAGTCGTAGCAGCCTCCGTGTAGGGACGCCTTGTTGGGGCCTGGTGCACTCAGGGCCTGTTTCCATAAGTCCCCAATGTTCATGCCCTGCCGAGGTTTGTCTGGCTTTTGCTTCTTCATCTTCCGGCCCATGTGGGTCGGGGGGTGTTGGGGTACCCCCTGTTGTGTGGGTAGGGTGATGAATCCCACTTTTAATGATTGTTTTGGCTCTTTTTCTCCCGGAGCTCCGCGGCCATGCTGTAATATACACCTTTTATGTAACCACTTTTGTGTGTGCATCTATATATGGTGAAAGCATGTTTATAACATAATATCCCTGCCTCTCTATCTCACACAGCCATCACTCACAGTAAGTCATAAAGTTGAGTAAAAGGAAAATTTCTATCCTATAAAGAACTCCTACAGGCTGACTGTGGGTAGTTCTTTTGAGCTCCTCAGCTGACTTATGACTGTAAAGTCGTGGTCAACCTTCCCACAATCTTGGGTCATCATCCACAATGAGCAGATAGAAGTGGTAGGCAGCTGCTGTGAACAATAGGGGAATTTAAGGGAATAATGGGGTAGAAAAGCAGAATGGAGCAAGTCAATCCACTGACATACGAGAGTGTGTGTTTGCTGTAAAATGCACCTGCCTATAATAAAAACTAAAAAAAAAATCTTTGATTCTACACATCTCTTCATTCTGAAAGGACCTTTAAAATCACCCAGACCACTTCATCTCAATCATCTGTCATTTTAACCCTGCAACAGAAAATTGCAGTTTTGTAGAAACTGCAATGTTTAAGTTGCTTTGTTAAATACACCACTATTGGTTGTCTTCCTGTCAACCATTAGAGGCGCTTTCTCCTCCAGAACAGAGTGAAAATTGGAGCTGGAATCAAATGCTGCTGATAAATATTAGATTGGAGGTGCGTGGCATTTGACTTTAAATGCTTAATTCCAATTCATTGCTTCTATATAAGACGTGTAAAGAAGCGAGACACAATCTGATGTTTGGTTTTATCTCCAGGTATTAGTTTCAATGATTTGTCATGCTCTAGGTATCTAGAGTGTCTTTTACATCAGTGTGCTTTCTGAGCAAATTTGAGGCAGATAATTTAGCAATAAGACTGCAAGAACTATACAACAAAACCGCTTCATTAAGCTAAAGTAGTTTTGGTGACCATAGTGTCCCTGACACAGTAGGCACCCAGACCACTTCAGCTCATTGAGGTGTTCTGGATGCATTGTCCCATGCCCCTTAACCATACAGTAGTAATTATTGCAGTTTGAGAAACTGCAATAATTACCTCTGAGGGTTAACTCCTCCTCTACTGGCTGTCAGTCTGACAGTGACCGGAGATGTGTTCTCCAAGAAATGTAAACTTTACCCTTTTTTCAAGACCATGCAGGAAGGTATGATAAGGGTTGTAAAAACAAAATCACTTAACCCCTCAATAGCAGAGAATTGAGCAGTAAGACTGTAGGAGCATGATCTATACACCAAAGCTGCTTTGTTAAGCTAAAGTTGTTTTGGTGACTGTCGTGGTACTTTAAGTTTTATTAAATGCAATAAACTTAATTTAAACCTTAAATTAATATTTGATGAGTTATCCTTTGTAGGTTGAAATTTTCACTTGCTTCCCAAGGATGAAGTGTCACTGCCAAGATACATGATGGCACGGCAAAGGATTAAATTTTTTTCTAACACTGTGAATTGTGTATGTAATGTATAAGCAAAAGTGCAGTAGCGATGAGTGTCATGTTTCATCTGTGTTCTTTGGGACACAATCCTAGTGATTGGATCACAGTTATAGTGATTGGAGTGTGTGATTATTGACGTTAAAGGACCAATATAGGCACCCAGACTACTTCAGCTCAATTAAGTGGTCTGGGTGCTAAGTCCCCCTAGTTTTAACCTTGCACCTGAAAACATAGTAGTTTCAGAGAAACTGCTATGTTTACACTGAGGGTTAATTCAGCCTCTAGTGGCTGTCTTCCTGACAGCCACTAGAGGTGCTTCTGCGATCTACACTGAGTAAATCACACTTATTTGAAGTTGGACATCCTCACGGACCTCAAGCGTCAAAAAAGATCCCCATAGGAAAGCATTGAGTAATGCTTTCCTATGGGCAGGTTTGAATGTGCGCATGCCTCTGGTTGCACATGCGCATTCGTCTCCACTCGGTAGCTGATATCGATGGAGGATGAGAGGTCACCAACGCCGAGGGAGCCCAGCGCTGGATTAAGGTGAGCAACTAAATGGTTAATTAACCATTTATTTTCCGTGGAACGGGGCAACTAGTGCTTCATAGCGTTAGGAATTCATAATATATAACGCTATAGTGTTCCTTTAATAGTATACACAGGGTGGTGATATAATTGAACACTTCCTTCAGAGGAAGGTGGTTTATGTTTTAAACTCAATAAATTGGTTTACTGCATTTAAAAAAAGATTTATTTGTTGAGCTGATCTCATTTCTGATCTGTATGCTTATATTGAATCTGTCTTTTATTATTTTCTCTATCCATGATGCCCTTTGTCCAGATATTTATTTGTATGTGTTCTTGTGCTGTTTTTTTTAAATATAAAAAAATATATATATTTAATCTAAGGTCTTGTGTTGCTATAGAAGACCTTTCTGTATATTACATGGGGTTGTACAGTAATTGTGTCCACTAGCAGTATGCAATATATGCCAAATAGTCATAAGGCAGCCTTCCCCTAGTATATACAGTTAGTCAAGGTGGATGGTTTTATAGGTGTTACGCAGAAAGGGAGGCAGCATAGCAAGGTAAAAATTTTTTTTAATATATATATATATATATATATATATATATATATATATATATATATATATATATATATATATATATTAAATGTAAATTAAGTATTCATGTAACTCTTTGCAGATATGTAACCATCATTGTAGTTAACACAATATCTGAATTCACGTTTCCTAGGTATTTGGAAAAATATGAAAAAGTACATCATTTTGGGGAAGATGATGATGAAGTCCAACCTGGTAATCCAAAGCCGCAGCTTCCAATTGGTGCAATACCCTGCTCGTACAACTACCAGCAGCATGTTGTACCAGGTAAGTTAACACCTAAAATCTGACAAATGAAATGCCAGGATGGATTATCTCTTGTAGGCCTTTTCACTGTGCTCCTCATCAAAAGCGGAGTTTAACTCACATGACAATATCCTGTATTCAGGTAAATAGTTTAAACTGCCATTTGTTTGCTTACCTCAGTGGAGCAAACCATATTTGATTTGTTACTGAAATAAGGTGTGCACTTGAAGGGAAGTTAAAATCCCGTTATGTATACTAACTTAATCAGTGCCGCCATGTCGTTCTAGTGATGCCATACCCTCTCCTGGAATCATAACATAGCCTTGTGTTTGGTACAGATCGATGTAAATTGAAAGGGTTTCAAAAAAATAAAACCACAAATTGCTAGTTTATATTTAGCTATTAGAATGTACTGTTACCTCTGAAGAAACAATTCCTCTCAAAAGTTACCAACACAGATCCTTGCAACTACAGTCTAAACTTAGATGGCATTGTTGTTCCCTTATGCAGGTTTGCTATTGTAAATTGTGCCTTTTCTGAGAAACAACACTGTTTACATTTTAAAGTGCCCACACCAAGTCATTCAGTCACTAGGGACTTCAAAGACAGTCAATGAATCTCTTTGAGTGACAGCATCATAATGCAAAACTTTTTGTTAAAGCCAGACTCTTTATGCATCGAATGCTCCCCTATGAAAAGCATTGGATTAATTGATTCTCATTGACAAGAATTGGATTGGTGGAGCAGTGCAATTGCTCTACATGTGCTGTGCTCTGATTGGGCAACTGTCATCAGGATTGATGACTTCCGTGAGGACGAATTTAGCTGCTAGGAGGAGACTATTAAAAAGGCAAACTTTTATTTCTGCACCAAAATAAACTTCTAAAAAAGGGAAAGAAATAATTCTAGTAAAAAAGAAAAGAAAATCTTTATTTTTAGTTATTTATTTTATCAGTGTTCCTTTAAAATGGACTGTAGGTCAAAGCAATATTACCATTTACCTTATGTGTAGTGAATACATTTACCACTCTTGGAGGCTTTTCCCGTTAACAATTTCTTTATCTTCTTTACTATTACAGACTATTTACGACAAAGTTATGGGCTTACCATGGACTTCAATACACCAAATGATTACAACAAACTGGTGCTCTCACTTTTATCTGGACTCCCAAATGAAGTGGACTTTGCAATTAATGTGTGCACGCTTCTGTCCAATGAAAGCAAGCACGTAATGCAGCTTGAGAAGGACCCCAAAATAATCACGTTGTTGCTTGCGAATGCGGGAGTGTTTGATGACAGTGAGTATACATGTGAAAAAAGGCATTTCTGCAAGGTGCTAAACTGTTATTTTCTCAAGTGCATTTATTACTTTTTTACATATGTTATTATTTTTTAGTGCAAAAACATTGTTGTTGTGGCTTTTAGTGACCAGACTTCTAAATTATTCTTCTAGACTTTGATGTAGAGGTTTTGGATTGTAAAGGAAACTTTTTTTGTGGTCACATCATTTTTTATTTATTTTCTTCTGTGCTTTTCAGTCATTTCTATTGCTAACATTTACCTGTATTCAGTAATTATTAATTTTACTTCAGATGGTATCATTAACTTCAATCTAATTATGTCCAGATATGGCATTCATTTTGCTGCAATAGTGGAGGTCTGAATACAATGTGAGAATTCTTAATGTTTTCAGCCTTAAAGGACCACTCTAGGCACCCAGACCACTTCAGCTTAATGAAGTGGTCTGGGTGCCAGGTCCTTCTAGGGTTAACCCATTTTTTTTTATAAACATAGCAGTTTCAGAGAAACTGCTATGTTTATTAATGGGTTAAGCCTTCCCCCTAATCCTCTAGTGGCTGTCTCATTGACAGCCACTAGAGGCGCTTGCGTGCTTCTCACTGTGATTTTCACAGTGAGAGCACGCAGCGTCCATAGGAAAGCATTGTAAATGCTTTCCTATGCGACCGGCTGAATGCGCGCGCAGCCAGCCCAGGAGGAGGAGAGCTCCCCGCCCAGCGCTGGAAAAAGGTAAGTTTTTACCCCTTTCTCCCTTCCAGAGCCGGGTGGGGGCACCCTCAGGGCACTATAGTGCCAGGAAAAAGAGTATGTTTTCCTGGCACTATAGTGGTCCTTTAAAGCGGCACTGTCATGCCGAACTTACCTTTAATTTATCGATTCCTCTTCTCTCCCTCTGTCAGGATCTGTTCTTCATTTCTTCCTGTCTGCTCCAGTTTTCTTGAAAACATAAAACAAAGTAGGGACAACTTTGTCTTATGGAGGTTTCCTACGCTTGTCCACCCCCCCGCTGTGTAAAACGACACAGAGCCCTCTCATTGGTTGGATTTCAAGCCAACCAATCAGAGTGCTGTAACAGGTAAATTTAGAGACTTAACTGTCAGTCTCTTCATTTACCTGTCAGAGCACTCTGATTTGGTTGGCTTAAACCAACCAATCAGAGTGCTCTGAGCCTAATTGCATTCTGCGCTGTGCCCTCCATGGGTGAAGATTGATTATTATTTAGCGTTGGGTTGTTTTTTGTTTTTGTTTTTGCACTCGTGTTTTTTTTTTAATTTTATTTTCAAAGTGCAATGGGTGTTACGGACTTTTATTTGGCCTCTTTTGGGGCTGAAAAAAAGACTTTAGAAAAATACATCAAATGGTAAGTTTTATTTAGTTTTTACAGGTATTTAGTTCTCTTGTTCCCCCCTCACTATTTTAAGGGTGAGGGGAGTAGGTAGGGGTTTATTAATTTTTTTTAGGTGGGGGGGTGACTAGGGGCCTGGGGGGGATGTAATCTATGGCCCCCACCCGCCGCTGGGGGAGGGGGGAGGAGGACGACAATAGGTCTCCCCCCTTTATTGTAGTTTAGGGCCCCCTCCTGCCGCTCAGGGGTGGGGGCCAGGGGGAAGGACAATAGGTCTCCCCCCTTTATTGTAATTTAGGGCCCCCACCGAACGCTCAGGGGTGGGGGCTGGGGGGGGAAGTACAATAGGTCTCCCCCTTTTATTGTAATTTAGGGCCACCACCGCCACTCAGGGGTGGGGGCAAGGGGGGAGGACAATATGTCGTCCTCCCTGTCGTCCTCTTATTATAATTTAGGATCCCCACCCGCCACTCATGGGTGGCGTCCGGGGAAAGACTACGATAGGTCCCCCCCCTTTATTGTTACTTAGTGCCCCCACCTGCCGCTCTGGAGTGGGGACCAATAGGTCCCCCGTTCACTTTAATAGCCCCCACTCACAGGTGGGGGCTTGGGAGGGGAGACACTAGGGTTGTTTTTATATATATATATATATATATATAAATATACAGTGAGCAACCACTGGCTGCTCACTGTTTCCTAGACATGCACCTGCTCGTGGTATAGCGAGTAGGGGTAAAATTTACTAAAACTAAGTACTTCTTTACTTAGTATTCGTAAATTTGTCTGAAATCATGGATCAAAGGTGAGAATTGTGGGAAAATTGCTTTGATCACCGGAAACTAAGCAAACTTTGCTCGTCCGCTAGTCAAAACTGGTCAAACGTAGGAAACCTCCATAAGACAAAGTAGTCCCTACTTTGTCTTATGTTTTAAAGAAAACTAGAGCAGACAGGAAAAAATGAAGAACAGATCCTGAGGGAGAGAAGAGGAATTGATTAAAGAAAGGTAAGTTCGACAGTGCCGCTTTAAAGATAAAAATAAGTTTAATCCATTGAACAAGACAGCTTTGCCTGCGTTAAAGGGACACTATAGTCACCAGTGCAGCTACATGTATTCTTGACCCTATAGTGTTAACACGACCATCTAGCCCCCCTGGGACCCTCATGCCTCCATAAATATAGTAAAAATCTTACTGTATTCAAGTTATATGCTGTAAATCTGCATGCTTTTAGACTCAGGAAAAACAAGCAGTCTGCGGACATGTGATAGCCTGATCCAATCACAGTGCTTCCCCATAGGATTGGCTGAGACTGACAAGGAGGCAGATCAGAGGCAGAGCCAGCATGGTTCAAACACAGCCTTGGCCAATCAGCATCTCCTCATAGAGATGGATTGAATCAATCAATCTCTATGAGGAAAGTTCAATGTCTGCATGCAGTGGGAGGAGATACTGAATCACAGGATGCTCGTGCACTGCAGATCTGAGTGGATGGAGGCATATTTTGCCTCCATCAACTCAGAAGTCCCTCTGGTTCACTCTGACTGCAACTGGAGGTGTTCCTAGCTTTCAATGTAAACACTGTATTTTCCCAGAAAATACAGTGTTTACATGAGAGAGGCTGCAGGGAGCTATAGTTCTCACCTGAACAACCTCATTAAGCTGAAGTTGTTCAGGTGACTATAGTGTCCCTTTAATGTTGATCTTATAATATTGCCATTAAGTTTGAAATCCTGCTTTGCTGTGTGAAATCTTCATAGATGCAGCCCCCACCCACACACTTCAAATGTAAAATGCATAATTTAAAAAAATAAATAAAATTTAAAAAAAATATATAAAGTTCCAATTGCTTGCACTCCTGGATTGATAGTAAAAAGCCCGGTGCTTAACAGCCAAATAATAGAAATAAAGTAATGATAGCACTCCAAGGACTTCAAAAATATTGTGAAAAAACTTAGCTTTTATTCAGGCATCTGCCACAGAAGATCAACGTTTCAGTTCTTCAAGGAACTTTCGTCAGGATCTTCTGTTGCAGATGCCTGAATAAAAGCTAAGTTTTTTCACAATATTTTTGAAGTCCTTGGAGTGCTATCATTACACTCTATCTCTATCTCTACATACACACACACACACACACACACACACACAAAAAATAAATAAAGGGAACACTTAATCAACACAATGTAACTCCAAGTCAATCAAACTGTCCACTTAGGAAGCAAAACTGAGTGACAATCAGTTTCACATGCTGTTGTGCAAATGGGATAGACAACAGGTGGAAATTATAGGCAATTAGCAAGACACCCCCAATAAAGGAGTGGTTCTGCAGGTGGTGACCACAGATCACTTCTCAGTGTCTATGCTTCCTGGCTGATGTTTTGGTCACTTTTGAATGCTGGCGGTGCTTTCACTCTAGTGGTAGAATGAGACGGAGTCTACAACCCTCACAAGTGGCTCAGGTAGAGCAGCTCATCCAGGATGGCACATCAATGCGAGCTGTGGCAAGAAGGTTTGCTGTGTCTGTCAGCGTAGTGTCCAGAGCATGGAGGTGCTACCAGGAGACAGGCCAGTACATCAGGAGACGTGGAGGAGGCCGTAGGAGGCCAACAACCCAGTAGCAGTACCGCTGCCTCCGCCTTTGTACAAGGAGGAACAAGAGGAGCACTGCCAGAGCCCTGCAAAATTACCTCCAGCAGGCCACAAATGTGCATGTGTCTGCTCAAACGGTCAAAAACAGACTCCATGAGGGTGGTATGAGGGTCCACAGGACGTTTGGCATTTACCAGAGAACACCAAGATTGGCAAATTCGCCACTGGCGCCCTGTGCTCTTCACAGATAAAAGCAGGTTCACACTGAGCACATGTGACAGACGTGACAGAGTCTGGAGATACCGTGGAGAATGTTCTGCTGCCTGCAACATCCTCCAGCATGACAGGTTTGGCAGTGGGTCAGTAATGGTGTGGGTGGCATTTCTTTGGGGGGGCCGCACAGCCCTCCATGTGCTCGCCAGAGGTAGCCTGACTGCCATTAGGTACCGAGATGAGATCCTCAGACCCCTTGTGAAACCATATGCTGGGGCAGATGGCCCTGGGTTCCTCCTATTGCTGGAGTGTCAGCAGTTCCTGCAAGACGAAGGCATTGATGCTATGGACTGACCCGCCCGTTCCCCAGACCTGAATCCAATTGAGCACATCTGGGACATCATGTCTCGCTCCATCCACCAACGTCACGTTGCACCACAGACTGTCCAGGAGTTGGCAGATGCTTTAGTCCAGGTCTGGGACGAGATCCATCAGGAGACCATCCGTCACCTCATCAGGAGCATGCACAGGCGTTGTATGGAGGTCATACAGGCACGTGGAGACCACACACCCTACTGAGCCTCATTTTGACTTGTTTTAAGGACATTACATCAAAGTTGGATCAGCCTGTAGTGTGTTTTTCCACTTTAATTTTAAATGTGACTGCAAATCCAGACCAACATGGGTTGAAAAATTTGATTTCCATTTTTTTATTTTTGTGTGATTTTGTTGTCAGCACATTCAACTATGTAAAGAACAAAGTATTTCAGAAGAATATTTAATTCATTTAGATCTAGGATGTGTTATTTCTGTGTTCCCTTTATTTTTTTGAGCAGTGTATTTTATTTGCAGCTTTCCAGTACTGTATCATGCTGGATGCTATACTCTAGTCAGTAACATACAACTTAAGTTTAAATTCATGGGGGAAAACTGAAACACATGATTCCTACTGTAATATAGAACTTAACTTTGCTATAAACACTAACATTTTCAGATAACTTAATAAAAAGGGAACATTTTGTTTTAGGGGAACCTTTTTTTTTTTTTTATATAAATTACAGGAGTCATGCCAACATTTCTGGTTTTGCATTATGGCTATAGAGCAGAGATACCGAGCCAGAACTTTTTCTGTGTATGGAAAGTTTGTTTTTGCATACAGTAATCAAAATGATAAAAGCACATGGTTTCTGTATATGGATAGGAAATTTTCTGCATGCAAGATAGCCAAGATTGAAAGCCAAATCTGGACTGCTCTCAGTGCTCAGAATTGTATATAATAAGTAATCTTGCTTCCAAATTACAAGAACAATAATAGTTCTAAGTCTTATATTTTCGTAAAATTATAGGAAAAGGCACGAGCATTCCTAGTTAAAGAAGATGTAGTATTTTTTCACAATGTAGCTGCAGGCTGGGGCTAAATAATTATATTGATAGGACTTTATGGCTTACGCCTGAGAGTCTCCATCAGAGCACACAATTTAAACGTTTGTTCCTCGGGTAGGGTTCATTAGGTGCTCTTTTAATCAGAGTGAAAATCTGAAAGTGCTGATTCTGGAAACTGAATGACATTCCAAGTGGGGCAAATTCTCTAGACTTAGAGTCTGGCAAAATGTTCTGTAAACCATACACATTACGAGCCACTCTCTTATATCTTATACTGCCATTTCACACTCATGTCATATCTCTACATGTCCTATCTCATATCATTTATTTAGCCCTACAATTTAGAAAAATAGACTTTAAAGGAACACTATAGTGTGAAGAATACAAACTATAGTGCTTGAATGCAGAATTGGGTCTCGGCACCGTTCTTTATAAAGATTTTCCATTTTTCCCACATCTCGCTAGTCTCGCCAGGGATGGCTCCACCTCAGTGTCTGAGATAATCCGTTTTGATGATCTCAGCCAATGCAATCCTTTCCTATCGGAAAGCATTGGGAGGTTATTGCAATTGTGCCCCACCAATTAGCATCTCATTACAGTAATGCATTGAATCAGTGCATCTCTATGGGGGAAGTTCAGAGCCTCCATGCACACTGAATGCCAGCTCTGTACACTGTGCAGCACTGAACTAGGAAGCACCTCTAGTGGCCGTCTGAGTGACTGCCACTAGAGATGTAACTAACAAGCAATTTAAAAGGCAGTGTTTACCATGCTAAAGCTAAAGGGAAATGCTAGAGACACAAGAACCACTACATTAAGCTGCAGTGGTTGAGGTGACTATAGTGTCCCTGTAAAGAATCAAATAATAACTACACTGTGCAATGAAAATGTGTCCTTAAGGTTTTCTGATATTTCAGTCACACCAGTTATTGACAGATATATAAAAATCAACATTGTCAGTTTATCAAATTCTGCCCTTCTTTAGCTGCTCCAGTCGAATGTAAGAGTTATTCTTTTCATGTGGAAAAGCCTAAAAGTAACATTCCTGACCTAATGTGGTAGGCCACATTACCTTTGCAAAAAAGGCCAGCAAGAGCTGAGGGCATACAGCTGATAAATATTGTTTTTGGTGACAACATTAATAAAGGGATACCTCTAACTTAATAAGTGTATTTATTTTTTAAAAGAGCATTTCTTTTTTTTGTTTTGTTTAAATGACTGCCATCCCTTTATCCCCACACACCTCTCTCTGGGGTAGAGAAGAAATAGTTTCAAAGTTTGTTGCAAAATTGGAAAGCCCCTCAAACAAAATTTTTTTTTTTTGCCTTCTTTTGGATTAACAGCAAAATCAGATATGTCAGTCACGTTCAGCTTTTCTCACAAGTCTGTCTTCAGCCTATGTAACGGTCATTGGACTCTGGAGCAATGTAAATAATTGTTTGGTATAATTAAAGGGACACTATAGTCACCCAGACCACTTCAGCTCAATGAAGTAGTCTAGGTGCTACGTCCCCCAAGTTTTAACCCTTCAGATGTAAACATAGCAGTTTCAAAGAAACTGCTATGTTTACATTGCAGGGTTAATCCAGCCTCTAGTGGCTGTCTTCCTGACAGCCGCTAGAGGTGTTTCTGCGACGCTGGATGCGGAAATCGCATTTAGCGTGAAGAACGTCCATAAGAAAGCATTGAGAAATGCTTTCCTATGGACTGTTTGAATGCGCGTGCAGCTCTTGATGCGCATGCCGCTCCACTCAGGAGCTGGTGGGGGCCGAGAGGTCACCGGCGCTGGATTAAGGTAAGTGGCTAAAGGGGTTTAACCCATTTAGCCCAGTGGGGGGAGGGAGAGGGGGGGGACTAAGGGTTATACAGTGTCAGGAAAACAAGTTTGTTTTTTCCTGATACTATAGTGATCCTTTAATTGTTCATCATCTGGTGTATAACTGGAGACCTTTACCTGCCTAATTGCATTGTACCAACTAAAATATTTGAATGAGGAATAATGATCGGGTGTTTTTTCATGGTTTGGCTAAGTCTCTCTTATTTGCATGGAAGGGTTTTTTAACCCCTTAAGACCGGAGGGCGTACTATTACGCCCTATTCTAAGCGGCTCTAAACGCCGCCGGGCGTAATAGTACGCCATCCGGTCTTTTCCTACTTACCAGGGAGCCCCCCACGGCACCTCAGACGTCCTGGAAGCCCCCCGGCCATGTGAGAGTGGGGTCCATGCGAGGACCCTACAATCACATGGCCGGGGGTAGCTGGCTGCAGCATTGCCAGCAGGGGGGCTGCCTGTAATGACAGGTGGTCCCCCTGCTGGCTGAAAATAAAATAAAATAAATAGTGTAAAAAAAAATAATATATAAATAAATATATATATATATATATATATATATATTCTAAATATATATATATATATATATACACATATACATACACACACGTACACCGTCTAGGTGCATTTTACTATTAATATATATATAAATTAATATCAAATTACACGTAGACTGATACTGATTAAATATATATATATAATTATTGTTATATATTTATATATAATATAAAAAATAAAAATGTAAATACGTTAAAAAATAATTAAAAATAAATAATTAAAAAATATATAGATGTGTTATTTCGTTCTAACTGTATTGTGAAATTAATATATATATATATCAATATACACGTAGAACGAAATAATATATATATCTATATACATAAATATATACGTATATATCACTATATATATATACCTATATATAAATAAAAATATTTGTAAAAAATTATATACATATATATACACATACGTGTGTGTGTGTATATATATATATATATATATATATATATGTAAATTCTACATATATTTATGTAATATTTTTACATAATTAGGTATCTTAATTAATTACAATTAGCGGGACCTGCCTGACAACCCATGCTGAAAGTAGAGGGAATTTAATTTGCTAGCACTATATTTAACCCTATAACTTTCCAAGACACCATAAAACCTGTACATGGGGGTACTGTTCTACTCGGGAGATGTCGCTGAACACAAATATTAGTGTTTCAAAACCGTAAAATGTATTACAACGATATCGCCAGTAAAAGTGAAGTTTTTTGCATTTTTCACGCACAAACAGCACTTACACTGACGATATTATTGCTGCGATACTTTTTACTGTTTTGAAACAGTCCTTAAGTGGTTAATGTTGGGCCATACAATTACTCTCTAGACAGTACTGTTCTTCCAACTATTGGGAATGTTTTTTTTTTTTGTTTTGTTTTTTTTATGCCCTTGCAAGATGTCAAAGAGGGATCATGTCAAAGATGCTAACATATCTATAGATAATGAAGCTCCATTAAATCAAATTGCTCCTCTAATTATCCAAGCAAACCTTCATAGTGTAATTTAGCTGTGAACTGTGACAAATTTAAGTTGCTTTTTATGTACAAAAATTAAAACTGAATATCTCGTGGTCCTCCTATTTTTAAAGGCAAGTAACTAAGGAGGTCATATTCAGTTACAGTGATAGGACAGCTGAAACCCTCAAAGTGAGGAGTTGATATGTTTTAAGTAGATGGTTTTTTTTTGTTTTGTTTTTTTTTTCAATCATTGTTTAGAGAACACTTTACAATAAGGGTTTAAAGTGGCTCTATCACCTCCAATATCTTACTCCTATTGGAAATGTCTGATCTATTTCTCTTCAAAACATTAGGCAGTGTAGGGACTACTTAAACTTGATAATCTTGACAAAGAAAGTGCAGCTCAGAGCGACATTCCACTGCCCAAATATTAAAAAATATATATAAAATCTCTGTTCAGTAGATATACCCTCAATAAAGAAATGCATGCATTTATTTATGCATTTCTTCACTGCGGGTAGATCTATAAACCTTTTTAAAAATATGCAGACCTCTTGCTTGAAGATTTTGCCAACCATTTCCTTTCTTAACAAAAGCAAATATTCTAAATCTATAGCATCAACTTTTTTCCTTACTGAAACATTTGGTTTCATATAATTTTAACTATTTCAAATGCGGACAGGGTAAATTAGACCTTTTGTATAGTAAAACAGTATGGTGAAATAGCAGTAAGCTCCTGATAATTGGAGTATAGCCAAGTCAAAATGAACATAACTTTTCTGATTTACCATCAGTTTAAAAGTGTAAAAATATACATTTTCCCTCAGATTTTGCTTACTGTTAAGAATTAGCAGATTTGTAACCACACTGAAAAATGTAGGCCTCAGAAACGGTTTGGGTGGGGGAACAAAATATTCAACTCTTGTCACAGCTTCAAACTAAATTTTGAACTTTTTTTTTTTTTTAAATTTTCTACCGTATATTGAATAAACCTCAAGGTTTGCATTCAGCATACTTCTAGGAACATTGAATAATATTGTGACTATAACAGGAACACACTACACTTCAAACTAAAGCTTATTAAAATGAGGTGTACACACATATTGAAATGTTGGGCCTTGCCATAATCTATTTTGTTGCTACATTTTTGTTCCTATTGCATAATGCTTTCATGTAATTAATTTACTTATTTTTATTATTGAAAATGTTCCTTAAGAGCTTCTAATCACCTTGCTTTGGTTTTTGGTTAGAGCTGCAGCTATAAGTACATTCCCATCACCCCGTCTCATAATGTCACAGAGCAAGCATGTCAAACTCAAAGTCTGGATCGGGCCACAAACAAGGTTTACGTTTATGTGGGCCGCAAAAAAAACTCTTAATTTTTCATAGGAACATAGGTTTATTTTAAAAAGTACATTTTAAAAAGAAAACAGCTCCCCCTACTAAACCACAGCACCCCCCTCTACCAAATCTGATCCTCCCGCTGACACACACACATTCACTGACAGACACACCGACCCACACATACTCAGACACACACACTGACAGACACAAACAGTAGTATATGTGTGTGTCTGTCTGTGAGTATGTGTGTCACTGACACACACATACTCGCTGACATACATACAGACAGACACACAAAGAGAGACTCACACACACTGACACACACGCACATACTCACTGACAGACACACACTTGCACACTGACACGTTCTTGCACACATACTTTTCTTTATTGCTCCCTACCTTTATGGAGTCGATCTGGGGCATCTCCCTGGGGTCCTTCCTGCTCCTCACTGCTCCCTTGCGCGGTTTAGTGTTGCTGGCTGCCGGAATATGTCATATTCCGGCGCCCGGCTTCACTTCAGACGGCGTGGGAGCAGTGAGGAGCAGGAACACTGAGCTCCCTCGCTGGCCTTCCTCCCCGGCTGGGTAAGTGTTAGTAGAGTAGGCACCTGCAATATGGGGAAAGCAGGTGCCTACTCTGCTATTACACCAGAATGTACTCACGGCTCGTCGGGGCTGCAAAGATGGTCCTTGTGGGCCGCGAGTTTGACATGCTTGTCACAGAGGAAAGCAATGCTTTTACCTACCAGTGCAGGTATTTGTATTAGGGAAGCTGTAATTGTCTATAATGAAAAAATAGAATGATGGTATTTGTCCAGCGTGTGCAATGATTTCTGACGTGTATTTTCATGAAACAAACATTTGCTGGGTATGGGTTAAGTTCAGCACACTTATCAAACAGGGCTAGGATTATACGACTATTTCCTGGTTCCTGATGAAAGCTGTGGATTTACACCCACTAGATTTGGAATGATTGTTCTACATTTTGTGGTTATACCTATTGCGTAAACATTCACTTATACCTGCAGAGGAGGACTGGCAACTTCTTGGCATTAAACAAATCTCAGTATGTATGGCTCTGTTCACATTGAGCATGCAGTACATTGATTTGACATTTGGAGGCTGCTGGTGTTGCATCAAATATGACCTCTCTGCACTTGCCGTCAGTGTCCTTATTTAGGGGTTCTAATTTGGACCCAAATCCCTCTCTTTCTTTTCTATCCTAATGCTCCTTTTTCAAAGAGCAACATGTTGTGTTTGACTGTATAACAGAGTGCCACATTAATAATACTCACAGTAATGTATCTTTAAACAGAAAATGTATTTTGAAATCAGTCTGTGTAAATACCGGTAAGATGCACTGTTCTTTTGCTAAATTACATTTTAGTTGCATAAATTATGAAGCCCCTTAAAATGACTCAGACCAGCTCTGCTCCTGGCCACACCTCCACTCACACTCCTAAAATAAGTGTTTTCCTTTGTCCATTTAGAAACTTAGGGTTTATGCGTTCGTTTAGATAATTCAATTTTAGAATTGTAACACAAGCAAAGGTTAAAGCATGTTGTTTGCACCAAACCTTAAAGCAACACTATAGGGTCAGGAACACAAACTTGTATTCTTGACCCTATAGTGCTAAACCTACCATTTAGGTGGCTTGTCGTCCCCCACTCCCCTTCCTAAAAGTTAATAAAACTCCCCTTATTTCAAGCGCCCTGCACGGGTCTGCTGGAGCTGACCCCGCCCCCATAGTGACATCATCAGAATTGCCCATTTTAAACCAATCCAATGCTTTCCCATAGGCACAGATTTGGCCAATCATCACCTCCTTATAGAGATCCATTGAATTTTCCTCATAGAGATTCATTGATTCTGAGTCCCCATACAGAGCGTGGAGATGCTGAATGGCAGTGCTGCCTACTGTGCAGCACTGAGCCAGGAAGCACCTCCAGTGGCCATCTGAGTGGCCGCCACTTGGAGGTGTCCCTAGGGGCAATGTGAACACTGCCTTTTCTCTGAAAAGGCAGTATTTGCATGAAAATGCCTGCATATAATGCTTATACTCCCCATAACAACTACATTAAGCTATAGTTGTTCTGGTGACTATAGTGTCCCTTTAAAGCTCCCAAGTTGTGTTACCTATTTAACATGAGATTAAAAGTTCTGTTACTAATAAATTATTGCCAAATGTTGAAGTTTGTTTCTAGTAATGGGTTTGCCAAGATTTCTTTTAATCTTGACTTGAATAAACTCTGATACCTAGATAGTTACCTTTTTAATTGACAAATTATTCTAATACTTTTTTCCCCCCCAAATTTTTTTTGTAGCTCTGGGAACCTTTTCTGCTGTATTTGGCGATGAATGGAAGGAGAAAACAGATAGAGATTTTGTACAGGTACTGTATCCACTTAACATTTTAATATTAGGAATAATCTTAATGAAGTGCTTTTTTAAATTTTTTTTAATTCTATTCTAAACCTCAAAATATATATTGCAACAAAAACAGAGAATATGACAAGAGACAAAAGCTTAGGAAAACTGAATAACTTGCCTTTCAGTAAATACCCTCTCAGGTCTCAAAATGTTTTTGCTTACTTGTGTCATTACATAGTAAACCTCTACTATTTGCATATTATGCTGATTCCACCCATAATGGCAGTCCAGGACCAAAGTGCTGGCAAGAGATGCAGCAACCCCGGGTAATAGTTTCTACCTGCTTTAGGCTTAGTCAGCGTGTTGTAGCTGAAATCCCTCTAGGCACAGTGAGCACGGGGTCCAAGGTTGCTGTATCTCTGATGCAACTTGCCAGCATTTCGGTAGCGTTATGATGCATTTTGGAGGGCTGGTAAAATAATTTACCATTGCATTATTTTAATTACCGTCTGGATTTTATACACTGCTTTTATTTATTTTGTCTCTCAAAACAGCATAGAATCTGTGGTTTTCTTTTCATTTTTTCTTCCAATGATTGAGTGTGCTTTATGAAAAAAAACATTTTATCATTATAATTAAAAATTGCTGAAAATTTGTTTTTTTTGGTGAAATCAGCCATCTAGATAATACTAACATAATATACAAACCTATATAATCATCCATAAAGGTTTTGAAAACCCTATGCTGCATGGTGGATGATGTCAGCCGGCACATAAAATACAAACTACTGTGTGGTGTGACTTAACATTTCAGAACCCCTAATCTTATGGCAGCGCTTAGACATACCTGATTATTTCCCTTATTTGTAATTTTTCAAGTGCCGAATATAATCAGTTGGGGGAATGAGCTGCTTTAAAGGAGCAAACCTTTTGTTCCAGTTCACAACCTTAAGATATATATATAGCATTATAACATAGCATGTATACATACTTCTACTGGTAAATTGTTATATAAAATACACACAGCATGTATAGCATTGATAGGCACTGTACAAGAACAGAACCTTAATGTCTCTTCGTGTTCCAGTCCAATTTTTTGTTGTTATTTATTGGAGGAGTAGCTGCTTTGTAGGGTTGTATTTGGGCATATGTGCCTTTTGTTATATTGTGCGTGAGCAGTTTGTGGTATTCTATATAAGTATATATGCTATGTATCGTGTGTGAATGTGGGTCGTTTATAAGAGTTGCTTGTGAGATTGTGTTTGGTGTTTTGTGTATGTGCAGGCTGTTTGGGGTGTTGTGTGCACATATGTGGGTTGTCAGCAGTGTTGTGTTTGTAGGGGGTATATGTGGGAGCTGTTTGTAGTATCTGCATATAGGTGAGACTTCTTAAGCTGGGTGTAAATCTGGCTCTGTAGGGTGCTTCCTTGCGGGTCATTTAGAGATTGGGCAGCCAGATACTAGTCAGGAACTGTTGCGGTTTTGGCAGCCTGCTCTCTGCAGTGGGGAGTCCCCTGCACAAGCGATGGAAGGAAGTAATCTGAAATGATGTCCTCCAGTTGCTGCAATGACTGAATTAAGGACTTCTCCTCAATAGCTGCTGCAATCACTGCTAGTGCTGAATGTTTGGTTGGCACTAAGACACAGATTAGGCCACGTCCAGGGGGAGATCCGCATATCTTCTCAACCCGTTTGCGTCTGGCAACTGTGTGTGCATGCATGGCTCGTGTGCCATAGATTGCTGACCCCTGCTATATAGCTCAGTCAGTATACCCTGTAATTTTCCCAGTGTCTGACCAGTTATGTTTTATTGAAATCCTGCTCCTACAGAAAAACTAAAACTAAAACCAATCAGTCCTCTTTAACTTGTGTTCAACAGCATGAATGAATATTAAATTATATTGTGTATATTTTATTTGGCAGCATATATGGCTTCCACTTTAGAGCCATAGCCTCTTTTATTTAGATGTAGATTATTTGAGTTAACTCCCACAGTAGAATTGCATTTTACAACAGGTAAAATAGAAATTGTTTGCCAGCACACACAGTTTCAATGCTGCGTCTCACTGCAAAGCCTTAACTAGTCTTCAGTGTTTTGTTGTCGCTTTCTGTATTTTACGGAATCTGCAGTTGTTTTTAAACTGTTTGAGATGCCATATATTATCAGTAAGTTAGTTTAATTCTCCATTTCATATTTATGTCCTACTGATATGTTGTACGTGTTGAGGAGCACAGTGAAATTATTAGCATTTTCCATAATTTTATCTTTTCAAAGTAAACATTCAAAAATATACAATTTCATGTAAATAGATTCATGCCCGAACTACTAGACCAGGGGCTGACAAATAGTTGTATAGTTTCGTATCCACTTTTCCAAAACCATGAGTTCTAAAACTGGTAATTGGCATCAGTCACTATAAGTGTGGGGTATGTCGGTTGTACCTTGACATGTTTTATTGAAGGGCCAAATTATCCTTTAAATCCACTGTATAGTCCTCTCTGGGCAGTTTGGGTTAGCGTTCTATGGATTTTGAAGGAGGAAATCATGACAATCGCTTTATACCTAGTTCTTACAAGGTTGTATTCCTTGCACTATAATTGCAGGTGCATTAGAGCATTGCCGCAATGGGGATAGGGATTTTAGTGACACTGCAGTGCGTGAGGACGTCCAACAAAAGTTAGGCTACCCAAAGTCGCCTAGCAAGCAGGAAGTGCCTCAAGTGGCTGTTTGACAGCCAGCAGAGGCAGTCTTAGTGCAGCAATGGAAATCATTGTGGTTTCTCAAAAACTATGATTTGCATTGCAGAACTAAAGGGGACAGGGACATTGCACCCAGACCACTTCAATGAGCTGAAGTGGTCTGGGTGACTAGTGTCCCTTTAAATTGTGGTGGAACAAACACATAGCATAAATACTGTTTTGTTTTGGTTCAGAACATTTGACTCCGTCCTTAAGGGGTTAAAGTGATTAGGACCATAATAGGTTTGCATTTCTATGCTGCCTGCTTTAGAGTTAAATATTTTAAGACAGAGCAAAATCTTCCAGCAATACTGATGAGGCAGACTTTAATAGTGGTAGACATTGGCTGCCTCCTGTTCTTTTTTTTTTTTTTTTTTTTTTTTTTTTTTTTTTTTTTTTTTTTTTTTTGTATACTTGAAATCTGTAGTTTCTTCCCCCCTGATATTCTTTTGTACCTTCTATTCCTGAATCTAGCTGTGAGGCCTGAGATTAATAACCAATCCTGCGTATTATTGCACCCCTAGTCTGGTTTCGTAATAGAGATAACGTTGTGTTGGTTAATTAAATAACAGCTACAAATGCTATAGAATAAGCAAGCATGGCTATTTAAGACAGGTTAATTATGCAGGAAACAATAAGACAGTTCTTTCAAAGTATCCTTTATTTTTGACTTGGGAAAATGCCTTAAGAGGTTTCCTGCCAGGGTGCATTTAATTAACCTGTCGTATAATAAAGTGGTAATTGCCATATGAAGTATTTGTATAAAGAGGACCGCTCATAAGAGTGCATGCCGCATTTATTTTTTGATTCATGTTACAATAGCTTTAGAAGATGGAATGAAAAATAAGTGTGTGTGTGTATGTGGATATATGTGTGTAGATATAATATGTAGGAATGTATGTTATATTTCTCTATTGTCATTCCATCACCCTTTAGTATTAGAAAATTAGAATATTTGTCCCTGATTATAGCTGTTCAAACAGAGACAAGCAGAGTTAAGATGATGCCCTGTTACTTTTATGTGGTTACTGAGCTACATATTAAAGATACACATATGAATGAAGACAAACCGATTTGGTTTTCATGATACATTGACTTAAATTATCATTCTCTTCTCTAGTTTGATTGCATTCAGGAATTTGCATTTTGCGGAAAACTCGCCTCACTTGTTTACCACCTGAGCAAACTTAGCTTTGCAAAACTTTCTCCAATATGAATAAATGCCATCATTTATTCACTAAACAGAGGATGTTGACAACCAATCAGTAAATTGTAGTCAAACGTTCCCACCGACAGCCAAATGATATTCTTGTAATTTCTGATATGAATGAGAAGTTGCTGTCTACCCTTATGGAATGCACCTAATTGTAGCATATTCTGCTTATTACTGTCTGTATGAATCTTTATAAGCTACAATAAAATTCTAAATACAAAAAAAAGTAGCTGGAAAAATAGCCCTCACAGCTACATTTGATTTTCCACAGTTATTGCTGTTTTGACCACATTTTGCATATTGATCATCAGCTCACCACCAATCATAATTTCGGAAATAGACTGGTTAGTCTATGTTTATCAAACTATAAAAGCCATCATGGTACAAAAAAAATACATAATGAAAACTATCAAGTAGTTTTTTTACCTTTTTTTTTTTTTTTTTAAGGAAATTCCATGGGTACTTTTGTTAAAATAAAGTCTTTGAGCCAACACATTCATTTTTTGTATTTATTTAATAAATTCAAAGTGGGACAGAGAGAAAATAATATAAATCTGTAAACAGTGAAAAATAAAATTGCCACAAACACACTTTATTATATGAATGTACTATAACTAATGTAATGTCCATAATGCACAACTTTGTAATATTGAATACTAGAAGAATGGTGTTTCTAAGGCTATATTGGTATGTGGGTGTGCGCGTGCGTGCGCGCGCACACTCATCAGAAATCTGAAAACATTCTATGCAATTTGGATATGGATTACAAATATTTATTTTGTTGTCACATTACCTGAATTTGCCCTAATGCTTTACTGGTCTTTTCATAGTTCCTGATAACATGATAATATGGCTTCACGTCAGTAGGGTGGCATGAAAACAAACTCAGATTTGGCAGATTTAATTAAGATGGAATGGGTTGGTAAGGGACTCTGTAAGAAGAATGATGGTGTGGTGTGGGGGATAGAATAACAAGAATAAGGGATAGTTGCAGGGAGCAAGGTAAAAGTATAGGGAAAGTATAAGTTTGGTGGCACATATCCGCACATTGTATTTTTTCTTTTCTTTCAGTTTTGGAAGGATATTGTAGATGACAATGAAATACGTGACCTCATATATGACAAAAATGGATACCAAGGTTAGTTATCTTGTTAGTAATGCATATGTAATTTTGATTATCGAAGGCACGGTGCTTGTTGGCCTTTTCATCTGTGAAGCTATTAAACATATTTGATTTTCTATGATTTCAGGAGACATTCAAATGCTTTGTAATTATTAGAGGTGGCTATTACATTGGCTAAGGTAACTGTGAACAACCACCAATAATTTTCAGCTGGAACCAAAGAAATAATTTCTGACTGGTGCATTCACATCTGCGTATTATACATAGGGAGCCTTACTATGCCACTTCCTCTTCTGCCTATGTTTAAAGAGTCACTATAGTCACCAGAACAACTACAGCTTAAAGGACCACTATAGTGCCAGGAAAACATACTCGTTTTCCTGGCACTATAGTGCCCTGAGGGAGCCCCCACCCTCAGGGACTCCCTCCCGCCGGGCTCTGGGGAGAGGAAGGGATTAAACTTACCTCTTTCTCCAGCGCCATGCGGGGAGCCCTCTGCCTCCTCTTCGGCTGAATGCATATGCGCGGCAGGAGCTGCGCACGCATTCAGCCAGTCTCATAGGAAAGCATTCATAATGCTTTCCTATGGACGCTGGCGTCTTCTCACTGTGATTTTCCCAGTGAGAAGCACGCAAACGCCTCTAGCGGCTGTCAATGAGACAGCCGCTAGAGGCTGGATTAACCTATTTATAAACATAGCAGTTTCTCTGAAACTGCTATGTTTATAAAAAAAAAAAAAGGGTTAACCCTAGCTGGACCTGGCACCCAGACCACTTCATTAAGCTTAAGTGGTCTGGGTGCCTACAGTGGTCCTTTAATGTAGTTGTTCTGGTGATTATAATAATTATATGCAGGCATTTTCATGCAAACTGAGAAAAGGCAGTGTTTACATTGCCCCTAGGGACACCTCTAGGTGCTTCCTGGCTCAGTGCTGCACAGAAGGCAGCACTACTTTTCAGCGTCTCCACACTTTGAATGAGGATGCTGAAGTTTCCTCGTAGAGATGCATCTCTATAAGATGGTGCTGTTTGGCCCCACCCCCTGCCAATTTTAGCCAATCCAATGTTTTCCCATTGGGAAAGCATTAGATTGGCTAAAAATCTGCAATTCTGATGTCACCAAGGGGGCGGAGCTAGCACTGGCAGACCTGTGCGGCGCTGGAATTAAGGTGAGTTTTTTTATTAAATTTTAAAGGAGCTAAGGAAGGGCAAGCCATCTAAATGGTAGGTTAAACACTATAGCGTCAGGAATACATGTATGTGTTTCTGACCCTATAGTGTGCCTTTAAGATTATGTAAGGTACTGATGAGTTCTCATGCTTCATTCAAATAAGCTGTTATGGCACACATACCTTACGTTTGCAGGTATCTCATTCGTGATCGCTGCCCCAGTGGATGTGACCAGACTCTTACACAGTTATTCATAAAGTGAGTATTCAAACTGAATTTCTAATTTATGGCCAGAGTAAATGAACCGTGAGTGGACTTAGACAATTTTTCTGGTTCAGCTATTTTGACCTTAAATTTGAAATTCACTTTGACTTCTCACTTGAATGAATATCCCTGTAGTGTTACCGTGAGAGGCTAAATGTTAAATCTATAGATAAAAAAAAATTCTATACATTTGCTAGCTGTTTGGGTTAGCACAATACATTACTACAAGTAATTATGTATTATATTTGTGTACGTTAATTTTGAATGATACGAATAAAATTATGCTCAAATCAGAAATTGGTTTTCTATTTTATCTATGCTTTGGTTTTTTTCTTTTTCTTCCTCTTTTTATTCTTCTTCATCCTATTATTTTCCCTGTATGTCCCTTCAGAAGGTACATCTCCAGAATCCTTATGGGACTCCCTATTTCACCCTCCGAGGAAACTGGGCATTAATGACATTGAAGGCCAACGTGTTCTCCAGATAGCTGTAATTCTGAGAAATCTGTCATTTGAAGAAAGCAATGTTAAGCTTTTGGCAGCTAATCGTACCTGTCTTCGTTTCCTGTTACTGTCTGCTCATAGTCACTTTATTTCCCTAAGACAACTGGGACTTGATACTTTGGGAAATATTGCAGCAGAGGTAAGAAACTATTGAAACTCCTGGATAGATTTTTATCCCCACTGTTTTATTTAACTATGTAGGTGTCATTGTTTTGTTCTCCAAATTTTAATAAAGTGACTCTCAACGAACTCTGTCAAAATGCCTCCCTACCAACATGTTTCCTTACTTTCCAATGAGTAGTTTGGAAACAGGTCAGTGGAATGTCCCACCAAATCAAAGTTATCCTCCGTATTTAACATAATGTCCATTATTTTCCTTTCATATATCGGCTTCGCTAATTAACTGTGGCAGTTCCATAAAACTAGGTTTAAGAGAACATCTTAGAATAGCATGTATTTGAAAAACCGATATAGCCTTGATATTAGACCTCTATCTAAACTTTGAGGTTTGCTGTGGGGGTAATCATTTGTAGAATTAATGGATACTCTTACAGAATACATTTATTTAAGGAGTGTTTTAGAGAAACGTGTAGTTAGATTCTTTTATTTTTAGTGACTTAAATATATTTTTGGAAGATGCACTGACTGCTTTGATTTTGTTTAAGTAATGTCCATGCAATAATTACTGTACAGATGGAAAAAAAGATTTTTAAGAAAATGCATATACTTCGAACGAAAACTGGTTTAAAGATATAGTGTAGTTTGCAATGAAAGAAAGATTCTGAGTTTGGCTAAAATTGACAGAGTAGTAAAGTTGTATCATCTGTTCATGTGTCTCTAATCTGTTTATTGATGATGCAGTGGACATTAAATGCCAGCTAGGTCCAAATATGTGAAGGTGATGCAAAATTTAGGTGACACATTCTGTATTGGACGTTACTTCTGTATTGGAGATTTGTTTACAAATTGTTTCACTGGACTGGGACGCAACAGTTGAAATTGTACACAAATACGTTGTATTGGGGTAATTTACCTATTTTAGCACTTACCAATCTCTGCCTTCTCTGCATTGTTATCCAAGTATATCTGTTCTCAATTAGGGTGATTAGTGGACTGATAGTACATACTGGAGGTATACAGGGATTGGGTTCATTATTTATGCATTTGTTACTTACCTGCTTTATAGAGCTTGCTGGCTAAATAGTAGAACACAAAGAACTGGGCAATGGTATAAAGTCCAGGGTAGATTTATTGGCCAGAATTAGGCTCTGTGTGAGCCTTTATCAAACTTTATTTTTTTTTTATTTTCACTTGAAAAACCTGGTTGTCTGTGGACTGGTGTGCTAGCACGCTTGTGACTTTTACATGTAACTACCCTTTTTTTCTTTCTAAATTGTAGCGCAGTTGAATCTGGTTGTTTTCAGACAAATAAAAAATCTGCGGGTGAATCTGGTTGTTTTCAGACAAATGTTTTACAGTACAGTGAAGTTATATTTCATTCTCTTTTTGACTTGGTTAGCATTTTCTAGCACATGACAAGGACACTGCCTGGAAATATACAATACTCTCTTTGGTGGAAAATGTCAGGCATTAATTATTATAAATGACTGCCTAGTTCTGTTGTGCTGAAGGCAATTACCACAAAATAGGTGATATAAAAAATACTTTAGTATTTTAAAATGCTTTATTTGGTAAATTCTTCCCTTTTGTTAAATTAAATATTGTCATATCTGTAGTTTGATATGGCATTTTACAGTCCTGTGCTAATTTACTATTTTTAACTTTCTGTGGATAAATAAAAGAGCTTTCAATGGTTTATCTTGGCTTAGTACTAACAAATGTTAATATATGAATATTAACTGTTTTTTTTCTCCTAATTTCAGCTTCAGTTAGATCCAGTTGACTTCAAAACCACTCACCTAATGTTCCATACAATTACAAAATGCTTAATGTCAAGGGATAGATTCTTAAAAATGAGGGGTAAGCCTAAAATTTCATGTTATATTGGTTAAAATTTTTCATATGCATCAAGCATTGGGAGGTTTATTTTTAATGTTGTTTTTTTTTTTTTTTGCATTTCTAGGCATGGAAATTTTAGGGAACCTGTGTAAAGCCGATGATAACGGTGTTCTTATTTGTGAGTATGTGGATCAAGACAGCTACAAGGAAATAATCTGTCATCTTACTTTACCGGATGTGCTTCTGGTCATCTCAACCCTTGAAGTGCTCTATATGCTCACAGAGCTGGGAGAAGTGGCCTGTGTGAAGATTGCAAATGTAGAGAGAAGTATAGGTGAGAAATGTTATCATGGATTTCCATTAACTGTGCTTTCAAACTGAATGCCTTTTATTTCTTGCTCTAAGATATAAAAGAGCCCCTTGAGAGATATCCAAAGGTCACTCCAAATCACACCAACACCACTTCCTCTTGCGGACATGATTATGGTACCTACAGTCTTTCACGTTAATGTTTATGTTTTTAGAAAGCTTGTGGCACCACTCCCAGCTGTCAGACAGCCAGGTACTAATCTTCCTGGTCAGTGGTGTGTGTGTGTGTATGTATATATATATATGTATGTGTGTGTGTGTGTATATATATATATATATATATATATATATATATATATATATATATATATCTCTATCCTTTTATATGCATTCGGACTGTGATAAAAAAATTGAATAAAAAAAGGGAATCCGGAAGTATTTTGTGTATGACTTCATGTCTGTGTGGCAGAGAATCTTCTTTTCCTGTCTGACCTACCATAGATTAAAAAATATATATTCTACTGTGGCAACACTACATATGGGTAGGTGCTTGGTTTAAAGCGGCACTGTCATCCACCCATAAAAATGAATATTTCATAAAGATATTATCTTCGTGAAATACTCATTATAACTGCGTTTGCACCCACAGTGGACAGATCAGGTACATAAACTTACTTTTACCTGCCCTCCCTGTCCCCAAATGGTGACAGTGCCGCTTTTAGAGAGGTGGGGTTAAGATGTACACAGAGCAGTAAACTTTACAAATCGGTGGGGTGGGGAGGAGCCATATAACTTGTCAGTGAAGAAAGAATTAGAATCTCTTACATTGGTCTAAATATGAAAATTTTTCAAATGGATTAGATTAGTCTATTCGTGGATAAGGTAAAATATATCAAGAGATGAATAGTGTGATTTAAAAACATGTCCTACAGTTACTTAAGCCAAGAACAGCGGACCTTTACATAATTAAACTTTACTTGTGTTATTATTTCAAAATGTCAGTGAATATCTAATCCCTTCCATTCTTAATTTATTTCACTACTTTGTGACTTTTAGATACTTTGGTATGTCTAATATCCATGGATATACAAATGTTTGGAGCTGATGCACTAACAGCTGTGAAGCTTATTGAACATCAAAGCTCCAACCACCAAGTTGTTTCCGAAATCCGCCCTCAGTCTGTTGAACATGTTGCTGCTCCAGTGACTGCAAGCCCTGCTCAGAGTAAGCTCATTGTATAATGGAATCTAGATCTATGTTTTGGGTTTGTTTGTTTTTTATAGCTTTGCATAGGCCCTTGTAAATATTCTAAACTGTTATTTTTTAAACATTATTTTGTACATAGATAAAACTAATAGAATTAATGGAATCATTTCCATTTTTCTGTGTTAAGTTAAACATACATTAAAAATGTAATTGTCACTGCTACCAGTTAAGCAGTGGACTTTCTATCATTCTGTATGATACGTAGATAATTTTAAGAAATTTTGAGAGGTCCAGGGTACTTGAATCACTTTGAAAGAATCCCAAAGGTAAGGGTGTGTGGAGAGGAGAACAGAAGTCTAACTCTCACAACACACTCAACTAAGGGTGTGCCCACTGGGGGGTATATAGAATCCCCTGGTGTACTAAAATAAATAAAATAAATACTTTATGGAAAACTATATAGAGACTAAATAAAATGCATAGAATCCGGGATAGGGGGATGGCTCAAGGTCCGTGAGGCTATAATAGTACAATCGGAGGCCGTCCAGTAGATATAGTGAAAAATTACTATATGGCAATATTATAAGCCAGTAGGTGCCTGGGAGCATGTATACTAAAAATAGTATGTCATAATAGAATATCTTTAATGTAACATATTCCAGGAAGGTCCTTGGTAAACCCTGTAGTCATTGCCCTTCTTTCTTATCCATACTTGAATCACTTGTTTTTTGGGTAGTGGTGTGGGTGGTCTCTCACTTGTCTGGCAGTAGCAGGTATTGCGCCTATTTGTTATTCCTCTCATTCATCTGTCCTATTTTTGCAAAGCTTGTTAATTTTGCTTGGATATCTATGCTATTTTTTTTTTTGCTTTGATATCTGTCATCTGTAATATATTATACCTGCTTGAACCCTCGAATACGTATGAGGGCTACCATGAGAATCTAATGCCATTTGTTTATGTCCATTTTTTTTATATATCAATATATGTGCACTTTTTTTTTCATCAGATTTTTTTTTGGGGGGGGGACAATTCATATGACATAGACATCTTTCTACTTTTTGAAATTACATATATAAGAATATATCGAGTAATACATATGAGACATACATATACATAAATCACAATAAACATTAAGTCTCTCTTAGATCCCTTTTTTTCTTTATTCAAATTGATCCAATAGAGACGAGACAACTTCATCTACTTGGCATGGAGACCTTTTTAGGATAGTATATAATTTCGATTTTGTTTTCGATTTATTGCGTCAGGATAATTTAGAAAAACTAAATCTTATTTAACCATTTATCCCAGATTTATTTTTCTTACTCCTTTCTCTTTCCCTTTCCTTTCCTTTTCCCCTCTTTTCATTTCTTTCATATTGTTAGATATTTTTAATACTTTTTCTATATAATTTTGGGTGTCTTAGCACTTATCAATTCAATTATCTGTCTAGTGGGGAACAAATGGATGCTCCACTAATATTTACATTGCAACCTAAATACTTTTTGTTTTGCAACTGCCTAGTTGTTATACATTCCCATTATCTTTGGGAAAATTTGATCAAAGATAAATATAGAAATGTTTTTTATGGATAATGTGATCTGAATATCTCTACATTGTCACCACCAGCACCACGGCCAACTCCAACACATAATGCTCCGCCTCCGGGAATTGTAGAGATAGACAGTGAAAAGTTTGGTTGTCAATGGTAAGTAGAGATTATTGGAATACCATTTGTGTGAGATGCTGACAAAATAACATGTAGTGCAACGTTACATGAATTACTTTGTGTTTTCTATACTCCTCAACATTTTTTGATCCAACCTATTTTTATTGCTCTGTGAAATATAAAAAATGTTAAAGGGACTCTCCAGTGCCAGGAAAACAATCTGTTTTCCTGGCACTGCAGGTCCCCTCTCCCTCCCACCACCCATCCCCGTTAGCTGAAGGGGTGAAAACCCCTTCAGTGACTTACCTGAGACCCCCACCGATGTCCCTCGGCGGTGGTTTCGGGTCGCCACCACTCCTCCCCTTCATCATGTCAGCCAGCGGGGGAGACTTATCCTGCCTGCTGAGGAGACCTAATGCGCGTGCACAGCAATGACGCGCACGTGCATTAGAGCTCTCCATATGAAAGCATTTAAAAATGCTTTTCAATGTTTTCCTATGGGGATTTGAGCGATGCTGGAGGTCCTCACACAGGACTGGAGGTCCTCACACCAGTGCTATGAATCAAGTGCCCTCCAGTGGCTGTCTAGTAGACAACCACTAGAGGAGGAGTTAACCCTGCAATGTAATTATTGCAGTTTATGAAAACGGCAATAATTACAGTTGCAGGGTTAAGGGTAGTGGGAGTTGGCACCCAGACCATTCCAATGGGCAGAAGTGGTCTGGGTGCCTTGAGTGTCCCTTTAATCATGTTTATATGAATGCATCAAAGGTAGAAGCTCCTCTGAGATTCAGCAAGCAAATCAGAACAGGTTTTGTGTATTCATGGCAACAGATGCCATACCAAATGCAGAGGAAGGGTAACGTCTGTGTAGAATTAGCTGCAATACCAGCACCAGATTTATTTTTCTAATATTGTCTGTGACTTGTGGTTTTCCATAATTCTGACATTTATTACACTGGAAATGATTTCAAGACTGTTCATGTACAATCTGCAATGGGCATGTGAAATACTGCATAGAATAGTGTGTTTAGTGTGCATTTTATATCTCGGCCTTTGCAGTACATTGCTTTACATGCTGTCTTACTAGCCAATTAAAATACTACTTCCACAAGTATATCTTAGGACCAGTATGCTTTTAATTTACACAGTATTTAACATTGACCTATGGATACTAATGTTAATCAGTATCTAGTATTTGAGGAGTCTGGAAATGTCCCAGAAACCAATGACATTTGTGCAAGTATGGGGGGAGAAAACACTGGGATATATTTTTATTTTTTTCCTCCACAAATTATGTTTATAAAATTATAGTCCTAAAAAGCATATTTACAATATAGACTAGGTAAAAAATGTGAGACTGAAATTAAAGAAAAGTTCATCATTTGACTTTCAAAGAATACAACGTAAAGCTAACCAGACCAGTTAAGTGTAAGTATTTAAGGACGGGGAAAAGAGAGGGGATAAGTTACAGGTAATTGGTGGGAAGGGGGTTGTAAGGTTATTTCTCAGGACAATTGCTCATTTTTACCTTTGAAATAAACTTTACTCTTGTTTTACAGCTTGATTACACTAGGAGCAAAAGATTTAAATATTTTAACCAACTTCTTTCTTCCTCCATAGGTTGAATGCACATTTTGAAGTGAGTGCTGATTGCTCAGTCTCACGCTCAGAAATGTACTCTGAATACCTCTCAACCTGTAGCAAATTAGCTCGAGGTGGAATCCTAACCTCATCTGGGTTCTACAAGTGTCTTAGGTACTGTATCAACCTGCTTTATTAGGTATTTGTTTATTCCAGATGTGGTGAAATGCATTTATTCTGTAGAGATTAAATTATGTTCTGTATTATAACAGTTGCCATTAGTTTGATGTTTTCAGGTTACATCAGTTGTAAAGTTAGTATTACAAACTCATGGACCTAATACATGATATGGGATTGAAAGGAATATTGTTCTTACTTGTTTGAAAGAATATTTATATATAAACTAATACTATATTATTGTTACACTTTCCGATATTTTATTATGTGTTACTGTGTGTGATTTAAGTCAATTATGTTGGTGTGGTAATATTTATATCTGCCTTAACAAAACTATTACAGCTTTACTGTTGTCAACTGCACAATACACCTTCTTTTCTCAGTAGGGATGCAAAATGTTTTAAAAGTTTATAAAACTGTTGCAATTTGTTGTACTTCAAGGTGTTGCCAAGATATTTAAAGACATATTTGTTTTATCATTTAAATTTAAAGATTACATGTACTGCAGCTTCTGTATTCATTATTTTTTAATGTATACATGTAAATAAATACATCTTTTCAGAACACCTGGCTCACCTTTGCCCTATGGGGAACCTGTTTTAAGACCTCTTTGGTCGGAGGCACAGCATTCCCAAACAAACAAAAAAATAAACAAAACCAAACAAAACCTAACCTACAAAACAAAAACTGCAGGTAGTTAAGCTAGTATGTGTTCATGAGGACTGACATCTTACACAAGCAGTTTTATATCTTCTTAAATTGTGTGTAGTCTTGGCAGACAAGTGGTGCTTCTGCACAATGAAAGCTAAAGATATGACTGCCACCACTGAGCAACGATGGGTTTAGGAAATGCACTGAAGAGAATTAACAACTCACTTAATTTATTACAAAATAATATTCAAGGATATATCACATGTAATCTTTTATTTTCAGTAATACAAAAAGGAGCATCTTTTACCTTCATTTTTTAAAAAACATTTTAATGTTAAAGTAGTACTTTAATTATCTGTATTTTTCTTATTTTGAAAGGTCTGTATTCCCAAACCACACAATAAAACGAGTAGAGGATCCAAATAATAATGGGCAAGCTCATATCCATGTGGCCGGAGTGAAAAGGAGGACCTTACCGCTTCCTATTCAGATGTACTATCAGCAGCAGTCTGCATCTAGCGGCAGAGTTGATATGCCTGCGGATGTAGCTGGGACGAATTCTCCAGGTATTTCCCCTCTCCCCCCTTTATTACTCAGTAGTTGTTAAATTTGCTGCAGTTATCAGAGTAATCAAATTGAGGCTTTTAAGTCTTAAAGTAGTAGAGAATTTGACTTAGCAGTTAAAGTGACAAAACTAGCTTATACCACATATTATAGATTACATGTTCAACGCCAAATCCATGTAATGAGTAGTCACTGAAACTTGGTTGACTGATTCAAAGTAAACATTTTGCTGGTGAAATTGCCAGCAGGTTTGTAGTAAGAAAGGTGTATTTCGTTGCAGATCACTTTTTCCTACTTGTAGCAGACACTGCCCTAAGTTACCAGTGTGACATACCAAATTATCTCCAATCTGACAAGCCTTCTGTTCAATATTTCCTAAAATTAAACATTCTTTTAAACTTTACACTGTGTCCTAGTGGCAGTGAGTTTAGGTACATTTTTAAAGGTGTGCCATCTGTTTTGTAGTGATTGATTTTCTTTGCTAAAGACAAGGGAGATGTTAAAAAAAAATATATATATATATTTTTTTATTTTATTTTTTTAAATGCTTGTTTTAGTGTTATTTTTGCAATATAGATAACTTCTGTACAATTTTTTTGTGCCCATCTGTCCCATTTGTATATTTTATTTAAGACTTATAAGGAACCTTCACATTTGAGTCTTTCATAAAAATAACAGCTGTATATGTTTTTTTTTTTTTTTTGTACAATCCATTTTGTGACATAAGTGTCAAAAGACAGACCTGCAAAGTGCAAACAGGTGTACTGTCTTTCCCATCTATAAAACAAACTGCTGTCTCTCCCATCTTGCCATTTTGGTCACTTGCATTGGCTAATGAAAGCCGGCATCTTATACACAAGAAAATCTATACAGGATCATTATGGATCATTCTGTTTTTGTACTTTCACACTAACCAAAATTTGAAATGGAGCAGAACCCTGAAGCTGATCATACCAAATATGGATTGCTTCAGCTAAGTAGCTCCCACCTCCTCCACATACTCACACACACTCCCCTAAACATACATATTGCTTGTGGGGGTGTCTTTGCACCGATCTAAAGACCTTAGAAGCAACTAGGCTTTTTTAAATGTTGAAACATACAGTGAAGTGTAAGGCATTAATTGGCAGCGATTTCTTATATTATTTAGCAATGTGCAACCATATTGCCTTAAGTGTATTTGTATCCGCATGCCTATGTATAGATTAGTTTGCTAGTGCAGACTAAACCTAAGGCCACCAAAGCTTAAGTTACACATCCATGGGACTTGATGTGACAGACATTGGAGTGTATATGAAAGCATTATCAATTCCTACCTTATATTCACATTTTTAATTTTGTTTTGCCAGGAATGCCACAGACAGGAACAAATCTTTTCCAGAGAGTAACAGCAACCAACCAAGCACCGACTCTCACCGCAACACAAATGTCTTTTCCCATTCAAGGCGTCCACACTGTGGCACAGACAATTTGCCGGCTTCCTCAAAATCCTCTGAATCAGCATCATCAAAATACCACAGTGTCTGTAATACAAAACAAAACTCCAATTTCATGTGAAGTTGTTAAAGCTGCGGTAATACAGGGCTCTGTTCAACATTCAGGAGTTCCTGTTAGCATTGCACTGGGAGGGTCAACACAAGCTTCTTTAGTCCAAAATCACTGCGGTGCAGGGCAGCAGCCCTCGGTTACTGTAGTAGGTTCTCAGGCATTATTTCACCATCCATCTGTAATTCAGCAACAGTCCCCATTGCACACTGTTGTACCAGGCCAGATTACATCAGGCACTCCTGTAGCAGTTATTCAGCAAACTGTACCCCAGGGCCACATATTTGGGAGGGTACAGAACATGCCACCTGGTGCATCATCTCTTTCACAAGGTCAGCAATTAATCACCACATCCTCCCAGGCAGTACAGGTCCCATCTCAGCAATCCCCAGCTTCCAACCAGCAGAAAGATACTGTAATCATAACCCCACAACAGTATGTCACAACCTCCTCACCCAATATGGTATCTGCAACCACAGTGCAGAGTTTTCAAGTTGCAACTGGACATGTGGTTACTATAGCAGGTGTTCAGAATTCCCAGACATCCAGAATTGGTTTTCAGAACATTGCTCCAAAGCCCCTGTGTTCTCAAGTTTCTTCTACAGTTGTGCAGCAACCTCTCCAACAGCAGCAGCAACAACCCCAGCAGAGTGTTGTGATTGTAAGTCAGGCTGCCCAACATGGCCAGGCATATGCACCAGCCATTCACCAAATTGTACTTACTAATCCAGCTGCTATCCAGGCTTCACAAACTGTTCAGTTAACAGGACAGACAAGTATGGCTTCATCATCTTCTGGAATAACTATGAATAACCAGCTCCCACCTATAATGACCTCAGCCCCTACCACTCCAGTCTCACAAGGACCTGCTCCTACTGTTAGCCAGATGCTTTCTGTAAAAAGACAACAATTGTCACCAGCACCTCCCCAGCAACAGCAGGCACAAGCTCAACAGCAGACACAATTACAAACTCAGCAGCAGCCGCCACCGCAGCAGATGCAAGTACAGGTTCAGCAGTCCCAGCCTTCCAGTGGCGGAGTTGGTCATACCACTCCAGGTGAATCTAGCCTCATAAAGCAGCTGTTGCTACCAAAACGGGGACCTACAACACCAGGTGGAAAACTTATACTGCCTGCTCCACAAATACCACCCCCAAGCAATGCAAGAGCACCTAGTCCTCAGGTGGTTTATCAAGTAGCTAATAACCAATCCCCTTCATTTGGTGTGCAAGGTCAACCTACACCTCAGCAAATCTTGGTTGGGCAACAGAATGTGCAATTGGTCCAAAGTGCACTGCCTAACCAGACTGCAGTACAGACTGTACCAATATCAAATCTGCAGATTTTACCAGGTCAGTTAATCTCAAATTCCCCAGCAACTATTTTCCAAGGAACCACTGGCAACCAAGTTACCATAACAGTTGTGCCAAACACGAGTTTTGCTACTGCAACAGTCAGCCAGGGTAATGCAGCTCAGATAATTGCACCCATGAGCGGGACCCAAACAGGAGTAGGGCTTCAGGTACAAACACTTCCTGCCGCTCTTACACAGCCTGGTGGGCAGCTGTCAGGACCTGCTTCTCCCCCATTTAAAGGTGATAAAATAATTTGCCAAAAGGAGGAAGAAGCAAAGGAAGCAACAGGGTTGCACGTGCACGAACGGAAAATTGAAGTGATGGAGAATCCTTCCTGTCCAAAAGGTTCTGCAAACACCAGCAATGGGGAAAGCAATGAAACTGAAGTTCAGATAGGGAATCTTCTAAATGGTAGAAAGTATGACTCAAGTCTACCTCCATCAAACTCAGGGAAAACTCAAAATGAGGCCAGTCCATGTCAACTGGTCACTAATGGGTCATCTGTGGAATTGGGGGAAAATCGACCTCCCGGGAAGCAGGGCTGTGAGCAAACTGAAATGCAGGACACAAAAAATGACTTTAAAAGGCCACAAGTTAATGGGATTTGTGATTTTGAAAAGGTGGACAGCTCTCACGTGAGCAAAAACATTCCGAATCACAAAGCTTCCAATCACGTAGGAAATGGTGACATCTCTATGGTGGAGCAACAAGAACTTATAAATTCTTCACAAGTAACTGCCAAAGTTGATCAAGTGGAAAAATTTTCTAATGGACCTTTATTACCAAACAGTATGTCACATTTTGCAAGCAGCATCCATGATGCTGCTAATCTAGCGATTCAGATACATTGTGGTACACCAACAGACTTGCACAATGGGCCTGTAGCTTCAAGTTTGAATTCAGATGTGCCTCAGCAACGTCCATCTGTAGTTGTCTCCACTCAGTCTACAGCTTCTGTTTTACCAGGTCATCAACTTATTGCTTTGCCTCACACAGGGCCCAGAATTTCTCAGCCTGTCCTCCCTGCCGATATACGATCTGCTAATGGCACAACAGACTGCAAATCTCTTAAGAGACCAGCAGATGATAGTGACAAGGAATCGATCCCTGTAATTCCAAATAAAGTGGGAGTGAGGATTGTTACAATCAGTGATCCCAATAATGCTGGCTGCAGTGCAACAATGGTTGCTGTTCCAGCAGGTGTTGATCCCAGTACTGTGGCAAAAGTAGCAATAGAAAGTGCTGTCCACCAAAAGCAGCAGCATCCACATACCTTTGTACAGACTATGGTTGCACAGGTAAGCTTACTCTTTCAGGAGTTTTTCTCTTTTCTTTTCTTTAAGTATGTTTGTATGTATACATATTTATTGCTAGTTTTGATTTTAAGGAGCCATTTGTTCTGCCAAATACTTTACTAGTATTATAATTTAGGTGTTAGAAATGTTCACACTAGATGTAGGGATGAAGTCAGAAATTGCATATGTTAAATTTCACGATTAAACTGTAATACAATGTGTGACTATTCTGGGCACTGTAACAATTTCATTGGATTTTTATGGTGTGAGGTGGTCCTGAATACCTGCTTAAGGAGTTAAAAGTTTAAAGTCTTCAGTCTGATGCCAGTCAGCTCTGCCCCTTTACATCCGTTCCTGTCTGACGCCAGTCAGCTCTGCCCCTTTACATCCGTTCCTGTCTGACGCCAGTCAGCTCTGCCCCTTTACATCCGTTCCTGTCTGACGCCAGTCAGCTCTGCCCCTTTACATCCGTTCCTGTCTGACGCCAGTCAGCTCTGCCCCTTTACATCCGTTCCTGTCTGACGCCAGTCAGCTCTGCCCCTTTACATCCGTTCCTGTCTGATGCCAGTCAGCTCTGCCCCTTTACATCTTTTCCTGTCTGAGGCTTCAGCTCTGCCCCTTTACATCCATTCCTGTCTGAGGCTTCAGCTCTGCCCCTTTACATCCGTTCCTGTCTGACGCCAGTCAGCTCTGCCCCTTTACATCCGTTGCTGTCTGAGGCTTCAGCTCTGCCCCTTTACATTCGTTCCTGTCTGAGGCTTCAGCTCTGCCCCTTTATATCCGTTTCTGCCTGAGGCTTCAGCTCTGCCCCTTTACATCTGTTCCTGCCTGAAGCTTCAGCTCTGCCCCTTTACATCCGTTCCTGTCTGAGGCTTCACTCAGTAGCTTCTCCTTCACAAACCAAAGTGAAAAAGATGCATACCTTTTTCACTCCATTTTGTGAATAGGGAGCAACTGATAGGCTGAGAATGTCAACTAAAGTAAAGGGGCAGAGCTTATGGATGCTGTATTGAAGACTTTGGGGTTAAACAGTTAAGCTGGCGGCCAGGACCATCTTGCACCATAACTGCATTCCTCTAAGGTTGTTATGGTGTCTGTATCATACTTTGTGTCTGTCAGAACTAGACCAGCAGTGTATAAATAGGGGTGGGTAACCAGATCTTTCCACTTTGGAGCATCCGCAGAACCTCCAAGGTAGACCAACACAGAGCAAAGTTGCAGAAAGATCTCAAATGCAAGCTGCAAAATGATTATGAATGCCCTGGGATCTGGGTACGTTATATCATATACAACAAAGTATGCACAAAAAGTATACAACGATGTTGTGATACATATTAAAGAAAACTATAAAACATTACTGTAGCAATCTTTCATTTTAAAATAGTATATTTCCTGCTAGATGTGCTACTTCTGGTGAAAGTGAAACCATATGGAATATTTTAATATTATAATATCAAGGTGAAAATACATTTTGCTCACATTAATTATAAAATTTGTTTTCTGTACATTTGACCTTTTACAAATGTTTTGGGAATTTTTAATTCTAATTCCATGAAAAGATTACTCTGCAGTTTCTACCAAATGCATGTAGAATCAGCACTATTTTGTGTCTAACCTGCAAGTGCATATTACGTGCTACACTGTATGTGTCCTGAAAACATACCCCAACATTAAAAATACAGATGTAGAATTAAACCGCGTGCTACAGATGTAGAATTAAACCGCGTGCTTCGAATCTCCCCAGAAATAATGAATAAACATGTTTGTCATATATTGTCCTTCTGTTTATAAAACATACAGAATTTTCAAAAAGTTGCCACAGTATCTCTATTGGGTTTTAATATGGTTTATGCTTGGGAAAATTAGTTAACATTTCAATTATTGTGTGGCTTTTTGCATTGATGGCAGTAGTAGGGTAAATAGCTAATTTGTCGGAGTGAGTAACTGTGACATATTGAGGAGCTATCAACTGATTTTAATGACATAAATAACTAACATTTATTAGAATTTAATATAAAATAACTGAGCTTATTTGTTATTTTAGAAATTATGGCTACTGGAATGTTTTCCATCCACTTATTAAAGAGTATCGATTACTACATCCGGCCCTAAAATATGTAATCTTTTCCTACTAGCCAGGCCTTAAAAGTGGCTCTCCCCCGCACGCCATAGCATGCCTTCTGCTGTGATTTACTGCTTTTCGGGGCTTGCCAATATTATAATACTAAATAATATAAATATAGGAAGACTATCACATGGAGCTAACTGGGGTTGCAATGCTTTAAAACATGAATAATATAGAATGGAAAAGGCTAATTAAAAATTAAAAACACTGTGACATGATAAATCGCGTAGAGGCAAAATTATCCTGAGGACTCCTGGAACACGCTTGGGGAATAGTGTTAATTGGGAATGGGAATACGGTGACCTCAGTTATAAGAACAAATACATATGCAGTGTATGAATGGTAAAGTCAGCACAAGTCATATTAAGCATTGCAAACAACACATTATATTTTTGTTTAATTAGCTTGTCAGTCACCCTGTGTGGATGTAATTATTCTTTTTTCTTCATTATATTCTAATGTATACTTTCCTTCATATGTTTGTGTTTTCAGTTATGTTCTTACTACAGGAAGCTGGTTACATTTATTTATGAATCTGTTCTATTACTTGGCTATAGAGATCCCCTTTAGTGTTGGAGGAGTAGTACTCTGTACATCCTGGTTACAGTGTGGATAACTGCTTTCATTTTTTTACCCTTTTGCCTTACTTGTATTAGTCCTCAGATTTGTTACACATGGTTTAGTAGGTGTAAGATATAATGTACATTGGTGAATAAAATCAGAAAAAATGATTGGTATGCCAAAGGATTGTTTTAGTGCAGGGGTTGGCAACCTACGGCACTAGTGCCATGCACGGCACTCGAGGTGTCTTTCCACGGCACTCAAGGCTGCTAGAGTCAAACAGGCTCTGGCCTATCAGGCATCTCAGTGAAACTTCAGATATCTGCTAATACGAAAAGGTGGTGAAGGAAAATCCTCAATTTATGCATTGCAGAACGTAGAGGAAGTGACCTCAGATCAGTTCCTCCCAGCACTTGTGAATGAGAATCCACACTGTAGCAGAGCAGCCTGCAGCTGCTGTTGCAGCTCCTGTCCTTGACCTGTACCTGGCCAGCCTGGTCTCCACTGGAACCCAGGGAAGCCACTCACACTGCTAGATATACACAGGCCTGCAGAATAAGCCTCCCCTCATACAAATAATACAAACAGCCCACACACAAACATACACACAATCCCCACTAACGCAACACCACTAACAATCCACATACATGCACACAATCCCACATGCAATACGCCAAACAGCCCCCACACACTACCAAACACACAAAGTGACACATCCATCCACACACAATTCCACAAGCAGCCCCCATACACGATACCATAAACAACTAATGCACATATACAATATAATAGCTCATATACGCACAAATACAAAGATACAGATCACTTACAGTAAAAATAACACAACCAGAATACAGCAGCATACACACCTCAATTTAAAAAAATAGGATCGGCACGCTACGGGACATCAGAATCCTATATCGGCACAGTGCTGCTAAAAGGTTGACTACCCCTGTTTTAGTGAATTGTCAAACATACAAATTGGGTTAAAACTTTTAATTAATATGTCTATTGTTACAAAGCACTTTATGCAAGACCACCAAAAAAATTATTAAAATGTATACATTTGTTGTTGGTATGCAATTCCACACAGCTCCTAAAGTAAAGCTAGTTGTTAACAAATGCTAAAAACAAAGTGTGACATTCAATAAAGTATCCATTTTAAATCAAAGCTTGGCAACTGTCAGAAACATAGGGTGTTTGACACTTAGACATTCAGTAGCATTTATCCACCACCCAGGAACTAGTCATAAAACAGTGTGACAGAAATAAGGTAAATAAGAACATCCGCGTGCTAATAAACCAAATAAAGCTAAAGGCCCTGAACATACGCATCATAGGTACTCTATATTGTGACTTCGAGGGCCCTTATCTGCTTATTAGTAAATAACGTGGGCCTTGGGAATTATAGACATTAATTGGTTGGGGTTTTATTACTGCATATACCTCTATTTAACAAATGAATAAATGTTACGTTTTACCCGATTTATTTGACTATTCACTAAGAAATAATCCTTTGTCTCCTTTCAATTTGTAACCTAGGGGTTACCTCCCTCCTTTTTGTTTCTTAGGTACTTTTGAATTACCTCAATTAATATTTTTTTTTCTTGGTATGCCAAAATGTTTAACAGGTTATCATTTGTACATATGTCTTTGCATGGTTTAGATGCCAGACTATTTTCAGTATGTTTGTGACCATGACAAACCATTTGCATGTTGGAATTGTCATACATTTTCATAAATCCACACTTTGTTTATGATGGACTTAGTGACACTGCTGGTCACTCGCTTAGTTTCATGAATTGATGTACATTTAATCTTGCATTAGATATTAGATTAGATATTCTCAAATATGGACTTTCTCAATGCCACTGATTCAATAGGAAACTGCATTTGCAATATTTGGTGATTGTGACCACTAGTGATGTCCCAAACAGTTCGCCGCGGACTCATCATTGAGTAAACTTTGACCCTGTACCTCACAGTCAGCAGACACATTCCAGCCAATCAGCAGCAGACCCTCCCTCACAGACCCTCCCACCTCCTGGACAGCATCCATTTTACATTCATTGTGAAGCTGCATTCAGCTGCATGAGCTGTCCAGGAGGTGGGAGGGTCTGCTGCTGATTGGCTGGAATGTATCTGCTGACTGTGAGGTACAGGGTCAAAGTTTACTCAATGATGAGTCCTCGGCGAACCGTTTGGGACATCACTAGTGACCACCTCTCTGGTAGATAGTTTAGAGTTAAAATCGTGTGTTGTTGTCTCTTTATGCATTTTTCCTTCAGATCCTATTGGTTGGAAAATACTCCATTTGCTTAATACATTGCAGTACCTCTGTCAATCCTCCACGGTTCCTAATTTTGTGAATACATTTCTATATCTCAAATTGATTTATACAGGAGGTGTATTTTTTGTGATCCATGTTAAAATTTTTTGTAAAAATTGGATTTTTACCAGCCTCTTTTAAGATCATTGATTTGATAGATTGGCAAATTAAAAAACAAACTTAAAAGGGTCACTGAAGGAACCATAACCACTACAGTTTACTGTAGTATTTATGTTGGTAGGAGGAATAATTTCAACCATTTACAAGCTGTTTCTTAAAAAACAGAAGAAAACAAAAAAAACAGAAGATGTCAGAGCCCTCTAAGCCCACCCCTTTTGTAAAGGTCATGATGTGAAAGTATGATTTCTACATCATACATCTATTTTTATGGTGTGAACAAGGGTTGCAGTAAGAGGCTTCCCTGTGTTAATTCTCTTACACAGGTGATATCACTATTTTTCCTGTACTCCAGTGCCTGCAAGCCTCTAAGTGCATGTCCTGGAAAAAATATAGAACTGGTAAGATCACTATAATAATAGAAACCCACACCTTTCCTCTCCTGTCATTGTGAGATGAGCATACAATCCTTCATTGGGAGATATATAGAATTCCTAGAAACCTTTTGTTTAGGTTCGTTACTTTCGTAAGCATTGCTTTATTATTTTATTTTTTTTCCTCTCTCAGAATGAAGGAAAGGCAGGCTGCTGTACAGCTTCACATTCAATCAAACTTGTTCTGTTACCCGTTGTCAGTATTTTATACTGATATGTACCAGTTCTGCAGCACTGTGAATTGTTCCTATATTATTGGCTTACTTGTTGTGCCGTTATAACAATAGACCATGTTTTTCTCACCCATACTGCTATATACCTTCCGTAGTCTGCTTTTGCATATTCCATAGCTTTCCATGATGAGGACTTCTCTTTGAGATATTTTCCTCATTGTTAATATTTATACATAATAGTGGATTTTATAGTAATCATGCCAATGGTTTAGTGCATCAAATAGTTTTTGTACATATTTATTGAGAGAAAAATATTTAAGAGCAGAGAAAATATTAAAATATTTAAGTATTAGTACGAGCTCTCAATAAATGGCTATTCTATTGTGGAAGAATGTTTTCATTCAGGTTGTTTTAATGAATGAAGTTAATCTCAAAGAAAGCTACTAAAGCATCTGTAAAAGTCAGAGACAGGCAGGGAAGCATGGTTGGGAGTAGGTGTTTATAGCTTCAAATTACAGTAACAGAATAATGGCGGGAGATAGGAGTTCATTACATCAAAACCCATTCAGTTACTTTTACTAGTCAGTATCTCTTATGCTTTTTTTTTTTTTTTTTTTAAGCCATTTTTGTTGTATTTGGAATTTTCTGGCTAAGTGCACGCCTTAACGACTGTCTGTCTTGTCCAAAAAGTAAGCAAATTTTTACTTGCATACAGCCTTGATAGTAACAATTGGCAAGGTTTCCTTACTTGGAGATGCAGTTTAATAACAGTTGTCCAATGACCGTTTGCTTACAGAGTTAGGTTACTGAATGTTTTCTTGAAATGCTACTTTTTGTCATGACATTTCTCCTTGGTCTCCTTACACAAGCATCATGTGATTGGCTGGCTGATAGTGCTGGGCTGTACTGCAATCCAGGCTGTACTGCAAGCCAATCACCTAATTCATGTGGAATGAAACAGACATTGATAATGTGAAAGTGTTAATTCTAAATTATCATTATGGCTGAGGAGTGGGTGGTCTCTGAGCGCTGGTAAGAGCCTTGGTTAATGTTAGCCCATTCCAAAATGGTTTAATATTAAAGGAATACTATAGTCACCTAAATTACTTTAGCTAAATAAAGCAGTTTTAGTGTATAGATCATTCCCCTGCAATTTCACTGCTCAATTCACTGTCATTCAGGAGTTAAATCACTTTGTTTCTGTTTATGCAGCCCTAGCCACACCTCCCCTGGCTATGATTGACAGAGCCTGCATGAAAAAAAAATGGACTCTCTTTCTAACAGATATAATTTACCTTAAATAATTGTATCTCAATCTGTAAATTGAACTTTAATCACATACAGGAGGCTCTTGCAGGGTCTAGCAAGCTATTAACATAAGAGGGGATAAGAACATCTTAATTAAACAGAACTTGCAATAAAGAAAGCCTAAATAGGGCTCTCTTTAGAGGAAGTGTTTATGGAAGGCTGTGTAAGTCACATGCAAGGAGGTGTGACTAGGGTTCATAAACAAAGGGATTTAACTCCTAAATGGCCGAGGATTGAGCAGTGAGGCTGCAGGGGCATGTTCTATACACCAAAACTGCTTCATTAAGCTAAAGTTGTTCAGGTGACTATAGTGTCCCTTTAAACTTTTGCACGTAAGCTCGTTGAGCAGGGCCCTCAACCCCTCTGTTCCTGTGCGTCCTTTTGTCTGGTTACAATTACATGTCTGTTGTACAGCGCTATGGAATTTGCTGGTGCTATAAAATTATTAAAATAATAACTAGTGGGCACTGCCAGGAAACTCTAGGCATTGTAATCACTACACAAGCTTGTGTGGTTATGTTGTTTAGACTGTTCCCTTTAAGTAATAATATGAGTGACCATTTGTTTGACAGAGCTAAAAGGTACACACTGGTTGGATAACAGTGGTTTTTCAGACAAACAAGTGATTCTACTACAATTTAGGTTTATTGTGTAATAAATGTTTAAATCATCAATCACTGTGTATCATATATGTATTCCTTTAACACCATAAAACATAGCACTGTGATTTAAAAATGGTTAGCCAACCCAATTTTACCAACCAGTAAACATTGATCAGCCACAACATTAAAACCATTGACAGGTGAATTGAATAACATTGATATATTGGTCAGCAAGTGAACAGCCCGGTCTTGAGTGTCATGTGTTGGAAGCAGGGAAAATTGGCAAGCAAAAAGATCAGAGTGACTTTGACAAGGGCCAAATAGTGATGGCTCAACGACTGGGTCAGAGCTTCTCCAAAGCTGCAAGTCTTGTGGGGTTTTCCCGGTATGCAGTGATTAGTACCTACCAAAAGTGGTGCAAGCAAGGACCACAAATGAACCTGCATTAGTGGAATGGGCGCCCAAGGTTCATTGATGCTCGAAGGAGAGAAAGCTAGCCAGTCTGGTTCGATCACCAGGAGAGCTAATGTAGCTACGATTGCTAAAAAACATAATGCTGACCATGATAGAAAGGTGTCAGAACACACAGTGCTTCCCAGTTTGCTGCCTATGGGACTATATAGCCACAGACTGGTCAGGGTGTTCATGATGACCCCTGTCCACAGCCGAAAGCACCCTCAGTGGGGTTGTGAGCATCAGAACTGAACCATGAAGCAGTGCAATACATTTGCAAGGTCTGATAAATCACATTTTCTTTTAGATTAGGTGAATGACCAGGCGTGTGAATGTCACTTTCCTGGGGAAGGAATGGCAGCAGGATACACTATAGGGAAAAGGGAAGGCTGGCGGAGTCAGTGTTATGCTCTTGGTAATGTTCTGCTGGGAAACCTTGGTTCTGGCATTAATGTGGATGTTACTTTGAGACGTACCACCTACCTAGAGATTGTTGAAGACCACATACACCCCTTCTTGGCAACTGTGTTACTTGGCCTATTTTAGCAGTATAATGCCCCCTGCCATCCTGCAAAAATTGTTGCCTTGACCTCCAAATTCCACAAATCTCAATCCAATTGAGCATCTGTGGGATGTGCTGGAACATCTAATCTGATCCATAGAAGCCCCAACTTTCAACTTGTAGGTTGTAAAGGAACTGCTGCTAATGTCTTGTCTTGTCGAGTCCACAATATTGGGCAGGGATTTTAATGTTGTGGCTGATCAGTGTAGCTGTGTACAAATAGTGTGACCAAACTTCATTTGAAATTTTAAATAATATTTAAAGGTGTTGAACTCTGCATTGTGTGTGTGCTTTGATTTTCTTTTTGCGCCTCTGATTTTTTAAAATTCTTTTAGCAATTCTTAAATGTAAGAATTGAAGTGGTCTGAATGCAGTGTCCCTGCAATTGTTTTTAGAAAATGTTTACATTTCAGGATTAAGTCAATCTCTAGTGGCTGTCAGGGTGAGTAAAACTTGATCATGTGACATGAAAGCCCCTATAGGAAAGCATTGATTCACTGTGTTCCTCTGGGGAAGCTTAAATGTGTGTCTCTATCTTCACATGTGCAATAGATCCCCAATGCTCCTCTAGGAGAAGCATTGGATTGGACCATTGCAGGAGGCAGAGAGGTTACCAGCACTGCGTTTTTAACTGCAAAGGCATAGTAAGGGTGGGTTGTATAGCTTTATGAATATATGGTTGTATTGCTAACACTATTGTGTTCCTTAAAACTTTGATATAGCTTATATCATGAAATAGCCAAATAAAGGCAGTGATTTTATAATATAATTGAAAGCGATAAAGCATTAAAGGACCACTCTAGGCACCCAGACCACTTCAGCTTAATTTCAGAGAAACTGCTATGTTTATGAATGGGTTAAGCATTCCGCCAATTACTCTAGCAGCTGTCTCATTGACAGCCGCTAGAGGCGCTTTAGTGCTTCTCACTGTGAAAATCACAGTGAGAGCACGCAATCGTCCATAGGAAAGCATTGATAATGCTTTCCTATGTGATCGGCTGAATGCGCGCGCAGCTCTTGCAACGCGTGCGCATTCAGCCGCATGGGAGGAGAAGAGGAGGATCGGAGGCAGAGAGCTCCCCGCCCAGCGCTGGAAAAAGGTAAGTTTTTACCCCTTTCCCCCTTCCAGAGCTGGGTGGGAGGGGGTCCCTGAGGGTGGGGGCACCCTCAGGGCACTATAATGCCAGGAAAACGAGTATGTTTTCCTGGCACTATAGTGGTCCTTTAAGGAAGAATTTAAAACTACATATGCTGTGAAATGAAATATGTGGCTAGGCATCCTTGTAACAATGCCAAGCTGCATGTCATAGTGGTCAACTGCTAATAATGCAGCTTGTTTAAAAATCCACTGTACTGCTCTAGTAATATCCGTATTGGGAGTTCATTGAAATCTGCCAGTATCTTCCTGTGGAATTTGCATAGTCTATCAGAACCTGCATGCTATTTTTGGTGTAGTGGGGGAGGAGAATGGAGGATTGGCTCTTTACTGTAAACAGAAGTATGCCCCTCTAATGACCCCAGTCCAACTTGCATTTTGATTGTACTTTGCAAAGTTGTAAACTGGTTCTAATAGTGTCAGCCTAATTTTTAAAATGCTAAATTCATATTAACATTTAATCTGGCGATTGTTTACAGCTTGTTAGCATATGATGTTTTCAGTGAGTACATGAGTGTATTGAGCCTTTACATGAACTTTAATGGGTTATATATAGTGATGTCCCGAACGGTTCGCCACAGATGGCGAACATATGCGCTGTTCGGTCCGCCCCTTATGTCATCATTGAGTAAACTTTGACCCTGTACCTCACAGTCAGCAGACACATTCCAGCCAATCAGCGGCAGACCCTCCCTCCCAGACCCTCCCACCTCCTGGACAGCTCACTAAGAATGCAGCTTCAAAATGAATGTAAAATGGATGCTGTCCAGGAGGTGGGAGGGTCTGGGAGGGAGGGTCTGCTGCTGATTGGCTGCAATGTGTCTGCTGACTGTGAGGTACAGGGTCAAAGTTTACTCGATGACGAATAGGGGGCGGACCGAACAGCGCATATGTTCGCCGTCCATGGCGAACCGTTCGTGACATCACTAGTTATATATCATCCTGTACTATATTTTTATATTTTTAAGGAACATTTTAAATTTTTCAGGTTGGTTGTATTTAACTGTATTTACAGTTTTAGTGCATTACCTAATTAGCTGGTTTTCAATTCTTGATTACAACCGTTAGAATTCATTTGAAAAAAAAAAAAAAAATCATTGTTGATTACATAAAAAAAAAAAAATTTGTTACATTAAAACAAATGGGACAAAATATGTCTGTTGAATGTTAATCTCACTTGTTTTCTAAAAGGTAGTAGAATTGAAATCATTTGTAATAGATGCACTATTTTATTTTTATTTTATTTATTGGTGCTACACATCCCTTTTTTTTTTAAATATATTTTTATCAAATCCAAAAGTCTAGAAAATTGAATTTTCTTTATTTACATAAAAACAGTCATTTTACAGTGGGGAAAAAAAAGCAACAAGTTGGTCTATTTGTTTGAGCCTTATGGTTAATTTCCTCTTTTCCTAGAGCACACCTGTGACAACAATACCAGCATTACAAGTTCAAGGTCACCTTGTCAGCTCTCAGCCCTCTCCCTATCCTGCAACATCTATAAGTCATCATGTGGAGCAGGTGAAGAAACCAGGACAAAACTTCATGTGCTTGTGGCAGTCATGCAAAAGGTGAATGTTCAATGGTTTCTTATAGCAGGAGTTAGCCGGATTAAATTGTATGCCACGCACTCTTACTTTCGTTTCTTAGCAAGCAATGCAGCCAGAAAAATGACCAGTTCTATGTCGCATACCTCCTAACATTTAATTTGGACAATGCCGGGACACTTTAATTTTATGTGTGAGGGTGTGGCAAGGGGCAGGGCTGCTCTGAGAAATTGTAGGTGAATTACTAGTAACAATTTATGCAACTAAAATGTAATTTTGAATAGGAACTGATTTCTAAACTTATTTATTGTCGTTTAAAATCACATTAATGTGAGTATCAACCCCTTAAGGACACAACTTCTGAAATAGGAAATTATGACGGAAATATTCCATCATCCTATGGGGTCAAGAAGGAATTTTTTTCCTAGTTTGTTGCAAAATTGGAAGCGCTACAGACTAGGTTTTTTTTGCCTTCTTTTGGATCAACAGCAAAAACATATATGTGAGGAAGGCTGAACTTGATGGACGCAAGTCTCTTTTCAGCTATGTAACTATCATGTGTCCTTAAGGGGTTAATGCTGAGGGACTCTGTTATACACTCAGACACACTAACAGTTTGGAGCTCAAAGAAAAGTCAATTAGGATTAAAAAGAGAAACCATTGGATTTAGTCCAAAAATAGGGACTGTCCCTCCTAAATAGGGCTCTTGGCGGCTATGCTGTTGTGTTGTGCTTTGAAATTTCAAAAATTTCACTTTCTAAAAACATTTTTATAATTCCTTATTTTTGCTGTACAGATGATTAAACTTGCTTTGCCACGACAGCTTCAGCAAGCACGAAATAGACATAATTAAACATAATCATGGCAGTTAGACATTAGCACAACTTTATATGCAAGAATGGTGCAAGAGAAATACTATAGAAATACACTAGGTGGTAGAGGATAAGGACAATTGCAGTATGGTACTTATACAAAGGAAATTATTTAGACAAAGAGATTGAAGGCAGTGAAACATGCTGAACTGTATACTGCAAAATAGGGAACTATTGTTAGAGAGACAAATTCTGAATTCCAGCGCATTCCTGAGTACCTGTAACATCAGTCCCATAGCAGAATGCTGTTAGAACTCAGGGTCCCCCGGCAGGTTGTTGTATCACAAGTTGAGTAGTGATCTCCCAGATGGGAGTAAAGCTTTGAGGGAGTAGGCCGCTGCCTAGAAAGAGTGCCGTATACCGCCGGTCTAAGTCTTCAGCCCTGAAGCTCTCGACAGGGCGCATGCCTCCTCCTCCCCTATATCTGAGGATTGTTGCGCGGTTTCACTTGGCATTATTGCTGGTGGAGCCTCCTCATGTGTGCCCATGTGATAAGAGAGCTTGGCCCAGAAGTCGACGAACAAGCGATCTAGTTTCTCAGAGAGAGAGAGAGCAGTGAAGAACTAGTTGTGGAGATACACGTGGCATCCGCCATGGTTGTCATTGTTGGTCCGGTGGGGAGTTGAGGGGAGAGAGGGGGAGGTTGAAGTGGGGGGAAACGGCAACTTACTCCAGGTGAGTAAGCTGCAATCAGCTAAGGGATCGTCCACCTTCATCGCACTGTCTGAGTAGGCCTCTTGTAGGGCTCAGGGCTATCCCTAGGAGGAAGCCACCGCCGTTTTCGGTCGATGACCCTGTTTTTTGAAGGCGCAGTGGTAAACCCCCGTCTCTGGGGCTTGTGAGCAGGCAGTATTTAGGGCTATTTTCTATAATTTTGGCTGAATTTGAGCTCTTTAGCATGGAGCCCATATGATGTGCGACCGATCAGCGCGGCTGCTAGGATCCTCCCCAAACAATTTCACTCTTAAAACAGTCCTATTCCCTTCTTGTTCACTATCCATTCTACTTTGAATCAGACACCATATTTCTGTTTCCATTGGTAAAGATACTGCATAGGCTGTATACAACTGGAGGGTCATAATGATTGTAGACGTGCCATCTGAAGTAGGCATTTGGTCTGTGCCGCAATACAAACTGCTTATATGTTTTATGAGTGGGCTTTAAAATACTGTTTGTTCCCCCAATCATGGAAAATTGAAAAGTACTGGTGAATACTTGGAACACAAAATTCTGTTCAAGATGTTGATTTATAATGAGATCTGTGTAAACCTAATTGTGTTTAGGGCTTCTTTACATGCATGCATTGCACCTTTTCTTCCTGCTATGGTTTATCCAGTATCCAGTGATAGTCTTTGTAAAAAGAGCAGCGTGTGTAATTACTTTTGTACCATTATAATGGCAATTATATTTGAATGCAGAGACTGACACAAAACATGTATTTATATGGCTATTTTTTTTTTAAATTCTTTTTTTAATAAGGTGGTTTGAAACACCATCACAGGTTTTCTACCATGCGGCCACAGAGCACGGGGGTAAAGACGTATACCCTGGACAGTGTCTTTGGGAAGGCTGTGAACCCTTTCAAAGACAGAGGTTTTCTTTCATTACCCACTTACAAGTAAGTTGTTCACATAGAAGAGCCAGTAATGGTACTGACATTTCAGTGATGTATAAAAAGAACATCCATATTGAAGCACTGTAAAAATGTAATTGTATGTACATTGTACGTGTTTGTACTTACATTTTGATTTTTGCAACTTGAAATTTATTCTTATCAGGATAAACACTGTTCGAGAGAAGCTCTGCTGGCAGGACTAAAACTGGAGGAGCAAGGACAGACTGGAAATCAAAAAACTTCCAATAAGTAAGAAATATAGGACACTAGTATAGCAAGTATAAAACTGCAAATGCAGCTTGCTTTTCATATGCACAATGTGCTGCTTGTTGCCTGCATGCTCAGACATCCAATATGCACAGGATTAAAATTAACCACGGGGGGGGGGGAGGGGGATGGAGTTGCACCTAAGGCAGCAGAGGGGTTGACACTTAGTATGTGCAGTGTTTCACAGCGAAGCACTTTTCATACAGATTCCAGGCATCATGACCATTGCAAATTGCTGAAGTAGTCATGGTGCTTGGAAAATCCCTTTAAACGCTGAGGGAACTGGTCAATACAGTACCATAAGTACATACCCACTTCTTAAAGGGACATTCCAGTGCCAGGAAAACAAACCGTTTTCCTGGCACTGCGGGTTCCCTCTCCCTCCCACCCCCCATCCCAGGATGCTGAAGGGGTTTAAACCCCTTGAGTGACTTACCGGAGTCCAGCACCGATGTCCCTCAGCGCTGGTCCAGGGTGAGCCCACGCTCCTCCCCCGCCGACGTCATGGTGGGGGAAACCGATTGCGCATGCGTGGCCGCCGGTGGGGTGAGACCTAATGCGCATGCGCGGCGATGACGTGCACGCGCATTAGACCTCCCCAATGCTCTCAATGCTTCCCTATGGGGATTTTAGCGATGCTGGAGGTCCTCACATAGCGGGAGGACGTCAGCGACGCTATAGCACAAAATCTGTGCTATGAACCAGGAAGTGCCCTCTAGTGGCTGTCTAGTAGACAGCCACTAGAGGAGGAGATAACCCTGAAAGGTAAATATTGCAGTTTATGAAAACTGCAATATTTACAGTTGCAGGGTTAAGGGTGGTGGGAGTTGGCACCCAGACCACTCCAATGGGCAGAAATGGTCTGGGAGTGTCCCTTTAACTGTTAGTGGTGGAGGTTAGAGAAGATCAACATTTGTTAGATGTTTTACAGCTTATTGCATGATGTTTTACAGCTTATTGCATGATGTTCTCATTGTATGAGCACATAGTTTGCCTTAATATCTGAAAAGGGGTGATCTTGAAGATATGTATGGCTGTTTAATCCCTAAAACATTAGGGAAATCAGAATATACCTGGCATATTTTGTGCCTGGATTTACTGTCTGCAATTAAGTACAAATATGCTTTTGCATCAAATATTTACCTATATGAATTCTCCTTGTAGACAATCTGGTGCAAGTGCTTCATCGACTCCTAGAGCACAGAAGGCCATTGTGAACCATCCGAGTGCCGCCCTCATGGCATTAAGACGTGGCTCAAGAAATCTTGTCTTTAGAGACTTTACGGTAAGATTAGTGACTTGAAGTAATAGATAAAGGATTGCCTTGAGTAAGGGCTTAAGTCTTGTTATTGTGGCCCTATCCTGAGCAAAAATCAATAAAGAGGCATGAAACACATTGGTATTTAAAAATGCAATTTCTAAAATTCTGTGTGTATGTATTATACATTTTTAAGTTGTCACATCCTTGTCTCGTGGAAGTTGTCACTCAACAAGCAAAAGGGTCTGCGGGGCTAGACAAACAGCATCGTATGGCTTTTTGACATAGAGTGGGTTAGCACTGGCAGTACGGTTTAGTTAGCAATACATTGCATCTCCGAAAACAAATGTGAATAATATCTAAAAGTTTACTAAATTGTTGTTTCATTCCTGATTGTATAGATCATTCTGTAATAATGTTAGTATTTATTTTATACATGCCTTTTAATATGTCTACCTCTGATTTTCTCTTTGAATTACGACTTTGTTTTGTTTACTCCATAAAGGATGAAAAAGAGGGACCAATCACAAAACACATCCGATTAACAGCTGCCTTAATACTAAAAAATGTTGCAAAACACTCAGAATGTGGTCGCAGGTAAGGTTCTATACAAATATTTATATTTATTTCTGAACACATAACTGTTTCATTCCTTAAAGGGACACTCCAGGCAACCAGACCACTTCTGCCCATTGGAGTGGTCTGGGTGCCAACTCCCACTACTCTTAACCCTGCAAGTGTAATTATTGCAGTTTTTTTATAAACTGCAATAATTACCTTGCAGGGTTTACTCCACCTCTAGTGGCTGTCTACTAGACAGCCACTAGAGGGCACTTCCTGGTTTCTAGCACAGGAAACCTGTGCTAGAGCATCGCTGGACGTCCTCACGCTCATTTCAATATAGGAAAGCACTGAAATGCATTTTCAATGCTTTCCTATGGGGAGTGCTAAGGCGCATGCGCTGCATTGCCGCGCATGCGCATTCGGTCTCCCCGGCCGGTGGGCAGGATCAGTCTTGTCCACCAACCGACGCAGTCAGGAGGAGCGGTGGGGGAGGAGGAAGCAGCGACGTGGGACATTGTCGCTACCTCAGGTAAGTTACTGAAGGGGTTTTCACCCCTTCAGCAACCGGTAATTGGAAGGTGGGAGGGAGAGGGAACCTGCAGTGCCAGGAAAACAGATTGTTTTCCTGGCATTGGAGTTTCCCTTTAACTAAATGTACATTGCATGTTTTGTCTGTATGTCAGTAGCTTGGTTTTATTAATTGAATTGAAAATCTAAGAAAGTGTCTGTGTCTAATATATAAAAAAAGATTATCTTTTTAGGATATATGTTAGTATGTATTTTTTTAATTTTGTTGCTCATGTTTATATCCATGTTACCTTAATAGACACTTTGATCTTTTCACAATTCGTAAACATTTCAGTTAGTAAATGTGTACAATTGAAAACAGCACAATTTTTTGTAAGTTAGAAGAAAGAAATACAAGACTGAGATAAGAGATATGAGCAAAAATGTAAATAAAAACTGAGGGCACAAACACCAGCAGTATCAAGAGTCTCACTTCAACGACTCCCTCTAAAGGCACTGGATAGTCCTGTCGTGGGCTGACTGACTGCCTGCATGCACCTGGACACCCATGTCGGCAAGGCATGTAACTGGGCTGTGTGGTCGCGCCAGTGTGTGGACGGTAAGGGTCTCTTCCTCCGTGGGAGATTCTTCTGGGCTATTGCCCCAGCAAAGCAGCCCTCACCGTGGTTTACAGGCTTGCGGCTTGCTGTAGCTAACGTGGTACCTTGCGTCTGCAGCTGCCGGTCATTTCTGGCCCCTTCTTCTGTAGGGGTTGGCGCTTCTCGCTATTTTGTTGGAGGTGAGCACTTCAGAGGTTGGTCATAGTTATCTTGCGTGGTCGGCAGTTGCAGGCACCGGTTTAGTTTGTCACAGAAGTCGTCAAAGATTCGATCTAGGGTGCAGGGGTTCACAGTCCAGTTTCCATTGCTCTCAGTGTGACTTGAGGCGTGTGGAGAGGATCCCTCTTCTGCTCAGCAAAGCTAGATCTTAAAGGACCACTCTAGGCACCCAGACCACTTCAGCTTAATGAAGTGGTCTGGGTGCCAGGTCCTTCTAGGGTTAACCCATTTTTTCATAATTATAGCAGTTTCAGAGAAACTGCTATAATTATGAATGGGTTATGCCTTCTATCCTCTGTGGGCTGTCTCATTGACAGCCACTAGGCGCTAGTGCTTCTCACTGTGATTTTCACAGTGAGAGCACGCGTATAGGAAAGCATTGTAAATGCTTCGACGGGCTGAATGCTGCAGCTCTTGCCGCGGCATTCAGCCGGCGGAGAGGAGGAGGAGAGCTCTCCGCCCAGCGCTGGAAAAAGGTAAGTTATTACCCCTTTCCCCCTTCCAGAGCCGGGCGGGAGGGGGTCCCTGAGGGTGGGGGCACCCTCAGGGCACTATAGTGCCAGGAAAACGAGTATGTTTTCCTGGCACTATAGTGGTCCTTTAAGTTGCAGGAGGGCCCACAAGGCGAGGACTGGGATCACTCACACCGGTCCAGAAGGGAGGGGGGCGAATGAGGCCATTACCAAGTTGCACTAAAGGTTTTGCTTGTAGTCGCTATTCAGGATAGTGGGGGGGCAGCAGCCGTCCACCCCAGTCACTATTTATGTAGGCCTCAGGTACCATGAATGTGTAGCATCCTTTCAGGGGGCCAAAATTTGTAGAGCAGATGTTTCTTCAGTTCCCGCACAACTGTGCAGGCAGGACCACTTTTTCCAGGCTGTATTAAGGCAGGTTAACGTTTTAATTTCAGTGTAAATGCAGGAGCTGATCGTCTTTGCGACCATTTAGCATGGCGGTCTGCCTACCGTGTACATATTTTTGAATTTAACAAATATATATTTGTGAAATGTGAAAAATAAAATTAAGTGTAAAAATTGACACCTGTTTATCCTGCGACTGTGTGCCTCCATCTTAGCTCCTTGTGAAAGATTATAAACTGACATTTGAACCTGGCAGTCAACATAAATAGAGTATACAGAGAAAAAGAGAAATTAAACAATATTTCTGTTTCTCCTTTTCTTTTCCAACATTTGCACTGTTTTTGTTATTTAGACTATATTATGGTGTAATTTGCTAAATATGTAATGTAAATTCAAAAGAAATCAGAGCATTTCATAAGCGATTAACTCAAATTATGGCTGATTTTTAATGTTTTATTCAATGGTATACATTCCGTGTAAGTGACCGTTACCCTTTTGCTGAAACAGTGTCAAACTTGCTTTACAAAAAGCAGAAATATAATCTATGTATTAATCTAATTATTATTTGTCCAAATGTTATTCCATCCATATAGAAGCGTTAAGATACTTTGGGTTATGCACAGTTTAGGTACCCAAGTTTAAATTTTGGCTGTGATTCTTTGTAAGCTGTTTTAGCTTTTTTAATGTTCTTTTTTAATTGTTCCATATTTTTTTTTCCATTACACAGATCGTTAAAGAGACATGAAAATCAATTATCATTTTTAGCCCTTAGTAATATGGAAGCTTCCTCCACACTTGCCAAATGCCTTTATGAACTCAATTTAACAAGTCACAGTAAAGAACAAGAAACAGACTGTGAAATGCTACAGTGAGGCATGCCCTTTGTACAACTGGGACTGTGGTAGTCACACAACATTTCAAGTACTGTTACTGGGGAAAGCACTAAGTCTTAATGGAACAGAGACCATCAATTTCATCACTATGTCTCCTCCCGTGTTGCTGAGAGGAAGCTTCACATTCTGATCACTGAATGAATCCCTTAGTTCTCTGTAAAAAGCAAAATACAAAAAAAAAAAAAAAAATAGAAACTGCCATGGGATTTTTAACCAGCAGTCTACAGGATGTCTTTCGCAGTTGATATGTCCTGAAGGAAACTGGTGTGTTCAGAATTCAGTACCATCCACATTGGAATTAACATGAAAACATTGTAAAACCTTACATGAGCAGATAAAATAGAAGCATTAAAATATTTTTATCTATATCCAAAAGGAGCACATTTTTATATTTACGGAACTGTTTAAGCTGGTTTGAATAAAAAATGTCAGCACATCTGTAACCCCCTCCCAATATTGGTGGGTGCCACCAATTTCTCGCTCTGGATTGCGTGTTTTGTTTAGAAATCAGTAGCTTGGTTTTCTTACTTGAGCCAATATATTTTCACGTATTTATTATCATAAAATTTACCAGTCTGAATAGATCTTGTAAATATTTGTGAATAGAACACCTTTCATGCCACTGCAGCCACTGGAAGAAATACATTCTGTGGTGTTCTAGGAGAATTATAGCTAGGTTCAAAAGTTTTTTAGACTTTTCCTGTCAATTGTAACTAATTGTGATATATTCTACGCAGTGGATGAATGTTCTTTAAATTTGTGTAAATAATTCTGGAAAGGTACTGATGCTGTAAAGTCAAAACAGTTTTGTGGAACTGTGATATTTTTCCCATTAATTTTCTTTTTTTTTTTTTTTCTTCCTGTTTTTTTTATTTTTTTTTGTATTATACACCTTGTTAGAACTCATTTGCTGGCTGAAAGAGTATGGAATAATATATCACATGTCATTTTTGTAGAAGAAAAACTATTTGAAGGTATTTTTTGGTTTTTCCCTAACATATATCCACTGTAAACGTTTGTCACAGTGCAAGCTCAGAGCTTGTACAGAATTTTTTGTATTTGTAAATTGGTTTAAATACATGGAATTTTATACAGGTTTTTTCCTGTGTTATATTTGCATTATGTGCAGGTATGATATTTTCTTCACTACTTTTTCTATCTTAATATAGTGTGGGATTTTATTGTATTATTCTTCCATTCTTAATACTGTACCACATTCCTGCTCATATCCTGCTCACGAGTCCTTAAATTTGTCCTTCCTTCCCACCCTCTCTCACCTTGGCGTGAAGTGTATCCATTTATAACTGCCTATTGCCTGTTGTATTAGCATCCAAAATGTGGAAGACCTCCCACCACCATTTCTGCTGTGTCCGTAGGATGTGCAGTAAAGATATAGACCTAACAGTTTATGTTATAGAATGGCTTTATTTACTTTGGTGACTGTTTATAGTTTTTAAATAAAAGAATGAACATTTCCTGGTCTCTTATTTTGAAGGATGTACATCAGATTGTGTGGCAGGGGGTGGCGGGATTTAAAAATTACTGTTTGCCACATTAATAAATAAATATATAAATGTTCAGTTAAAATGTATTTAGCAAAGTTTGTGCAGTTAATAATATTTGAAGATTAAAAAGTCCAGTGTATAAATGAACATTTAAAATGACCAGTGGCGTTCAAATAAGCTGCATTATTTCATATGTATGGTACAAAAAGGCATTATTGTTTTTCGTTTTTTTTATATTTCTGAAAATTTAAACAACCATACATTTTAAGTGTATTTACAGTTATTTTTTTTTATCCTATCATTTAAATTAAATTGTAAACCAAATGTCTCCTGCTGGATTTTTATGCCTTTCATTGTCTGTAGCGTATGTTTTTGAAAATGTTGCATTGTGAAATCCTGCATCATTGTGCCTGTATGGTTATAGCTAGGTTATGATGGTGGTACATGAATTCCGTGGCCAATATATCCTGTTTATTGAATTTGCTACTTAAATACATTTGGATGCAAAGAAGGACCAGTCACGTCACTTACAAGCAACAAACTTAATAAATTGCAGTCTTAACTTTAAAGGAACACTCCAACAATCATAACTACTACTTCACGCTGTCGTGGTCATGGTGCCATGTTTGACAAGTTACCTTGGGTTTGTCATAAGCGGGGTTACCTCCTCTGCTTTGAGATAAGCTGGGCAATGCTGTGGTGGTTATGGCACTTGGAGTGTTCCTATAAATATATTTGGGAACATATAAAGACAAAATGTTGTGCTTTTAACAATTTATTTAATTCATATATTTAAAAGGTCCATAGGCTATGCTTCACTGAAAACACTTGCTTAGGACTATGCTGCATTTGAATTATACAGTTACACTGATCAGCCAAAACATTAATAACATTATTTTGTTACAATAACCTGTCAAAGGATATATTAGGCATTAAGTGAACAGTCCAAAACAAAATGGGCAAGTGAAAAGACCAAAGTGACTTTGATCCAGTCATATAGTCATTACTATTTGACCCTTGTCAGAGTGTCTCCAGAACATAAACTCCTGTGGGATGTTCCTACCAAAAGTGAAGGACAACCAGTGAACCAGCGTCATGGTTATGAGCGCCCAAGGATCATTGAGGCACGTGGGATGGAACACAATGCATTGCAGTTTGCTGCATATGGGGCTGCATAGATGCAGACCTTTTAAAGTGTCCATGATGACCCCTGTTCACCACTGAAAGCGCCACCAATGGGGACTATGGAGCAATGGAATGTTAGGAATGGTTTGATGAACATCATAAAAGAGTTCAAGGTGTTGCCTTGGCCTCCAAATTCTGGAGATCTCTGAACGTAAAGGATCTGCTGCTAATGTCTCTGTGCCACATACCACAGGATTTGCTCAGAGGCCTTGTGGAGTCCATGCCTCAAGATATCAGAGCTGTTTTGGCAGCGCAAGGGGGAACCAAACACGATATTGGGTGGTATTAATGTTGTAGCTGATCAGTGTGTGTATGTAATTAAAGTAGTTCTTTTAAAGCTGTGGACATTAAAGACCAGTATATGATATTGGTAATTAAAGCCTAGGTAACTGAGGAATACATATTGACATTTTTACAACAGATTCATATTCCACAGTTTTAGTGAAGATGTACCTTCTGGAGCAGATTAGGGTATTGTTAACAGATCACAAATGCAGTATAGTTGTAATTAAATACAAAAGTTGTTGACATATTTTATGTGGGGATATATCCAATTTAAAGTGGTATCATATGCAATATTGTTTTAACAATATCATGGGCTTTGTTTGCACAATTTAAGCTAGATTAATGCGTTTTAAATACCCCTCCACTCCACCCCTATGCCAGAAACTAAAGCAAAACAAGAAAACCATATAGAAGCTCCAGCTATTATTAATTATAAAGCACCAACAAGTTCTGCAGACCAGTGGCACCTAAATTTTTCCATGGTCCTTTGCTAGCCTCCGCTTTTATAAATGAATGTTATCTTAAAAATATAGAATTGGTACACAAATACAATTGTACAAAACAATACCAAAAAATATATTATTTCTCACAATAGGTGGTCCATTAAAATGTGATGAGCAAAGCAGAAGAAACTGCCAATACAATGTCCAAAAATGTACAGTACATAATTACAAAACCAGATACAATTTGTATTTATGGATATTATGGTAGATTTTTATTGTCTCTCAGTGCAATGTTGTGGAAAGCTGAGAAGTCAACAGACGATTATAAATTGCCTTCTCACTTTGAGCTCTATTCACAACATTCAGTTACTGCTTTCGCTAGTCCAATAACTGAGGTTGTTGGACGCATCCTGTAATGGAAAACAAAGGTAGCCAATGCTGTTGTAATGGAGGTTTAATTCGCTTTGCTCCATGGGTTCCTGACTTTCTAGCTGCTTCCAGGTTAATATGAGCTTCTGGTGTCAAATATCAGTGTTGTACAAATATTACTTTCAAATCTCACAGCATTGTGTGATATTGCAAATACTTTTAATATCAAATACTGATCCTTAAAGAGATACTATAGTCACCAGAACAACTTAATGTAGGTATTCTGGTGAGTATAGTCCATCCTGCCAGGCTTTTTTAATGTAAATAGCTTTACATTTCAGTCTAGGAACACCTTTAGTGCCACTCAGTTGGCCACAAGAGGTGCTTCCTGGGTCAGTGTGCAGCATGGAGATGCATTGATTAAATGCATCTCTATGAAAAGATGGTGATTGGCCAGGGCGGCTTATGACTCCACCCCAAGCCTGCCTCTTTGGCTGAGCTCATCAGAATTGATTATCTTGGCCAATCTAATGCTTTCCTATGGGAAAGTGTTGTCATTGCCTGAGATCATCAAAGCACTGGGAATAATGTAAGTTTTCTAGTTATTTAAGGGGGTCAGGTGCAGCTCGCATGTTTTTAACACTAGGGTCAGGAATAATCCTTTGCATTAGATGAATGTCTCCAGAATAGAGGAATCTTGAGGAAGAATAATAAATGAGCAAATGACAGGAGATTGAGATGACTTCTAGGAACCGTGAATTTGAAGGATAATAAATGACACTATCACTAAAACCGCAAAGGACAGTGCCTAATGGGGTAATCCTTCATGCTGGTTTAGGCTTCTTAGGACTAAAAACCAAGAATGTGAAAGGTCTTCCTAAATTGAGAAAACTGGAACTATTAAAAATGTGTTGCACTTAATAGTGTTTTTTAATCCTGAAGTATGCGCACATCCTTACAGGCGGTTAATATGGAAATTATGGATTCCAGTCCAGAACAAAATAAAAGTTTAGTTGGAAAGGGTTTAGCAAAAAATCTGGAAATGAGAATGCTGTTACCTTGTCGCTACCTCTACTTCTATTCTTGGTTGGTGGTTCCTGGTTGGTGTAAGGTGACAGTTGGCAAGGAAAAAGCCAAACATGCCATAACCTATTAAAAAAAAAAAAACAACTGCCCAGTTTTAAAATTCTGAATGCAATTCAGGGCATGTGGAAGAAGGTACTCTGCATCCACCACTTTAAATGGTGACATAAACCTACCAGCAGGCCCTTACATGTAGATCAATGCATGGTTGAATAAACAAACAAGTGAAGTATATTCGTCTGTCTGATATACAAATGGTTAAATCAGGGCCAAACAGGGAATGCATGCCAGCCCTAGAAGTCATTGTGCCACGTGTGTGTATATGTATGTATGTATATATATATTATATTATATTTTTTCCTGACATATGGTGGTAGTACAATAGGGATGTACTCTTCCCTCGGGACAAGCATCTGAAATAAATAATTAACATAAAAAGTTCCTCCCCTTACCAGGTATAAGAGACCAAACCAGCCCTGGGCCCTCAGTTCTCTTTCTTGTTCCATCAGGAACGGACGGCATCTGGAATGAGATGGTGAGGCACATGGGTTGCTGCTAGGGGGATCCGGTCTGATAGCTTCCCGGGTGGAGAGCTGAATGGCCAGCAAGCATTCTGCAGGATTAAGGAGCAGGTATGGTTAGCCTGCTTTATGCCGAGTGCAGTCACCGGCGAAGCAGGGAGGCGGTCTCTAGTGGCAGCAAATCACTGCCCGTTGGAGATGCATGCGCACGGCGGTGGAATGCACGCCCGGGTGGTTATGCATTTCCACCGGAGTTCTGACCGCGCTATGCGCATGCGCGGTCTGAACTCCCTGAAATGGCTCCAGATTTCAAAGGATCTGCCTATTTATGCTGGGCTCTTCTTTGACGCTAGAAAAATTCAAGCAACAAGAGATTAAATTCTTTTTGTCTTGGTTTCAGGATAATCTGGCTCAGACTTTTGAGTCTTTTAAAGAGCCTGCTCACACTTCTCCTGTAAAAGTATCTAAACAGAAGTCTAAAAGGAAGAGAACACCGTCTACTTCAGAACTATCTTCGGGTGAATGCTCTTTTTCTTATTTAGAGTACTCTAGCGACTCTTCTGATACTGAGGTTGGTTTTCCTCATGATGAATTGAGAAAATGTATTAAAGAGGTTAATTTTAACCTTTCTGATGAAACGGTAGACAAATGCAAGAGTAAAGCACTTCCATTCCAACAAAAAATGCTGCATTTGATTTTCAGAGAATGGAAGAACCCCGAGAAAAGGGCTTTTATCTCCAGACATATAAGTATTGTTAAAATGGATGAGGAAGATAAATGGGAAGAATTGCCAGTAGTACAAGTGGCTCAATTGTTTAAAAAAAATTACCATACCTATTGGGGAAGTTTCTGGTCTGAAAGACCCTATGGATAAGAGGGCTGAAACTTCAAGCAGAAGGGCTTATCAGGCTGCAGGTTTTCAGGCTAAAGCAGCATTAGCCGGGGCTTCAGTGGTGAGAGCTCAGAATCTTTGGCTTAACACTTTGGAAGATGGTCTGGGCGATAACCAAGACAAAGGCCTTTCCCTCCTGTTCCAAAATTTAAGGTTGTCTAATGAGTACCTTATGGATATTATCACGGAGGTAATAAAGCTTTCGGCTCGTGTCATAGGTTTGACATCTGTGGCCTGAAGGGCACTGTGGCTTAAGGCCTGGACAGCAGACACTGCATCAAAATCTGCATTATGTGAACTGCCCTTGGAGAAGAAAAAGTTGTTTGGTTCTCCTCTAGAAGAGTTAATCCGACAGATGCTGGAAATCAAGAAGGCCACTGAGGGTTAATACCAACCTCTCCTAGAGCCGATCGGCGAGAGCCCCTTCATTCTAGGTAGATCAGTTTCTTTAAAGCGATAGGGATGCACCCCTCATATTCATAAGGATTCATATGTCCTCTAAATAAGGTTCATACGAG